TAAATATTGCAAAAAAGTGGTGAGGTTTCTAGTTAAAAGTTGGTATATATAGTTCTGGATGAGTTGTTAATAATAGAGAACAGTGGTATAAGCAAACTCAATCAATTTTCCGGTGTCGAAGTGTCGAGAGAGTGTCCCGTCGCGATAAATTTCATTTCGTTTCGGCATTGTTTCGCGAACGAAATATTCCCCATGACGAGCTGCCAACTTTATTCGCCATTCTTTTATTAGAACCTTGTCGGGGCCGTGCGGATTTATTCCATGTGTTATCAACAGCGCAATCTTGTTATATCTAAGTTGTCTGCTTGTCGGAGCTTGTTATGAGAAAAACGATTTCTTTTATCTCTTCCTCGGCGATGTTCAATATGTACGGCGCTAGCGGAGAGCAATTTTCCTCGGTTCTGACATGGAGGAGAGATGGAGGAGCGCGCCTTTAAAAACGATGCCGAACGACCGATTTTTCGCGAATAAATTGCTTTTTCCTCCGGCGACAAACCGCTGGGAAATCATCGATTTGAATTAATTACAAATCAGTTTGCACAATTCCTCAATTATTAACTAAACATTCCTCTATTTGATGCTTTGAAACAAACATGTATAGGACACACGAAAATCCATTATAACAAACGGAATTTAATCAGATAACGATGAATTTAATCTTTACATCAAGTCCATATTGTTTCTACGAGACCATAAATCAGTTCGGAAATATTAACCCTCTGCGTGCGAGGTGATTTACGCGTCTAGAGAACCATTCTACTTGTAACACGTATATACGGCGGCAGAAAAAAATGCGTTTATTGGCAACGAGGTGATAGAATAGCGTCCCGTTCTGTCGCCGGAAATAGCCACCATCAATCACAATTTACCGGAGCGGCCGAATGCTCACGCTATATACATATTCAAGCGGGAGCGGCGTAAGCCCTCGGACCCCGTAATTCGATCGCGCTAACGACGCACCGACTGACAATTATGAAATTACATTACTCATTGAGATGTACGGGAAACGTCGCAGCTATTCAAAAACGTCGGGCCATAAATCATAAATGGGTGTCGAGCCGCTTGAACGCCAACGCTAAAAATACCTATTTGTCTTCTGGTTGCTTTTGTGCCTCGTGACACGTGACAGCGCTCCCGCTGAGAATCTTTTTCTGGTCCGATCTACTGGGGAGCTTTCCACATGTCATTCGCATGTGCGTTTCCAGACGATTTTTCTTTCGGCTTGATTGTCACATTAACTCGATTATTCTACACTCTTCGATCCAAAAAATATGTAAACATTTTTTTATGTAAGGTAATACGCATCAATCAATCTTCTATTTAAGTGATTTTTCTCGAGGATACGATTAACGGATTCAATTAGTAATTGTCAGCCAGTGCGAATTAATGCCCATAAAGTCCATAGACTTAAATTATTCAATACATCTTCTTAATTGACTCGGCAGTTTTAAAGTTAAAATTTCCGTGATAAATTGGAGTCGAGTTTTTCAGTAATTTAAATCTTCCTTGCCGGAGCGGAGCGGCGCGTCGCTCCATTATTCATTTATAATTAAATATTCGCTAATTTGCTTATCCGGAGGTGTTTACAACTCTTTTTTTATATAGAAGGGAGAGGATTAAGTCGATTGATTGGGTTCATTGGAGTTGATAGATTTTTTATTGGAGATTATTTTCTTAAAGGTAATTCATTTTTAGTTATCAAACTGTATAGATCTGTAGCCTGGGGGGCTACATAAAATGGATATAGAAGTCATTCAACACCTCGGAGTGCTCACTTTACAATGCCGACTATTGATAGCGACTCGCGGCCAAAGTGCCATATCGCGGGGAACTGAGTGCGCCGCGAAAATGGAATTTGAAATTTCGAAGACCCCCAGAGTGATGTAAAAATACACTTTCGAGGAGGGTAAAAACGTCGTTTGCTTTTTATTGCATTACCGAAAAATATACTGAAGGTGACAAGTACTGCAATGAAGTTACGTGTTATGGAATTTTATATTCATTTTTACGTCCGTGAGAGGAGGATTAAAATTCCTTCGCTGTGACAACGTAATTTAAATATATCAGGTTTTGTGCGCCGGGGAGAGCGTCGTCACTTCGGAAAAATTCCCTTTTATCCCGAATTTTATCGAACGAGACTACGGTAATATGATTTTCGAGAAAATGAAACCACCTATTTGCCTAATCCTATATACACACTTAAGTAAATGTATTATTTATTAGATCATACATACTTTCACGTTATTATTTTTACTTATGTAAATCATTTTAATGTTTTTTTTTCCTCAGAGTCACGTTAAGCTTACTTCTCGAACTCCAATTCCATTTGATTTAATTTAGTGCATGTAGGTCAAAAATGCGATTTTAGACCGGATAAAATCCCGTGCACCTTTAGTTCCAGTTTAAACGATTTTATCCATCCACGCGTTCGACACAAAGAAATCCAGTCGATTCGAATATAATAACCATTAGAATGGAAGTGCGGACCCGGAGCGCTTCAGATCCCCGGCCATCTTTTACAATTCCGCGTCGACGGCGTTAAGTTTTAGGAATTGGAGGTCCAATCCAATTTCAAACAAATTGTCAAGTGACCGTTAAGCGAAATCTTCGAAATCCCTCGCCGTCTTCGAGGAGCAACTGTAAACATATAACTTCGAGCCCCGAGGATTATCCCGTGATCGATTTTAGTCCTCCCCGGACGCCAATCCTTAACACCATCACCTTTAATCTTTTTCTAACAATTCCGACGGACCGATTTTCTCGCAAAAAAGAATTCATAGTTTATATACATTTCATATACCAACATCACTACTTCTTTATTAATTATCAATCAACTATAAGTTCTTCTTTTAAATATAAGATGCCTTAACTACTTTATAAATTAAAAATTGGAATAATCGAATCACCGATAGACTAATTAGCGCACGCGATCGCCGGGATAACCTCGAGACTCGGAATATCCAGCGCGCCCTTATCGAAAAACGGAAGAGAGAAGCCGCATGAAGGTGAGCGCCAGCCAACTGGAGCTCGTAAATCAAAACAATAAATCAGTAGCTAGACGGCGTTATCAGGTGCAAGCCAGGGATGGTTATATGATAAACTCCACCAAACAAATTCCACATTGTCCGGCAGCTAAGTTGCGAGGTCGTTTATCAGCGCGAATAACGCGCCACGGGTCATGATAATAGAGGGAGGCAATGAATGAAGAAGCGCTCCGCTTCGAGTCTAGTCTGAGGGAAATCTCGGTTTAACGTACCGCACCCTAAAGGCTATTATATTGAACAGAATGTAGACTCATAAAAATTTAATATTCAACTACTATAAATTAACCTTATGTGGTTAGTTAATATTGTATAAAACTGAAGAGTATTTTGAGTGAAGAAATGTAGAAATTACAAAGCGTATAGTGTATAAGTGTTTGTTGGGTTGGCCAGCTCCTGTACTAGAGGTCCCAGATCCATCGTCGTCGAGGGTCTTCCGCGACGTCTCTTTCTCACCGCGTCTATCGCGCTCTGCTTTCGCAGGAAGATAAATAACCCCTCGGTAATTGCGTGCGGAACGATACCATAATTCATACACGCCATGAGCCATAACTTAGAAGGCAATTACTATGAGTACGTCATTTATCATCCGACTTCTCCAGACAAGGGTGCCAGCGCGCCAGTTGATAATCGAGATTAAATTGATAAAGAATCCGTTCCCGGAACATCGACTTTCGACCGATCGGGGCTCGAATGAAACGCGTTATAAATCCGAAACTTTTATGTCGGATGTTCGTTTAGCGGAAACTCATCAAAGGGAATTCTCTCGTAGATGCGTTCCGCGTTTGTTCTTCTCTTTTAAAACCGATTGAATTTCTTGCGCGCGACGACGTATATAAAAGAAAGATTACATTATCCCAGCAGCCGACATGACATAGCGCGTGATTTCATGGTTTTATATTAAATCAAATCTGTCATAAACATGCGGTGCAAAAGGAGAAACTGTAAATACACACAAAGCGTTCGGCGGAGCAGACGCGGTTTTCGTATTGCCTCTAAGCTCGATAAAAGAGAGCGTTGATTGGTTCATTTTTACATCACATGCAAAGCTCGGTTTGTTATAAACTTGAAAGGCAGTGTATACGAGCGAGCTTTCGACTTGTCGAGTACGTTTTAGCCTGTACGTGGCGTCGACGCGGATGCTTTGAACTTTTTATTAAACGTCCCATTTTTATATACCGAAAGCCATATTTTCATTTCACGTTTTCTTTTTGCTCCATTTCAGTTACCTTTTTTTATTAAAAATTAACGCATTATCCATTTCATATACTTACAAATAAAAACGAATGGTCCAAGATAGGAATTAAAATGGTCCCGATTTAGTCTGTTCGTTCGAAGGGGGCAAAAGGTAATTCCTCGTCGTTCGCCAGTACATATCTTAGACCATTGTGATGGCGGGCCGTAAATGCTCCCCGAGGTCCGCAATTAATCCACTCGCAATCCCCCGGCGGTTTGCGGTAAAGCCGGGAATCGTTTAGCGGTCAGACTGGCCTCGGCAACCAGAATTCCGGGATTCCGCAAGATGCCGTCGCGCCGCTCGGGATATAATTCAGACGTAATTTACCGGGAATAGGGACCGTTTAATATTGGATGCAGATTTCTTATTCGTTCGCTTGATTTTCTCCTGTCTCTAGAGGTCGGATTTATTAATTGCCGGCTTTTTAACCGGGAGATATATTGGAGCGTGGTTCTTGATTATGGTGTTATAGAGATGAAAAATTTAATTGCTCTTTGCTAATTTTATTTTTCCAAGAAATTGTTTAGATTTTACAGTGGCCTCGACGATTTTATCTAATAGAACTGCTTTATAGCAGCAAGATCGTTAAATTTTTAATTAATTTTTAACGACTCGTCGGATTTGTAATAGATTAATAATTAATACTGGAACAATTACACTAATGTTGTCTTTCGAATATAAAAGCAAGCGATCTTCCTAGTATTTTCATATTCTACAATTCTGTGAATTAACCATGAGAAGCTTAATAGTGCTCGCTTTATTTGCAACCCTAACATTGGTAAGCATAATTTATTATTATCTATATTATTTGGTTGGATGTAAAAAAAACAAATTTTTAGGGTTTTCATATAAATGATGAAGAAGAGATAAGCCTCAGGAGGATCCACGGGGACTGCCTTCAGCAGTATTACATCCCCAGCCACTTCCTCACCCACCGCCATGAATACCACCGCATTCCGAAGCTGAAGGAGCACCTGGCCTGTCTAGCCCAAAATTACGGATTCATGAGTGAAACGGGCCACTTCGACACCTCGATCATCTACAACAAGCTCAGTAACGCGTGCGACAGCGAAGACGCTGAACTAATCATGAACAAATGCGCAATTGAACTGGACGATATTTTCGAAACGGCAGCGAAATTCTGGTACTGCTTGGAAGACGAAGGCTTGCCCTACATGAGTCGCTTCATTGACTACTACCAATAAAAAAGTACATGTTGATGTAAAGCTGAGTTAATATAGAGGTTCGTTACAGCATAAATATGATATATCTAAATAATCCTATCTAAATCCTCCCTATCTAAATCAATTCAAGTCCTATATAAATTAATTGTGGCGAATTACAATTGACAAACTCCGCTAGTTCCTTTTAAAACATAAACAAATGTCGACACGCTCGTACTGTTTCAACAATCGGCCGAATCTGCTGATTGTGTCGTCTTTCGCGATTTCGCTTAATCCGCATTGTTGAATAGAATAATTCCTGCGGATATTAGCTACTTTGACACCGGTTTTGTCGTGTGTGCAGTGCTGGAACTTGGAAATGGTGTCGCCCAAAAAGGTGTGTTGTAACAACGGCGATAAATCGCCCAGCCCGGAACCCTTCAAAGAACCCGAGGGATTGGTTACAATAGATTTGAGGGGTTCGAAAATCGAGGAAGGTGAGCCCGCGTTTGATAACTCGAATCGAAAATTTTATGGTAGAAGTGAAAATTATTTATATTTTTAGTTCAGAAAAGTTCTACACAAACCAAAAAGACGAGAAAACGGGTAGTAGAAGTTATATTGGCTTTGTTCATTTTCAATATAACTGTATTTGGAATAATTTTATACATCAACGAAGGCAAGTAACTACATAAATAATTTATGCAATTATACTTATTATTGTTATTATAATCAGCTTATTTTTAATTACTATTTATTCTAGAGTCCTACTTTTTTAAAGCGAAACCGCTGGTAGTTAAAGAATCGATTCCTGGGAAGGAAAATAACGTAATAACAATAAATAATCTGATAAACAAATGCGTCGATACTAAACCGTTAAAAATATGTTGCATATTATTCGGGGATACTGATAGTGATTTTTATAAATATTGCTTGGACAACAGCGTAGTATTATCTGCTTTCCAAATCGATAAAAGAAAGAAAAGGGACTTAACATCTCAGATATATTCCGATTACCAACCGCCTTTTGCACCAATATACGATTATCCGCAGGATTATTTCTACGAATCAGATTACCCTTATGATTTACCTCCACACGAAGTTCATCCTTATGCAAATACTAACGAAGAGAAATATATGGAACAACCGTACGCAGAAATGCCATCTCCAGGATATTCAATAAAAGTGGGTATTCATCACGAGGAAGCAGTGCCTCGACCAGTTAGTAAACCTCTACAACCAAAATTCGATTCAAAACCGATTCCAATACCCCTATCATTAGACCAATTTGAAGAAAATGACAACAAAAATGAAGTGAAACCTCCAATTATCAACACAAGAATTTTACCAAATCAAGATAGTAAATCAACTAACGATAAGATTCCTCCAAACACTCAAATAACTGATGATACGTCTCATTTAATAACCACTATAAATCCCATTAAAAACGTTCCTTTAATTATATCTGATCGTTTCAAAGATACAACAAGTGATCCGAAAGAGCCCACTGAAAATTCCTTGAATATAAACGACAGATTCGAATCCATTTCATCAAATCCAACAAACGATAAAGAAGTGACGAATGAATCAGGGAATTCGGGAGATTTGGTAACGCAACCGAACGATTCCCTGGATAAAACGGATAAACCCGAAAACATGGAAAAGTTTATAAATCCGTTAAACGCCAATCCGGAAGAATTAAACGAAAGTTCATCGATTAAATCTGACAGTGCAGATAATAAAGATTCAAATGTAAGTAAAACAGAAGAAATTTTACCAATAACATCAGAAAAATCAACGAAGGTTTTTGATGAAAATTCCGGACATCCAACTGAACCATCAAGTAAAATAGTAGAAGAAGATTCACTTCATATTTCAGATATTCCAGAAGAGTCTGGTACAACAAGGATCGTCCCAGTATCAAGCATAATTACTGAGACTAATGAGCCAGTACTACAAACAAGTACATCTGCAAGTACTACATCTACAAGTACCACATCTACAAGTACTACATCTACAAGTAGTACAACTACAAGTACTGTTAGTAATTCACTATTACCTGAAAACTTATCAGATGGACAAACAGAACCGAGCATATTGAAAGAAGCAAATCATTTAGACGATTTATTAACAGCCACAGAGAAAGCAGAGAATACAATTAATATTCCAGATACACCAGAAATATCTGAAGGTGTCTCAGATTCTGCATTTGATTACACTAGCTCTGCTCCAGTAGAAAAATCAACTGAAACACAATCAGTAACTACTAACAAAGTTGAAAAACAGTTTGAGATTCCAAGCAAATCCGAAAAAAATAATAACAAACCACCACAAACAGATCAGTTAGATAAGGAAACGAGACCAGAAGATGCAAATAACAATTCCCCTACTACACCTATAAATATTGAACAGAATATAGTTTCATCTATACTTTCACCCCAATTATCAGAAGATTTAGCCACAAAATCCAATAATAAAGAGGGTCAAAATTATCCAATACATTCCCATAAAACCGAAGTTGACGATGAAACGAAAAAAGTAGAAACTTCAACTGAAACTAATACCCAATCGGATAATTCGAAGGATTCTGTAAATAATTCTCAAGATGTATCTGAATTAGAAAATACTCTTGTTCATTCAACTGAACATTCATTGACTGAAGTACCGAGTCGAATGGAAACAGAAAATTCGGAGACTCCAACGATCCGAGGGCAATCCAAGCAGGATAATTCAATTCAGAACAACGAAATAAATCCAAATAATTATAAAAATAAAGAAAAAACTTCCACAGTATCGGATAATGAGGGTGACCAGCAATGGGATAATGGTGGAAACGAAATGAAATCGGAGAAGGACACTTTGTTAGGATCGCCTGAAATGAAATCGAGTAATCAAGATATTCTTAGTATCGATATCCCTCTTGAAGACAATTCTGAAAAAGTAAACTCACATATTGCGAAATCAAGCGATAACATCGATTCGAGAACACGTCAAAAAATCGATTTAACCTCAGCATCTTTGGACCTTCAATCAAACCGGCAGACATCTTACAACCCTTGCTTGAATATGCAAAATTCGTATGCCTACGCCAACGATCCTCAACAAGTACTTCGCATAGTACCCAAATCCTCTCCTTACATTATAAATCCACCAATTTACCCGTATGTCCAATCTCCCTTCATGTTACCACAACAGTTCATTAATCAACAATTTACCAACGGACCCCTGCAAGTTAGTGGACCTGGAGGACAATTTTACATCTGTAATCCCATATCTGGACCCAACATGAACCCTGCAAACAGTAACAACGTTGCTGGTTTACCAGGAGTAGAAGTCAGAAGGGAATCTGCAAACCTACAAGAATTGGTAGGAAATGTTCAACACCTGGAGAACTCTTAGTAAGAATTTTTATTTTAATTAATTATATGGTATTTATTTTTTATAATTTAGTAACCGCAGTGGATCAAACGAGATTGAGTGCCCTACTGGATATTTCGCATGCGAAGATGGCAGTAAATGCCTTCCAAAATTCCATTTATGCGATAGCGAAGTAAATTGCGATGATGCCAGCGATGAGACGTTCTGCACGTGCAGAGAGAGGGTGGGAAAATTTAGGCAATGCGATGGCTACCAGGATTGCCCACAAGGAGATGACGAACTGGGATGTTTCGGTAAATAATTTGATTATCCTCAATGACATGGTGTTAATTGTAACTGATTGTAGGTTGCAGTGAAGACGAATTTAGCTGTGACGATTGGTCCAAATCCAGGAAGAGTACTTGTATTCCTATGGAGGAACGGTGCGATAATAAAATACAATGCCAAATAACTGGTAAAGACGAAGAGGATTGTTCGATTCTAACCGACAAAATCGGACCGCAACCGGTCAATAAAATTTCGAATGCTGTAGGATTCCTTCATAGAAACTACAAGGGCAAATGGTTTCCAACTTGCTACGGCGACCACGATTGGTCCATGGACGTATGTAAAATAGAAGCCGGACCAACTGCAATGTGAGCACATCCTGACAAACTATCAATCACTTTCACTCAGTTTTTAATCCCTTATAGGCTACCAAAGACCCACATGATGTTAACAACGAACCAATACGACGGATATTTCGTAAATAGCTTACCCAACGAAGACATTAGCTTGGTGAAAAATTGCATACAAGACAGAGCAACGTTCGTCGAATGTCCACCAATGTATTGCGGTATGAGAGTTACGATCCGAAACCCTTACAGAAAGAACGAAGTGGACGTTAGCGCCGAAAATATCATAGAAGACTTGGAAAGAGCAGCTCCCCAGGAATACGTTGAGGAACTGGTGGGTGACAGTAGAATTGTAGGCGGCAAACCGAGCCAACCAGCCGCTTGGCCTTGGCTAGTATCCATATACAAAAATGGAAATTTCCACTGTGGAGGTGTCCTGATCAACGAATGGTGGATAGTTACTGCTACTCATTGCGTTGATAAGTACGTAGAATTTGTCAAATATAATACATTATAATAGTGCTATGGTTCCTGGACTAAAATCCGAACGGTTTCGTCGTCTACGGCACTCTTTCTGAATAACCAATTACCGCATTATTAATATTAATGCCGGGTTTTTGAAGAAGAAACTCGCCGGCAATGCCAAAAAGGCGCATCAACCCGAATTTATGGGCTATTGTTGGATGTAACATCGACATTAAAAGGAACGGCGTCCGTTGTTACAATAAAAATTTAATGACCGGCCGAGTTGGTGCATAAAAATGCGACAAGACGAGTGGAAAAACACTGTAACCGTTTTTTTCCATCAAATCGACACTCGAAAATAACGCCCGTAATTAACGCATAATTTCAATTATCTTTAGATATTGGCAGTTTTACTACGAAATTCAAGCCGGATCGTTGAGGAGATTCTCGTACGCGCCGATGGAGCAACACCGCTGGGCCTCCGTTGTAATACCAAACCGCAATTATGACAGAACAACCCTCAAGCATGACATAGCGCTGATGAAGCTATCATCGCCCGTTCGATTCAACAGGTACATTAGACCAGTCTGTTTGCCCACGGAATTCACGGCCGGACGGGACTTCATGGCCGGCCCATCGCCGGGGACTATTTGCACCACAATCGGCTGGGGCGCTACTATGGAACACGGAGCAGACCGTTAGTATTCCTATTTATGTTGCAATAAAAACCCTTAAACATTTTTACATCCAGCTGACCATGTTCGCGAAGTGCAAGTTCCGATAGAGAAGTGCACGCACAAAGACGATCTTGGCGATGAAGATATTTGCGCTGGATTGGCTGAGGGTGGTAAAGACGCGTGTCAAGGTGATAGCGGCGGGCCGTTGTTGTGTAGGAATCCCAATAATCCCAATCAATGGTATTTGGCTGGGGTTGTTAGTCACGGGGAAGGTTGCGCTCGACCGAACGAGCCCGGAGTGTACACCAATGTCGCGAAATATGTAGGGTGGCTCGCGGAGAATATGGGTAAAATGTTACTAATATCGCGGATGTTATAATACAATATATTCGTTTTTAGATGAAACCAAATTTATAGCAAGATTCCCGCTACAAAAGTGTCCCGGTTACGAATGCAAATTAACCAATCGATGCGTACCAAAGAAGCGCGTTTGTGATAGAGTTGTGGATTGTCTACTAGCAGATGACGAAATTAATTGTCACTCGCCATCAAACCACTTATTATCTATCACAAGAACCAGTAACAACGAAGAAAATGACCCCATACTGCAAGCTACTTTGTCAAACACCAAAGCAAATTCGTCTGCACACGAAGGCGCAAATAAGTACTTCACTTGCAAAAAGTAAGCTACAAATTTACTCACCAATCGAGCATTGCTCAGCAAACGCAATTTTCCAGGCTGCTGCAACTGGTTCCTTCATCGAAGAGGTGCGATAAAACGCTCGATTGCGAAGACGGGTCCGATGAGGAGGATTGCAAGTGCGCCGATTACGTGAAGCACCAAAATCCTAACGCCATTTGCGACGGTATCACCGATTGCCACGACGCCAGCGACGAAAATTGCCGTGAGTAATTCGCCAGTTTCAGTACGATTTCATTGCTACAACATTCGTTTTAGTAACCTGCAATTCCGATCAATACTTCTGCAATCAAACTCAAAAATGCATCGATCTGACTCAACGTTGCAATGGCGTTGCTGATTGCGATAAGAGCGAAGACGAATGGGATTGTGGTAACTATAATATCACTTTATGTTTTGTATCCATTTACCAAATGCTGGGACTTTTATTCTGATCTACTTAAATACTTTCAGTTGCTTTAACAGACGGAAAATCTGTAACTTTCGACATTGCTGGCCGTCCGAATTTAATCCTCTCCGGCGTTCTCACTATAAATAAAAACGGCAAATGGCAAACTTTATGCCACAATACGAGCGAACAAGCCGCAGCCGTCGCTTCGAATGCTTGTTATATGATAGGCAAGTGATTATCTTCGTTTTCTTCCAATTACTAATTAACGAATTTTCCACATTAGGATTCGAGGACTACGTAGGCTTCGAGGAAAGACAGGAAGATGCACCGTTCAACGTGCCAAGCAAAGAAAACGAAACTTGCACCAGCTTGTACGTTAGATGTTCGAACGTTTCTTTAGATAACCCTATGCGTAACAAGCATCTCGATAACGTTACCGAAGAAATTGAACTTTATACTTCACCGTGGAACGCTGTAATTTATGCAGACGGCGCGTACAAATGCATGGGCGCTGTGTTGAATTCGCGTTGGATTGTCACATCTGTCGGTTGTTTCGATGGCATAACTAAGTGAGTTTTCAGCCATCTACACCTACTTTCCTAATCTTCGATTCGTTGTAGTTTGAGAGATCATTATGTTGTGGTGCTGTTGGGTAAAGGCAAGGCTGCGCTTCGCGTGAAAGGTCCGCACGAGCAAACGTTGAGAATCGTGGAAAGCGTGGAAATCTTAGGTACCGATATAATTTTGCTCAGGACTGAAAAGTATATAGAATTCACCAGATATGTGAAAGATGTTAGACTAAACATTCGGTAAGTTGAGATTTTTAGTATGTCGTTAGAATAGCTCATTTTTGTGGTGTTATAGAAGAGACGGTAGACGCAGGGAAAATTGCGTTGCAATTGGAGTTTACAACAACAAAGCGAAATACGTGTTTTTAAATCCCATAGAAAATTGCGAACCCGGATTAAGGTGTTTCGAAACCAAACTTAAGGAAAATTGTACAGTAAGTTACTCAATACATCCCGTCAATTCTCCCGCTTAATAAATACTTTTTAAGGATTCGAATCCTTGGAGTGGAAATGTATTTTGCGATTCTGGAAACGGTTGGTACACAGCAGCAGTGTTTTCAGAGAAAAAAGGACTCTGCGGATTATCATCGGTCCTCCAATACACCAGCCTCCCATTCAACAAAAACAGGATATTCAAGGCGATGGGTAATGAAATTCTTTAGTAAATCACCAACATCTATAACTTTTCTTATAAACTTCTTCATGATTTTATCCATTTCCGCTCCTTTACATGGAATTTTTGACGAAATTTCAGAAAAATTCTCGCCTGATGCACCCAGGCCCGAGTGCATGGGATTCCGATGTGCATTAGGCGAATGCATACCTAACAACCTGACATGCAACGGTATCGAAGACTGCGTAGGGGGCGAAGACGAACATCCAACTCTCTGTTACGAAAATGAACGCGCCTGCCATCTATACGGGCAATGCTGTAAGTATCAACCGAGTCCTGCTCATAATCTACAGGGCAATCCATTGGAAACCCATAGGGCTTTTGTAAGATGGAGCTGATGAATTTAATTTGCTACAAATTCAAATTTCTCTGTCGGAATTCCAGCTTGCCGCCATTCGGAATTGAAGTGCAACGACGGCAAGTGCATCCCGAAGAGTGCATTCTGCGACATGACCAACGATTGCGGCGACTTCAGCGACGAACCCCCTGTATGCAACTGCAGGGAGTACCTGAAACTCACCGACCCCAGGAAACTTTGCGACGGAGTTATACACTGCTTGGACAGGAGCGATGAAAGTCCCGAATCCTGCCCTTGTCCTTCGGATGGATTCCATTGCATCAGGTACTCAATTGTACTATACACCTTCGTTTACTAACACAAATATTCTATAGCACAAAGCATTGCATCATAAACGAAATGGTTTGCGATGGATTCGAAGACTGTCCGAACGGAGAAGATGAAAAAACTTGCTTGGATATAGTAAATGAAAAAAACGAATCGTAAGTGTAAAAAATTATTATAACACCAGATATACATTGATTAAATTTACACAGAACAAACGCCGGTGAATTGAAAAGAAGAACAGCAGGAGTGTGGCATTCGGGCTGCTTCAACGAAACCTACACCAAAGAAGAATTGAACACGATCTGCATGGATCTGGGATACAACAGGGACGGTACTGATCTCCTTCCTGCGATGGCTAAGCAGCCCGGTTCGACGTCGCTACGGCCGGAATTCGACGATTACCAAGTCGTCTGGATTTACAGGAAGGGCAAGAGCAGGTTTAATCTTGCCCTGCGCAGCGGCAACGAGCCCTACGTGAGGTTTGTTCCAGACGAAAATTGCCACAAATTATTTTTGTTGTGTTTATGAGACGTTTAATAAGGAATAAACCGTAAATGAAGTATGAAATTTTTATGTTGTCGGTAAGTATAAAATAATACATTAGTGTGAAATAACTTTATTTTATTTTACCACCAAGGAAATTCATTACAAATTAGAGAAATAATAGTTATAATAAAAGAAGTATTACATTACAAGGTATTACAAATATTAAAAGTATTACATGAATTACAAACATATTACAAGTATTAAAAAATTACATCAAAATAAAATGACAAACAACATTAAAACGGATATTCCGGATGCTCTTCAAACCTGAAAAATTAGGAATATATTTTTTAATTCATTCGAATGCCAGAGTACCTATGTAAGAACTTACTGAGGGAAGAAGTTCAGCAAATTTAAAATCCTGGGATTCGTTCCATCATCCAGCAAGGATAAAGCAGCCATGTCATTAATATCCAAATTAAAAGTAAGTGCCAGGAAATTCTCCTTTAATCTCTCCGGATTGGAACTCTTCGGTATGACGCACACATGCTTCTCGATCAAATATCTCAGCAGAATCTGGGCAGGGGTCTTCTTGTGCTTCTGTGCCACTTTCAACACTATACCGTCCTTCATCAGGGCCGGCAATTTCACCGCACTGAACAAGTAAATACATTAATATGTATCGAGATTTAGGGATTTCAAATACTCACTTTGGATCTTCAGGCGGAACTGGCGAGTCTCCGCTCGACGAGTCCTCGCCAGAAGAATCCGGTGCTGGCGTGCCAGTGGCTTCACTTTGAATTTTCAACAAACCTGGCGAACCAAGGGGCGCGTAGGCGACGAGAACAATGTTGTTGTTCTTGCAATACTCGTGTAACGTGCGCTGTTGGAAATTAACGTGCATTTCCACCTGCAAAACTACTGGTTTGATGACCGCTACTGCCATAACGTTGTCCAATTGGCGGGTGTTGAAATTGGACAAACCGATGTTCTTCGTCCTGCCGGCCTTAACTTGCTCCTCCATTGCCTATGTAAAAAGTACACGAATTATTTACTTAACGAGTAAATGCCCAATACTTACTTTCCATAAGGCGATGTGATCGGTAGGAACGGTGTCAGTGCAGAAGGAGTCGACGTCCTGGTAGCGAAACGATACTGGGAAATGTATCAGATACAAATCCAAGTAATCCAGCTGCAGATTTTCCAAGGATCTCTTCAAAAACGGCTCGACGGCTTCGGGCTGGCCACCGTGGAAAGGGAGTTTGGAGGTGACGAAAATCTCGTCGCGGGTGATCTTGCCGGCGTCCAGCCATCTCTTCAGCACTTTGCCGATGGCTTTTTCGGATTGGTACATGAAAGCCGTGTCGATGTGGCGGTAGCCGATGGTTAGGGCGGCTTCCACAGCGGCTTCGGCGTCTTCGTCGGCGGTGAATACCTGCAGGAATTTATTGGTAAACTTCTGGATATTTGCGAAAAAAATTGTTCTTACCGTTCCCAAGCCAATGGTGGGGATTTTGAAGCCGCTGTCGAGAGTGATGAATGTGTTCATATCTTTGTTGGTTTCCATTTCGGGGCAGCCTTTTCCTGGGGATTTTTTCGTTTCGGTGCTCTCTTTAGCCGACTTACCGTTGGTAGATGAACTGTTGGAATCTTTTTCCATTTTAAAAGGTTTTAACGCGTCGTAACACAATTAATGAAATTAATTTAAGAGAGAAGCTTTCTGGAAGGCGGCCAAAGTGGAAATATTCCAATAAAATCGACTTGCTCGCTATCGATAGGTAGTTTTTGGATATTTTTTTATATTCTAATTTGTTTTGATTGTCATGTAGATAAGGCAATTCTGGCGAGGATCGTACAGAAAATTAAACTAGTTTGTATATTTTAAACTGTATTTCTTAGTCATTCATAAAAAAGTATAAAAATATTCACACTCTTCAAATTTCATACTTACATCCTTCTACATACATACTTACAAAATACATTTAAAGCTAAATAAAGTACAATAAACGTATAAGTAATAATTATTAAAAAAATTAGGTATTTTTAATAAACGGTTTAATTATTGATCTTTTACAAGAGGGCGCTTAATTAAAATAATATTCGTAATTTACAAGTCTTAATAAAATAGTCTAGTAATTTATTATATTACAAAAATCATGGACAAAAATTACAAACATAATTTTAGATCAAAATGTTTGTAATAAATAAAAATGAATAATATATAAATATATTTTTAAAAGAAAAAAACAGTAGATCAAATAAGAGCGAAAGTGCCTAAACAGTCCTTTGTGCACTGAGAATTCCTTACACTGAGATTAGCAGATTTAAATATTTATACATACATTCTAAATTAACAATTACTTCGTACCTATTATGTTACAAACGAAAAACTTCCGCTCTCTTCAAACATAAATTAAACTTTATCATTATGGTACTTGCAATTAACATTTTAACTAGTTATTTAATTTGCTACTTGAGCAGTTCATGACCAGATTTGTTTATTGACCTTCACTTTCGCTGTCACTTTTGTCTGAAAAAAAATAATAAAGTTTTCACTCAACTATCTAGAGCTCAATTTCGTGTCAAGCAAAAGCTCATTCCACCATACCTTTCTTGCCGGGATAGGCGTGACGCTTCAGTCTATCGTAGAGGTCGTCCTTTGTACCGTATATGCTGGCGTTCGACCGGGCCAAGCTGTTCATTTTCCCGTTAACGCCGTTATGCAAGCTCTCCTTCATGTAAGTTTCGTTGTAGAAATTCGGCATCTCCCAGCCGTCCTCCTCGTCGTCGTAATAATGCGCGTAAGTCGAGTGGTGACTGGGAGCTATACTTTCCGCATAAGGAGTCGGAGCTCCATAGTAGAAGTTCACTTGCGAGCCATTTTGATCCGTAGCCGGCGTCAGAAGCTTCTTCGGCTCCTTCCTCGGATTCGACCTTTAACACCACAAGATTAATTTAATGTAAAAATGTAAGAAAAAAATACGTACCTCGCGCAAATCATCCAAATCAACAACACAATGAATATGATCAGAATGACGGAGGCGGCGATTCCTCCGACGATGTAAGCGAACTCGGACTTCTCCGAGCAGTGCTTCCCGGTGAAGCTGCCGACGCATCTGCACGACGGCTGTCCCCTGACGTCCTTGACGCAGGTGCCCTCGTTGTCGCAGAAGCCCTCGCACACGTCGAAGCACTCTTTGCCGGTGCCGTTGAAGCCCGGCTTGCACTCGCATTTGAACTGGTTGGTCTCGTGTATGACTAGACAGTAAGCGTTCGGGTCGCATTGCATTTCGGATCCTTTGGTTTCGCAGGGGTTCGTGCACTCCTTCACACTCGTCTGGAACGATACGTTATGCATGATAACAGATACATTTATTAGTTGCGAGTACTTACCGCAGCTGTTCCTATAGTGATGGTGTTTGAAGGGCAGCGGATGCACGAAGTTTGTTGGTACTCCGATTGGTAGAAACCTTGTTTGCATGGCACGCAGCTGTTCAAAGTGCCGTTGAGGTACCAACCGGGCGAGCATACAGGCAGGGAACATTCCTCGACTGTCACAGCGCCGGATTTTTGCGTGGTGGTTCCCAAAGGACACGTCTGGCAAACGGATTGAACGCCTTGCGTTCTGAAGGTACCTCTCGGGCAGGACTCGCATTTACCGTCGACGCCGAGTTGCTGGCCGTTGCTGCACTCGTCGCGACATTCCTTGATCGAAACAGCTTCGTTGGTTCTCGTCGTTTTGCCCAGGCCGCATATCTCGCAGGAGAAGGATCCTTCGTTGGGCTGGTAGAAACCGTGACCGCAGCTGCGGCAGTAGCCCGCTTCGTGGTCGAAGAACTTACCAGCTGGACACCGTTCTAAAACAGATAGTATGTGTGAAGCAAAGAGAAGGTTTCCTCGACAAAGTCTCCATTTACATGGAGAATGTAGAATTTTTAAGTACCTTTGCAATCTGCGGCACTTCGGGCTCCAACGCTAACTGTAACACCAGGTCTACCGGCGATGGGTGGGCATTGGCTGCACTGCGATTGGCCGGTTTCGCTTTGGTAGAAGCCTTTGGGACACGGAACGCAGGCTTTGGTTGAATTATCAAAGTAGCTACCGATGGCACATGGAACTAAAACCATCGATGTCAAAAATAATGTTATTAAATTGTTGTGGAAGAGTACTTACCGCAATCTGGAGGCATCACCACTTGCCCATCGGGACAAGCATAATCGGATTGGAGAATCAAAGATGATGGATCGGGGACGGTGTTGGGTAGGATATCGCCTACATCGAATTGGTCTTCTTCCAGAATGAGTTTTTCTAGAAGCGCTTTCACTGTTGTTCTTTCATTGGAATTTAAATTAACCACTGGATCACTGAGAAAACCAAACGCATTAGAAATAACCTTACAACAATACTGGCAGGTGTTTACAGTGCACAATCAAACTATGATAACGAAGTAAAAATTCTATCGTGAATGAATGCATTCGTCTAAAATACGAAAAATACGGCATGCTTACTTTATCGCCGGGAAGGAGATTTCTACGTCGTACGTGTCACTGGACGATTGCCTTCCTTGTCGGGAACTTCTACAATGATACGAAGATTCTACTACTACACATTCAACTAAACTATAAAATCTAAACAAGCCATGCAACTAACGAGAACGTACCGTGATAAGTGATACGTGATTGTGTCAAAGACTTATTCAACATGCTTATTATCGCTGTAAATCTTAATATAACTCACTTCTCTACCGGTACGTTGGTCTTGACGACGTAAGTACCGCCGTCTTCGTCCGATTCAGCGGCTTGTCTCCTTTGCCTGCCGGATCTGTGGTCGCATTTCACGTCAATGTTCAGCTCTTTACATTCCCTTGTACCGTCGACGGCGAAGGAACAGAAGTTCCAGTCTCTGTTTAGCGAGTTGACGGCGTTTCGAACCTTTTGCTTCAGCACGCCTTGACCTGCTTCGTTACAAAGCACCGAGCTCGGGAAGAGCATCTCGATTCTGAACACACGTTGGGCGGGTTTAGCGGCTGAAAAGAGAATGAGATGTTATTTGAGTAATTGGTAGAGGAGTGAAGTACTTACGAGAGCACGCTGGATAGACTAATGGTAGGTTAGAGTTTTTGGTGGGTCTCCAAAAACCTTCGGCACCGCAGGTGTAGAATAGCGGTATTTCCTGGGAGAATCTCAGGCCTGGGTTGCAGCCGATTTCGCAGACTTTGAATTGCCCGCCGGCGCCCCAATCTTTGCACAGTTGCATGCCGCCTACTGGGTCGGGGAGTTCCGGACAGAATTCGGCTTTAAAACGAATTGAACACATTAGAAATCTTTACAATTTGATTGCTTCATTAATACTTACATAATACTGATACTTTGAATGTACAAGTAGCTGTGTTACCGGCGGCGTCCGAGGCGACGTAAGCGATTTGGTAAATGCCCCACAGTAAGGTTTGTCCGGGTCGGTGACCGCTCTTTTCTTGTATCTTAGTTATGGCTACGTTGTCAGTGAAGTGGGGCTCGTCCCACACGACCAAAGCCGATCCGTTTTTCGTAATGATCCACAAATCGCCGGGGCAGTATTCGACTTTGGGTGGAATTTTGTCGACCTCCAAGTCTTGGCATTTGGATCCTTTGTAACCGGGCGGGCAGTTCCTTTGGCCGCAATGCGATGGCACTATCCTTTCCACACCTCCTACTGTGTCTTCGTAGCCAGCCCAAGTTAGTATCAGGCCTCTGTATAGCACGGGCTCCGTCCTGCAATCTCTAACTTGCTTCTGTACTTCGTTGGTCACGTCCAAAGCTCTTCCCCAAATTTGCACTTTAGTTAAATGACCTTGGAAACCTGATTCAGTGTACGCCTTCGGGTTACCAGTTTGCGGTTTTCCTAATGTAGCCCAAGCACTAAAAATACATCCCATAATAGATACCTTTCGATAAGTTTCGAGTACGATTCACTTACTATTCAGGTAACTTCCTGCCGCTTCCGTATCCTTTCACCTTGCTGGCTATCAGTCCCTCGGTGATGAGTTTGAGTTCACCGCCGTTTTCGCCGTCCCAAACGATAGCAATGTGATGCCATTGGGCGTCATTAACTGTGGTGTAGTCGCGGTAGCTTAAGTAGACATCTTGAAGATCGGGGAATATCGAAATTTGCACTCCGTTGGAATGCGCTTGAACTATCGGGCGTCTATCAGTCGGGACAAATTTGTCTCTAAAAGATTTCGTAACGTATAGGTGTGCAGAATATGTTCGAAAAAAATTAATTTACTTACGATACGCTGTAGAGCGTGAAGAATATGCCGTTTTCGTCCCTTTGAGTGAATTGCACCCACAAGGCAATCGTCATACTAGATTTCGAACCTGTGTAGAAAGGAATGACTTGCGAAGCCGAGCTTCTCGTTGCGTCGCTGAAGTACAAATCGTAATCCACAGAGATAGCTGAAAAATATTTATTTAGTTAAGCGTAAAATTTCTATAGATTTATCTAACTTTTTCTGCAATCTTCCCCGGTCAAATTAAACGGACATTTGCAGTAGAACTTCTCGGTCAAATCGATGCAGGTGGCGCTCGGCGGGCAGGAGTTCTCCTTGCAATCGACGATGTCCTCTTCGCAGAATTTTCCCGTGTACCCGGGCGGACAGACGCACCTGAAGCCCGGATACTCGTTGAGGCAGCTGGCGCCGTTCCTGCACGCCTTGGCCTGGCACGCGTCGTACTCGTACTGGCAGCCGATGCCGCTGAATCCGTCGCTGCAGGAGCAATTCAAACCGGACCCGAAGTCCTGGCATTTACCGCCGTGCATGCACGGATCGCCTATGCATCTCTCCGGGGCGGTTTCGCATTGCTTACCGTCAGTACCGGAAGGACAGCTGCAAGATTAATCCAGTAATTTTTGGTGGCGAATTTTCGGTATAATAACTTACACGCAGAAGTAGTCTTGGAAGAGATTGATGCAATTGGCGTCGTTTTGGCAAGGCCTGGATTGGCAACTACCGATGTCCGTTTCGCAATTGGCTCCGGTCCAACCGGGTCTGCACACGCAACGGTACGAACCGACTTCGTCTCTGCACGAGCCTCCGTTCAGGCAAGGCTGCGATTGGCAATCGTCGATGTTGGTTTGGCAAGCGTCGCCGGTGAAGCCTTCCCTGCACATGCAAACGAACTTGTTGTCCAAATCGACGCATCTCTCGGTGCCGACGGGGTTGCAGGGATCGCTCAGGCATTCGTCTATCTCGGCTTCGCATTGCAAACCGACGAAACCCGGTCGGCATTTACAAGAGAATCCGTCTACCAAATCCGTGCAAGTAGCACCGTTTTGGCAGGGCTCTGATGAACAAAAATCTGTAAAACAAACGCATTAATAAGTATACAATAATGTTACATATTAGCTTGTTGTTACCTAAAGTGTGTTGGCATTTCTTTCCGGTATAACCAGGCTCGCAGGTACATTTAAAATCATCGATTCCATCCATGCAATGCCCGCCGTTTTGGCACGGATTGGGCTGGCAATCGTTGATGTTGGTCTCGCAAATGTCTCCTGTCCATCCGCGTTCGCACACGCATTCGAAATCGAACAGTTTGTCGACGCACACGCCGTTCTTGCACGGGTTCCGGCTGCACATGTTGATCTTCTCCTGGCATCTCTTGCCGGTGAAACCGGCCGGACAGGAGCAGCTGAAATCGGCCACTAAATCCGTGCAATTGGCGCCCAACAAGCAAGGTTTCTCGGCGCAATCGTCGATGTTCGATTCGCACATTTGGCCTTCCCAACCGGGCAGGCATTCGCACATGAACCTGCCCTGTTGCAGGGCTACGCAACTCGCTCCGTTGTGGCAAGGATTTCCGTTTGCAGTGCAAGGATCGATCTACAAACAAACCAAATTAACTTTAAAATTTAAATACTCAGGGCGAGTATATTACCGTAACATCGCAATCGAGTCCTGTGTAGCCCGAACGACAAAGGCACGTGTAATTTTTATAACCAGGCTCATCTTTGCACATGGCTCTAGCAGGGCAGGTATCATTCGAACAATCAGAGCGCTCTTCTTGGCAGTTGACACCCGAATAACCAGGAGGACATTGGCATTTGTACCCTTGCGGCAAATCAATGCAAGTACCACCATTATAGCAGGGTTGCGATGAGCATTCATCTATATCTACTTCACATCTTCTTCCAGTAAACCCAGCAGGACAGAAGCAATGCACCGTGTGTCCCATCGGTATGCAAATTCCTCCGTGTTGGCAAACGTTTTCCTTGCATTGCACCGGCCGACAATCGTCCCTTCCAGTGGATCCGGGAACTTCTGTCTTCATCTTACTGGGACATTCCGTGCAAGATGTTTGACCGGTGAGGGATTGGTAGAAACTGTGCGGGCACATCGAGCAAGGAGCTAATCCAGTCGGTGAGTAATACCCAGGGCTGCATTTTGGTCTGCACTTATCTTTGCCGGTAGCCGCTGGTTGGTAGGTGAAAGTATTGGCCGGACATGCCTGGCAGTCTTTGAATCCTCCGGTGGGCGGTTCGCTGGTGAAACTGTTTCTGGGACATTCGAGGCAAGGGACTAAACCTGTAGGCGAGTACGTTCCGTAACCGCATACCGGTATGCAATCGTGGACGCTCTTTGAACCTTCTTCGCGAGTGTATGTACCCTGCGGGCATCTGTTACAGGAGCCTTGCCTGTCGCGGTTCTGATAGAAACCCTTCGGGCAGTAAGTGCATTCTTTCTGTTTCTCTCCTGCGAACGTTCCGGCTGGACAATGCACTGGAATCAAACTTGAAATTACCAACCGTATCGGTTGGAAATAATGAAATACTTACAGCATCTAGGAACATCGTTGGTATCCATGTTCAGAACCTCGCCAACGTTACAGGTGAATCCCCTTTGGTTCGTAGATTTTAGAGCTTTGAGCGGCGGACATTGATTTCCAATGGAAGAAACGTTCAGCAGCGGTTCGACCACAGCATTTGCGTACGGTACTGATAAATCGAACATTAAATTCAAAGTACTGCCGCAAAGGTCGTACAGCTGTGGCTGCCTTACAACCGGCATTATATCCAAAATATAATCGACTTTAACGACATTCTCTTCCACCAATGTAGCTAGTGCATTGATGAAAGTTACATTCATTTTAACGTTCACTGCAGAACATCTTTCCGATAGAACCATGTTGAGGTTGTTGTAGTATTGAGCCAGAAGCTCGGTGTATTGGTTCAAGCACGAGGTGGCTACAGCTCCATTAGCTCTGTAGTTTATTGATGCTGTGAAGTGGTAATCAGCTTGTTGGGTATCTGAAATATAACAAGTTTGGTAAGTAATTATAAAATTACTATGAAACCGGCTACTCACTTTCTGAAACACAATCAGGTATAACAGAACTAGGTTTCCAAGGTCCGTTAGTATCGCAAGCAAACGTTTTAACTGGATCTCCGTCGGTAAATCTATACCCGGGATTGCAAGTACCGATGCACTGCAAACCTTTATCTCCCGGTAAACAATTTAGAGCGCCGTTTACGGGCGGTTTGAGCTCCCAATCGACGCACGGAGTAGCTTGAACGGAGACTTGGAAGTAGCAGGAAGCCTTGTTTCCGTACTTATCGGTCGCCACTACGGTCACGTTTTTGAAATCGCCGATGGAAATTGTGGCTTTGTCCGGATTGAAAGTAACATGGACCTCTCCCGATGCATCAGACACGTTCAGTCTTCGACGGGTTTCGTTGAAGTTTATGACATAACTGTCCTGTTTGTCTACCAATTCGATCACGTAACTTTGAGGGCAGCTCAATTGGGGTGGAGTGTTATCTGGAATAACAATTAATTGGTTAAATCCGAGTAGCATAAAAATAATTGATTAGTGTACCTGGAACGGTAATGTTGATTTCACAAATAGCGACGTTGCCGTCGTAATCATAAGCTACGTATTTCACGACGGTGTCTTCGAAAACGTACAAAGGCGTTCTGAAACTGGCTGGTTTTATTTCTAATCTTGCTATGCTTCCGGAATTATCCACAGCTGTGGGTTCTGTGAAGTTTACTGGCAATATTCCGCCATTGGCGTCCTTTTGTACTACAATTGGTTGTTGTGGACAATTTTGGAAAACTGGTGTTTCATTGTCTAAAATAATAAAGGGTAAGTGAAAAATGTTGGGGATTTTATTTTAGGTTAATTCACTTACCGACACACGGTGAGTATCCATAATCGTAACCAAGTAACGGTTCTTTATCGGGTTCATCGCAACCCATTAATTCGAATTTTAGGCAAGCGTTGTCCATATAACTGACGATACCCAAAATAACGAACCTCGCTTGAACGTATTTAGGTAAAGATATCATAGCCAGTTCTCCGTAATTACCGGGATCCCTCATCGTTAGATTGAAATTAGGGAAGTATACAACGTAGTTCTCGTTATCAGCTTGCTTGTAGAAAAATCGGATCTCAGTAGGTCGACCGACGATATCGTTAGTAACAACACCTTTGACTAATATGGCTTTCACCCTGTAAATTTTACCCAAATCCACGCTGACGTAGGTGAAGGCCTCCTGTTTGCCGCACCAGCCGGTAACGGAGTTCAATCTCACGTTCCTGGCTTCGTAATTCGGCCGTTCGCTGGTCGCGTTTATAGCCGAATCCGGTATTTTCCCGGAGGCGATGCCCAGCGGGCGCACCACTTTGCATTCCGGATCCCGAACGCACGTTATCGGTCTCGGATTGATCATGATGTAACCCGGCCGGTTGCAGCCGAACGATATCTCCGAGCCTTGCTCGTAGCTCCTGGAGATCTGGTAACCGTCGCTCGGCCTGCCCGGATCCTGGCACACGGGCCCTTCGCACCGCAAATCGCCGAAATCCCAGACTCCGTTGGCTTGGCACCTAACCACGTTGTCGTATTTGCTGCTTTGGCCGGCCAATTTGAACGTGTTTTGGCAACCGAAGAAGAATGAAGATTGGTATTTGGTGTCCACGTATTGACCGTACTCAGCGCCTGGACTTGGAGGTGGAACGCCGCAATCAACTCGAGGACACGATGGAAGAATACCGCTCAACCAGTAATCAGGTAAGCCCTATATACAAGTATTAATTGTAAAATGTAGAAGGGGTTTAAATGAGGTTTACTTACAGGTTTAGGATCGTACACGCATTGTCTGAATGATGATGTTGAAGTTCTTCTCAATGACCTACCGTTGCTGTTACAATTGAGTGTTACGTTATCACGGAACGGTACTAAAACGCTGTCTTCATCGTTGCGCAAAACTTTGAGACCTTCGTTTTTGTCGTCTGGTAAAGACACACATTGGGCATCTGCATGTAAAAACGAAACGTGTTTCAAACAAGAAGAACAAGACAATTGTTTGATGACTTACATTTGCATTCCGGTACAGTTCCATTCCAAACACCCGACGAAGAACAAAGCAACGAAGACGAACCGGTCATCACGTAGCCAAAATCGCACTGGAACCGCACCAAATCGCCGAAATGGAACTTATCTTTAGTAGACAAGATATGCCCATTTTCGGGCGAAGTTAGACTCGGGCACATGACAGGCACGCAGGATTTGTTCACTTGGTACACGTCTCCGTCGCGCGCTCCCGTTTCCGAGGCTTCGATGTTGAAAGAAGCGGTGCCGTTGCGCGTGTACAGCTCGTAGCCGATGTTGCAGCCGCACGAGTACTCGCCGGCGTTGTTGATGCACTTCTGCTGGCAGCCGCCGTTGTTGACCGAGCATTCGTTGATGTCGATGCACTCCAATCGAGTGCAGCCCATCACTTCGAGCTTCAGACAGGGCGCGCCCACGTAGTCTTGGATTTTGAATTTGATGTATTGGGCTTCGATGGGTACGGGGAGGTTGAGGATGGACAGGGTGGGTTTTTCGATGGTAAATTCGACCGCCAACCCGTCGGGGTTTCTGTATTCTTTGAATACGTCGGTTAGATCGTCGGTGTATTGAATGCGAACGGCTGAAGTGAAGGCCACGTTGCCGTCTGATCTTTGGACGGCCATTGTACGAAAACCTCTTATAACAGTCGGTGCTTTTAAGTCGATTAGTACCCAATTCGAACCGCCTTCAATCGTATTGCCACACCATCCAGGTCCATTCAAACGTACCATCTATTAACAAAAAATATATACAAACCCCTCTAACACAATTCATCATAATTACTTACACTTTTGTCGTATCCCGGCTCATTGCTGGACACAGTGATCGATTCGTCGGGAATTCCACCATTAACTAAACCCAGATCTCCCACCGGCCTGCATTCCTGAGTAGTTTCGAAACCTTTTCGACATTTGCAATGGAACGATCCCGGAACGTTGACGCATTCGGTCGAGGCCACGTCGCATTGGCTCGTGATACATTCGTTTATATCCTCACATCTCGGAGCGTTGTTGAACAGCTGGTTTTCGCCGCATCTGATGATACTGTTGCCGATCAATTTGTAGCCCTTGAAGCACTGCACTCGGGCTTCGTCGTTGAAGTAGTAATCCCTGGCGGTGTCGGTAAGGAAGCCGTTTTGGATTTCGGGAAACTCGGGACATTTCGCGCCTAAGGTAAGTAAGTAAATACAATTGTTTAATTTAATGTAGGAATGTCTTACGTGAACAAATTGGGACGTCTCCGGACCAAGTGCCGTTGCTCATGCACAAAATCACGGGCGGACCGCTTCGTATGTAACCCGGTTCGCATTCGTAACGTACAATTGTACCGTACGATCGACCTAAACCGTTCAAAACTGTAACGTTGGCGTGTGGAACGTCCGGTAAGGATGAACATTGAGAAGCTGGAATAGAAAATAAAATAAACACATACGCTTCGTCAATTTATAGCTCCATCTTACCCAAGCAAGTAGGTTTCTTCTCCCAATGTCCGTCGGAGAGACAAGATATCCTTTCGATGGCCTGGCCGCTTGGAAAAGCGAAACCGGCGTAACATTGGTACATAGCCTGACCTCTGTAAGTTACGTTAGTGGATCCAATCGAAAAACCGTTGTCTATTTGTGGAACGGGTCCGCAGTAAACTTCCTGGCATTTTGGAATGTAGCTGATAGACCAATTACCACCCAGCATGCACTGAGTTGTTAATCTCGTTCTACCGGTCGCGAATTCTTGCCCGGTAGGACAACTGAATGTGATTATGGTGCCAAAAGCCGTGTCTCTGCTGGATGCCAATGCGCCGATTCCAGGCTGAAGCGGCGGGCAATCTGAAAATCGCCGGATTGTAACATTTCTTTGAAGTTGCTGCATGGAATTCGCATACCTGCTGAGAAAGTAGCCTCCCAACCGACGTTGTTATGAAGGGCGTCCGTTGTGAAACGCACCAGCATCTCCCCGCTCGAAGCGGTTAGCGTAATTTTGGGCTTGGCAACTGCGGTGAAACCGTTGCCGGAATGAAGCCTCAATCCGCTGGTGGTTGTACCGTCGAAGACTTGCACGAAATCCGATTTATCCACGTCGAAATTGCCGAAGTTTAGCGACAACGCTTGACCGCCTGGGTTCTTTATTTTGTACAAGCATTCCTGGTTGCTCGGATAGTTTTCCAATCCATATGCCGGAGATGATATCGTTCCGTTTCGAGCAACAATCGTCGCTTTACAACCTATGAACCGCACAGTTGGAGTATTGATGAGTGTTTAGTAAAATGTTTGCTTACCTTGAGTGTATCTGATTCTAAATCCTCTTCTGGAGTCGCCCAAACGAGTTCTGAAGTAGATATAAACGTGGTTGCCAGTGGACATGATAACTTTCTGATTGTTCTCCCATTTTCCCGTCAACTTAGCGATCGGTTTGCTCTTCGGCGAATCGCCGTCTCTCACCAAAATAAAATCGCGAGTCTCGTCCAAATCCAGATCGTCCACTTCCAACGTTATGATCCTCCCGCCCTGCGATTGGATAACGTACAAACACTCCAACCCTCCAGGATACTGCGATGGATAACCCGGTGAACTGAGCACCTGTCCTTGCGGCGTCGCCCTGAGCGTACCTCCGCAGGTTTGCGGCTCGGTTTTCCAGCTGGCCCTGAAGCCCTTCCTCTCCACGGAAGCATCAGTGCTGAATTTGATGATCATGAAATTCGAGCCGGACACGAACGATCTGTTAGTCAAGTCTTGCTTTCCGGACAGCGTGGCCAAATTCACGGACGTGTCTTCGGTTCTACCGCCCGCCAGGATTTGCACGGTATCGAAGGTCTTCTCGGTCTCGAACTCCTGGAACTGCAGCAGGATGTTGTGGCCCTGCGGCCCTTCCAACGTCCACTTGCAGTTCGTCAATGGCGCGTACTTGTGGGGATAGTAGGGGCTCTCCACGACGTCGCCGCTGCTGGCCAGGTAGAAGTTGCAATTCAGGGCGCAATCCAGCTCGTCGGAGCCGTCGCCGCAGTCGTCCTGTTTGTCGCAGCGGAATTTCTCGTTGACGCAAAGGCCGTTGGAGCAGTGGAAGGAGCCCGTCGGGCAGGCCTTCGCCCTGCACATGAACGGCTGGAGGCTCTCGCAGGTGGTGAGCTCCCACGATTGGGATTCCTCGGTTACGATAACGTCCACGCATTCTCCAGATTCCGGATCCGGCTGGTTGAGAGACCAAAAACCTGAGGAATTGCAAGGTAACAAATCGTTTTTTTTTGGTAGGGTTTTATGAAGTACCTGAGTATTGTGAGACCAAGGCTCCTGCTGCTGATTCTAAGGTGTTGGTTCTTAGATCGTCTAATGAAGCTAAACCTAGCCAGTAGTGGTTCGCTCCTCGCCTTTCTAGTGGTACAGAGGATGTGGCGATGGTTGCTGTTATATTATTTTCGCTATACGATTCTACTGCCATTAACTCACTGCCATATCTGAAAAGGAAAATGTAAAATTACCTAACGGGTTATGACCGGAAGGAAAGAAAGACTCGCCTAAGGCTCGTGTCGTAAACTTATACATCATGAATAATAATTAACCCGTATACTATCTCTTATATCAACAGTTTTTCATCTGCATAACTTTTTCAATCAAGTGCATGCATGATTATTGATTGTATATAGAAAGGTTCTGAATAAACTTTTGAAGAATTTAATGGTCGCGTTGGTAAAAATAAATCTTTGTAAATGCTACACGTATGATCTTATTGCTATTCCGAGTGCGTGTAACACTTTTGCGACGATGAAAGTGGAATGCACCGCACCTATTTGATTTTCCGTACTTAGAATGGACTGGTAGAATGCGCTAGTGATCGATACTTCCTGTTCGCCGAAGAACTTTCAAGGAAAACTCCGGCGTTTCCCTGTGCGTTCACCCCAACGGATAGTATAGAATATGCGTTGAAAAGAATGTTCAAATCTGGGTCTTCAACCGAACATACAGGTGTAAGGATCACCCGAGGTATAATTGGAATTCTTGTCGAATTTTCGACTACCTGCGCAGGATTGGGCTCGTAAATTCCATTGATCGAAAGTATGAAACTTTTGTGTAGTATTGAGTAAATTTTTAATCACTGTAAACTCAGTATTATGAGGTATTAGATGACACTCGCTCAATGATTACGTGATGATTAGAGAATTTAATGAAGCCGGTTCTGAGGCATTATTAATTTCGATCACAAACCTGTTATGGGTCCTTCCATTTTTTTTCGAGCGAGTGTCAACAGGTCAATCGACGCCCGATTGGGAAAAAAATAATCGTTAGATACCAACCGATTAATATGTAAGCTTTCTAAGTGGGCTACTTTATTATTTATACATACGTACCCACATTGTGTATATACGAAATGCCTACTTAAAGCGTTTTATAACGAGAATAAAAAACTATCGCCTTTTATCATTGGTAATAACCGTTAAATAGAAAGTTTCTAAAATACGAATTTTTATTTGTACAAAGTTTTCCGCCGAATACCAATCGCGGGAACTTTCCCTACCAGTAGACGATTCGGAGAAACTTTTTTTATCTCGAAATTTAAGGATACATTTTTAATTTTATCAGGAAAACACTACACATCCTTCATAAACAGTTTTGATTGAAACGAAGCAAATTAAAGAGAAATCTCCGGTGAAGCGTATCGCGGATTTTTCTAACGACCAAAGCGGCGAAATTTTCATAAACACCCGTAATCCCGAATCAAGCCGGGCAGCTGAGCGTTAAGAGGCAATGGAAGAGAAAGAAATCACGCAACGAGAGATTTAATAATCGATTTGATGTGCTCTACATCTGTAACGCTGCATTAATTTGTTCAGCTCTTATTACTCATACGGTACGCGTGCTAATTTTTTAATCACGCTATATATTTGCCCAGGATCCGAGAGTAATATCTCACATTATCACTGTAGGTCAATAAGAGTGTATCTAAATATTTTACTATAATCCGTAGGTTCAATTTGACTCACTCTATACCTAAATGAATAGAATATTGTCATTGCTATTAATAACGTTAAAATATTCTGCACAGCATGTTGGGATCGTTAATCTCAGTTTAAAATCGTATTTTATATTTCTTCATTCTATTATCTTGCATTATTAGAAAGTTTTGTTTTATTTTGATCTTAGACTTTAGATAATTTTTTGCACTTGATTGAGCGTTTCCAAATGATTTTTCGATGTTTTTATCTCGATTTTTGGGATTGGTGTTGTACTCGAGAAAATTTCTAGACGCCGAAAATTGCATTAGCACCGACAAAAGAAAAAGTAGCGATCGGTCACGCTTTTTTTTACACCTAACCTATCGTTACATAAAGAGAGATCTCGCGGGCTCGGGCTCAGTCACCTGTATAAACTAATATTTATTATTGAACGTGACTAATTTTCTAACGTTTCATCAAATAGCGAACATTAGAGTAATTTGTTATTTAAACGGAACTTTGTAGCGAAAATTAAATTAGACTGTGGAAAAAATGTTCCATTTTTGATGCCTAGAAACTCTATAATACAAAAGAATTTCTCAATTTATTATTAACTTTCAATTTCGAAGGACTCTATCCAACTCAAAAAAATGAGTAATTAATACACCATCAATCTTTCTTGCGCCGAAAGCGTTGTAAATAATAATTCATCAAGAATATTTCCCAAGATCATTTATCAAAAATATCTTGTTGAAAACTGAAATATGCACGGTGAGTGATTAAAAAATCTGGAACAATCTTAAGGTATGTATAATTTGTTATACTTACCTAAATTGCGCTCGTATAATATTAATAATAGTGTTATAAAGGCAATCAAAAACGTGTTTGCTACAGAATTACTTAATAGAGTTTTGAATTATTTAGAAATTATTTTAGAATTTATGCTTGATGTTGCGATAATGTTAATTATGCATCTCGGTAAAGATAAGACTATTAGATATAATTTAATTCGCTTCAATAACACAAATATCTTAAAATGTTTGATAAAATGTTAATTAGTTTAATCGTAATTGGGTAATTTTCCCTACAATGCAGTGTGGGCAGTATTAATCCATTAATTACATAATGTAATTATCTGCAAGAACACTAAATGGCACTTAAAAAATATTAATCACCTATAGCAACAATCAATATAGAAATTCCTTCTAAAAAATTACATAAAATGTAGGCAAGAACAGACAATAATTGCGAGTGAATGTAGGCATACACAATATATCTCAGTTGTATAACCCATTCAAATTGCGAGAGAAAAAATACCATCGCTCAAACCATCTTCTTAGCTAGGATTTATTGTAAAGTAATATTCCTTGCGTAATCGAATACTAACCTTCTACAAAGTTCAGCAGCCTTCTCCCATGAATGCCTAATATTAAAAAATTTATAACAGTGGAGGCCGCGCAGTTCCCATCCTGCAAAAAAATACAATTCAAATTAACTAATTATAAAACGCTAAAATAACAGAATTAAATTCGTTTAAATTCGAATAAAGCTAAATGCAATTATGTATATTTTATACGTACTTAAATACAACCGTTTTTAAAATGTGTACTAATATTATGCGAGGCTCTTGTTATTTCACGCACTGGTGAATAAAAATATGAGTATTATACTTTGTTACTCAGATGATAGTATTATAAATTTTATCGCACTAGTGCGTAATTTAATAAATTGTAATAAATTCTATTGCTTTTTCAGAAACTATAAGTGTATATTTTTCAAAAAATGGTATCAATATCTCGGGGATAGTTTTTCACGGTATAGGCATTGTGAAAGTATTTTCAACATTTCCGCAAAATCGGTCCGAGTATGTGCACTTGCCCGTGTAATGAGATCGCTTCGATTAGAATAAAAACACGTCCGATTTGAATAAGTAATTTCGATATACATAAGAGAAACGTCTAATGTCGGCATTCAAAGCGAATTAATTAGTGTTCATTAATATTGAACAGAGAAAAAAATCATAACGCGCCCGTGAATTACCACATGGATATTACGCAATTTAAAATTTTATTCTATTATTGCGATCGAAATGTTTGGCCCGTTTCTTCGTATATGATTTGCTTTATTTGCATACGTTTTAATGAATATATTTCGAGTCCTGACTGAGGTAAAGGTCCAAATAACTGCAATGCATACAGAATAAACTAAAGATTCGTTGATCATTGAAAATTTTGGGTTTTAATGGAATTTTATGAATGGGAAATAGTGATTACTACAAAACGTAGTAAATTTTGGGCAAGGTCGTTTCGCTCGTTCATTGATAAGTAATATCATGGGTGTCTTGGAACAACCTTTAACTTGTTAAAGTTGTTAATCGTATTAACACTTCCTTTGCTGATAATTACAGTAATATTTACATTATAAAGCGAAATGCATAAATTAATGGGGAATTTTTTGTGCATAAAGATTATAACACATGATTTGCAATGTGATATTTACGTTTATGTAACCAATACATGTTTATGTCTTCGGCTATTTTTTTATCTGTAATTAAAATAAACGAAGGTTGCAATGGTTATATAAAACAGTGCCATTAATTGCAAATCCTATAAATTTAAATCGAACATAAACACAGTATATTTAATGAAAATAATAAAATTATTCAAGAGGTTTTATAAAAAAAGTAGCCATGTTCGATTTTGAAAACCTGTGTCCTGAAATTGTCATAATTTATTTATAGAACCTCTGCAAAGATGATCTTTCTGTGCAGTCAAATCTAATTTTATTGGTTACTCATTTAGCAACAATTTCAGCATACATATAGTCAAGTATTAAACTCTTCTAAATCCGGTGGAATTATTTTTAGCAAAACAACTCTTCTTCCGACGCTAAAAATTCAATTACAACAGTTCTTATGCAACGCGAAGGATCGTCCATTAATAAATGCTAACAGATGAGTCAGTCGCGAGGAGGAAATGTAGAAGAAACGGAAAATATTGCCGTAATTAGACCTTGGCATTTTTATCCGTCAAAGTATTAAGTTCGTATTAAAAAATAACGCGTTGGTAAACCGCATTTCTTTGCAAATATGCACGACATCAAGGCGACCTCTTTGGTCACCAAGTCGCTAACTGTATTTAGAATTACCTTACCAAACGGTTTTGCACAATCGAACTATCTCTAAACGCGCATGCAGCAGTTAAAATTCGATATCTTTAGATACATACAGAGTTTATTTTAGACTCCTTTTTAATAAGGAGGTAATAATTGAATTGCGTTAGATGATTATTCATAAATCCTGTGGAAATTGCTTTTCGATTCCTCGACGAAAGGAATGCAGTGAGGAATTTCCATCGACTGAATATGACTCACGTAATTTAAAACACTCCTTTAATAATAATCATGCGAAGTGACAAGCAGACACCGTTCACTTGTTCGGTTATTAAGATGGCTTTAACTACCACATGCGTCTCGAAAAAAAGTCGTACACGACCTACTTAGTTTTCAGAAGAAGCGCCTACTCGGTTATAATTTTTTAAACCAACCAACTTTAAAGTTTCTACCTTTTTTTCGCTAATTTTCTTTGCCCAGTTCAATTAAATTATTATACAGATAAGAGCAAATTTGAGTTGAAGAAAGGAAGATTATTGTGGGTAGAGTGAGAAAGTTTCGATCCCACAATATCACTCTTTCTTTTTCCTTTATATGAGTCTAATGGAAGTTGCCTTTGTTGCACTTATATTGCGTGCAAATTTGCACTTAACTGTTCAATAATTTTAAAGTAACTAATTCGAAACTTACCCGTTGGACAACTAAATAGATTTGTCGTAGAATTCTAAAAAGAAAAAATACAATTAGATTACTCTGTCTGGAAAGGTTTTAGTAAAAGATTTAGATATAAATACGACATACCTGTGTTAAACATTCCCTAAATATAACTAATATGGCGACCAATATGGTCGCCTGTAATCGTATCAGCATCACCCTGAAACAAAATAACACAAATTTAGAATGACACGAACAAAATTGCAGGTTTAACGTAAAAAAAACTGTTATTACAGTAAATGATGATAGTGATTGAATAACCTTGCATGTTTGCCTCAAAATCGAAATTGTAATGCTTCAAATCTAAAGGTAAAGGTCTTCTTTAGGTACCCATAACTAATTAATATCTCGTGCTTTGAATTCGGAATATCGATTATAATGTTCAAACTATATTTGTGCGAGCTTTACAATAACTTTCTATTCGGAATTTATTGCAATAACATGTCAATCAGACAACGATTATTAGGGTGGGTTTCTATTCAAATAAGTAACCAAAGATCGGAAATAAACCAGGTTCATTCGTTTCTTTTGAAAGATACTAATGCAAATTGAAAAGAAGAAGAGTTTCCTAACTAAAAGTGAGGAAATCCCCCACAATCAACGAACAATTCATGCACTTAATCTCATCTGCATGCGTTATAGGATGGCGTTGGTTGGGCATAATTACAGCAAAATTAGTCAAAAACAAACTACCAACACAATTAAACCGTCCCACGTTGGGAACCAAAAGTCATGTTCGCAACGAATTTGGCAACAATGCGCATAGTTAGATAAATTCTTACACAACCGTTGACCCACTTTATCTCTTCAGCTCGATCGGGCGGCGTTATTCGCAACGAAACCGATCGGATTGGCAAGGCGAGCCTTCTCGGAACATACCAAGGCAATCAGAATTTATAATTTTTGAAATTTCTCGCGATGAAACGCGCTTTTAACCGTTAAAGCGAACGGGAAAAAGCGCCGGCCAGATTCGTATACACGGGACGCGCGCGAACCCGCATTCGAATGGACGAATCGACGCTGCGCGTGGTAGCCAAGTCGGTTTCCGTTAATTCATAAATGATACTTGCCTAATAACGTGACTGGATTAGAAATTCTATTCAAATTCGAAGGAATTTAAACCAACTACGATCTACAAGAGGTAATAAAGGGTGCTTCAATAAGAGCGCAAGATTTTAAGGTTCAATAAAACAATGTTATCTGTAGCAAAATATGGAAATATTTATTAATTTATCATGTGTACATTTGGGAATTGTATATGAAACAAAATATCTTGTAAATGGCTCACGGCTTTGCTGGCACAAGCGTACTCTTTTGATAAAATTTTCAATAGCATTATTGTATTGCACCTTGCACCATTTCCGATTGCAATATGGTCATTTCTATGAGTAGAACAAAGAAAGATTATTAAAATGACAGTTGTCAGAGTGAAAAGTTGCAATGATACAAATGTCACTCTTTCCTTTTCCTTTATAAGTGTCTAATGGAAGTTGTCTTTATCGCACCCTATGTTGCGATCAAAAATGGTGCAGCCTGTATGTGGCGGTATTTACTAACTCCCAACTGTTAACTTTCGATCTGTTATGTTATAATCACGTGTTATTATGAATGTCAAACATGACAGGCAATTCAAATCTAGCGGTCTTATTCAAACACCCTTTATAACCGCTTATGTAGATGGAAAAAGTGTTGGGAAGAGGCGATGGTGAATAAAAAAGGAAGTGAATGAAATTTTCTCGTTATTGGTGCACTTTTATCGATTCGCGGAAAAATTTCACTGACACCGAAAAAGATCAGAATTAGAAAACATCTGTATTTGTTGGAGTAACAACTGATGTCAGTAGGTCATAAGCGGCCGGCTCGTTTATGACTCGGCCGGATCCGATACATGCGAGAAAATCTAGCCATATAATCGAAACTGCCCATACTAAACTGCAACGCTCTGAATGATCGAAAGAGAAGCACGAACTGCACTTAGGAAACGTGCGGAAAAATATTCTAGGCGTACGATCGCATTGGACCGGAAAACTGCCCTAGTCGAAGGCTAATACATCGAGGAACTGAAAATTTCAAACCTCTCTTACATTTCTACAATGTTATTCCGGTTGATGTGGAACGGTGTAATAAATAAATTTGAAATAATAATAGGTTCAAAATTTAAATAAACATTCAATACATGTATGGAATCTGGCGTAACGGTAGCCTCGTCAGTTGATTAGCTATTCAGCTGGTAAATTGGGATTTTGTAAATTCATATACGAGTACAGCACGAGTTTAATACGGCCAATGTTTCCGCTTTGTAAGTCTACTTGCAAAATAAACGGGTGTTTCGTTCGTGACGAATTAAAATCGAAATTAAAAAACCTACGGGATACACCTATTGGTGAAGCCCACAAGAAGTTGCTTAATTCCATTAAAAAAAAAATAGATTATCTTCGACAGCCTTTAAACTGACAATAAATCCACTTAAGTGCATTCTCTAGTTTCCGAATGCAACAATAAAAATATCGAGGTTAAGGCGGAGTGTTTTTCAAGTTCAAGAAAATTGTATTAGATGACCGAACAAGGTTAATCGAAACAGAAGGAATTCTGTTTAAAAAAAATTCAACATTTGACCTCGATGACCGAAAACCTCTCAAGAATAACTACTTTTATGCTAAACGCGCCTATCGCGACACACGGTGACATTTCTTTCGAACGAGTTTATAAATTTTCCCAAAGCCAAATCGAGATCAAGTCGATGCACGATAATAGATATTAATAAAACGATTATCACATCTATTGTTTTTGATAATACTTTCATACATTATTATACAACAATCGTTTTTATGTTTATTTATAATTATATTACAATTTCTTCCGGATACTTCTACACCTTCCACTCGTATATTTAATTGTATAAATTGCAGCAATATAAAAATCAAGCGTACCTAATCAAAAATACGTGTAAAGAAGCCAAAACACCAATTTCTCAATAAATTAATTAGCGATTTCCCCAATTATCTCGAAGATTCAAAGCTTTTTCTATGCATCATTACTGGATAAATGGTCGCAAAGACGTAAAGAGTGTCAGAATCGCCATTGTAATGTAAACTAATTTACTGTAATTTGTCCCCTAATAACATAGTTTGAATAAGCGCGAATCCATGTCTGTGTAACATAAATTTAATGTTTGTAGGACGCTGTACAGTTAATCATTACCCTGATTAAGCGTTTTAGTATCATTAACGGGAGAGTAGAGAAAATAGTAAATTTTACTTTCTTATACTTATACATATGTTTCGGTAAAACCGCTACCCTGGTTGTAAATGTTCCGTTTGTATCCTATAAAAATGTATTATATAAATGAATAGTAATACGCCGGCGGAATGCCGAAACCCCGAAAAAAATAGAAATCAGATAAATCTAATAGATTTCTCCTAATTTGAATGTTAACCAGTCGGAATTCGTAAATATGCGAATAGCTTCCATAACTCTTACGAATTCTGAAGAGTCGTCGCTCGCGGTTAATTTTAAGTTTAATAACCTTTCTTTTCATTACGCTGACCTGAATCGGTCGTGCCCGGCGCGTCCAGTACCTATCGCAACGTTTCGCATGGTACTTTTTATTCACTCGAAATTTTTATCGTCTTTAATTATAGGGTTGCAAAGGAATTGGAAAGTGTACATATACGAGAGAAAAATGCGGTAAATTTATCGAATAAAATATAGGTACTCATATAGTACTAATTATTCTTTTAAACGTATAGGTACATGAAGTGTGTGTGTGTGCTCGACTTTCTGACCCAGATAGCATAAACAAAAACTAAAATTTCATAATAAAATAAACCCATAAACGCGGCTTTTTAATTTCATAATAAGAAGACGGTATACTTAATAATTTAAGAGACACGTGAGAAAATTTTGTTACAGATCAATTACATAAAGCGCGTCGCGTCTTAAGAAACGCGGGCATACACAATTAGAGGATATAATGCTGGGAAAACCGGCGCGAATTCTTCGGTTTATACGCGGAAATGGAATTTAAGCAAGCCCTGTAATAAACCATAATTGATTAATTTCGGTTATGTTGGGCATAACTTGTAATTTGTAACAAATATTTTAATTGTTTTAAGTGAGGGATTAGATGAAGGAGAAAATGCAAAAGTAGATATATTTTTCTAGACTTGATAGATATTGCGAGTTGTTTCCTACTTTCCTAGACTATCATGTATGGGTAAGTGCAAATTTGTTTGCAATTTGGTCAATTCTATGAGTTGAACAAAGAAATATTATTAAAATGACAGTGGTTAGATTGAGAATGTTGTACCTAATCCCATAATATCAATTGTTCTTTTTCCTTTATATGAGACTAATTGAAATTGTCTTTGTTGCACCCATAAAACAAACAAATTATATTTTTTTACATACAAATTATCAAAATAACTCTTGCATGATGATAAAAATGATAATCTAATATGAAAACCATAGAAATGTATTTTTCATTTGATGATATACAAATAACTGCATATGCACTTCATTTTTTTTAATTCTTTTTGTACATTTCGCAAGAACAAAGTTATTACAACCTTTGTATCAACCTTCTTATAAGAACCGATTGTTCTACCATATACATATGCATATTCAAATAATTCACAAGTAGGTAAGTAATTGAATTATTTATAGAATACCTATTTACAGTTTTAGTTGCAATGCCATCGTAATGAAACGAGTACTCGTACTCGTAATTATTTTTTCGTACTTTCGTAATTAATTACTTATATACTAAGAAATAGACATAATTTGAATTAACAGCTACCGATTTGCTGTTATAAATTTACAAACTAATGTTTATTCAAGCACCAACAACTCCTGTCGTGGTCGGTTTATTTGACGATACCGTAAATTCGCGATTGGCAGGTATCCATTTATTTCAGTTCTTTAGTAATGTCCGCGTAATTATACTATGGCTTTTTTTACTTGAAAAAAAATGCAACTACTTTCATACTGCAACGCAAACTTGCTCGACCATAAAACCTCGCCAATTAATTATGGATAATTTTATTGAAACAACGCACCAAATAACAATTGCATTTTTACAGTGCAAGTTTCTTCTAATAAATCTTTTTTATTACCTTCCATTTTTTAATGTGCCTTTACAGGAACAAGTAGGTATATAAATTTTTTTGTATAGGTATTTGGTAATTATATTTGTATACTTATTTTTGCTTTCTTTAATGAGTTTTTTCAATGAAATATGTTCTTATTTTTTGCAAGTACCTGTCATTCCAGGCAGGTAGACAGGTAGAGGAAATTCGAAATTAAAAAAACCTCCAACAATACAGTCTAAAGGTAGGGTACCTCGACCTTCGAGAGGTGCAGTTACAAGAACGATTGCCCACTGACCGTATAAAAATCGGATGAAACCAGCTTTAAAAACGTACCTTTTTGCTAATATCACGAATGCCACATGTGAATTGTATGTAAACCGTCCGAAATCCTGAGGGTTTTTCGTCAGAAAAAATACTAAAACAACTACAATCAAACGGTAAATTCACAACGCACTCACTGTAACCTCTATCCACTGCGGACCGACGTCTACCAGCACTGAAAGTAGGATCTACACCTCAAACCTCAAGATTGGTAAGAGGTGGAAACAAGTTTTGTCTACCTGCTTACGGTACAGTACCGTAATCCTACTTTTCCTTTTATAAAAAAAAACAATTTACTTGCTACACAATTACAAGTCAAAATTGACAGGATGCTTCATTACAACTAGCAAGTGTAATATCTAATGAACAATTTGTTATAAAGAAAACAATGCTATACTTACATCGTATACCCAATTTCTGGTAATTTATCCTTATTAGTAGATAATATTTTTGGAGTAGCTGTTATTGCAATTATTTGTTATTAACAAAAAATCTCAAAGGAAATTTTAGTACCTAGAAGGTATAGGTAATCTTATCTACATATTTATTAGTAGGCATCTGCCTACCTATAATCCTGCGAATTGCTGGTGTATCGATTATCGAAAATCGAACAAATGTTGTTATGAAAACCCACAAAAATTCGTTAATAAATTAATAATTCATTACCTAAATATTGGTATCTCGAAAAAAGATCGAAAATGACCCACAACCACTGTTGTTCCGAGTAGTTCAAGGTTATCCTTTCTCATCGGCTATTGATATCTCTCATTTACTATTAATGATTTCGTACGTGTAATGTTACTTTGCTGAGCTTAAGATATGTGCAATTGCGAGATTTTATGAAAATCTATACACCATTACATTGCGACATAAATGTACCATTAAAAGCGGTAGAATTATTAATTTACTTCAGTGTGATTTTCAACAAACTTTCAATATACAATGAAGTATTCAATATACAAATTTAATTGTGATAAACCTTTTAAGTACATTAATTTTTATCACTTAATGAAACAACATTAATGAATTATCTAACAAAAAATTTCATAGGTATAAAATTCAAAACGAAGGGTTACCGTTTTCATCTGCCATTGAAATCTCCCAGGTTAAGTGTCCCCTTGAAGCGACCCAAGTTTATCTCCTTTAGTTTACACCATATTGTGTTAAATTATTACCTACCTCATGCGAACGAGACTCTACAAAGATTTTTCCTAATTAACAATAATAATAATGCGCTAAATTCCATTATATTAGCCGCGTTAAACGTGACCGCAACAATAGCACCTACAAAACCTTCCAGGAAACCCCCAAAATAGGCTGTACCTCTGCGATTATTCCAGGCGCGTTCTTCCCTCCGGACCATTTCGGGTGGTACCGTAAAACAGGTGCGAGTTTCGAGAATATTAATAACCGATTTATGAATGCAGGTTATTTACACTTTATTTAGCTAGTGTTAAAAGAATGTATTGGGCGTTCAATGACCTGAAGAGTTAACCGTTGAGTCGAAAACCCAACTTATCGGATTGCTATTTGGGTTGCATAAGTTACTCTGTAGTTATTGTTTCGTACCCTATCTGGAAAATTCTTGTTTTGTACTCTGGGATTATATTACCTATACATGGTAGAGACTTTTGGTCTAATGGCAATATTTATTCTGGTTTCGTCTTGTTTCTTAGTCCTTTTTAATCTTACTTAATTACCATATTTCTTAGTTGTTTTACTCTATTATCTAGGTACTAAGTATTTTAACTATTTGAAACTCTTCAAAGTTATTTATGATTGTCCAAAATCATTTTGAACTGTTTTAGAAACTAATTAGGACCATTTCAAACACTTCAGCTTCAGAGCTATCTTAGAACTATTTAGAAATGATCAAAATCACTTAGAATTTTCCAGAATCATTTTGAACCATTTTAGAAATGAATTAGGACTGTTTGAAGCAGTTCAGGGCTATTTAATTATAAGAACTACTCTGTTCTACTCTGCTCTGCTCTGCTCTGTTCTGCTTAACTCTACAGGTACGAAACAAGGATTCATAAAATGTGATTAATAAAGGTAATATAAGGTAACAAAAATACTGTGTAGACATTTATTATAGTATATTCACAGTGGAGCATCTAAGACTTGTACACGTCAATCAGTAGCTGTCCTATTTACGCTAAATATCATCATTGGTTAACAAAGTATCACTAATTATTACAATTTAATTTTATGCAACTTTAACTTGAATCCCAACATCTCGGAGAAGACGCCCGATAGGGCGGACAATATCACCAATTTGGTGCAATTGTAGAGAATAGGATTCGCCGATATCCCCGATATTTTGAACGGGCTTTCCAATTCCTGCGACGATAATTAAATAAATACCCACATTTCGAAATTACCTTATAATAGTACCTTTAAGAGATCAATGGCAAGCTTCAGGACGTTATTCGCAACGGTCAATGTATCCTTCTTGTGCGGCTTTTGCTCGATTTGCAGGTGCAAATTGATTTGTTCCGTAATCAACACGGATAAATTTCTGTATTTTTTATTAATTTTTGTAGCCAGAGTCATAAACCTCAGCAGGATTATACCCAAGCCGACGCACCACACTAGCATCTCCAAATAATACTGGGAAAGGAACAGAGTATCCTACGAAAGATTAGAGAGAATATTAAGAATCTTGTCTTGTGAAGAGCTATCAGAATCTAATCGATTGCTAAATATGAATACAGGGTGTCCCGTAATTCCTGTGATTTACAATTAACTCATCTCGGTTTTGTGATGAATTAGAATACACTAAACTGTGTTAGGTGATAATAGTCTAGAGGTGTTAGGTATGGGGATCTCGGAGGCCGGGAACCAGGACCTCCTCTTCCAATCATCTGGTTAGTCATTCGAGTCACTGGACACCCTGTATATCATACAATACCTTCAACACTTCAACGCATAAAAAGGTCAAAATCAACAAATTCACGACGAAGGCAGTGGATACGATAACGTCGACGGATCTCTGGGGGCCCCTTTTCCTCAGATAGGACCGCACCGACAGCCACGTTTTGATGTTGATCACTTTGTTCAATCGAAAGTGCGGTATTTCGGATTTTCTCGCCCGACGCGACGACGTCAAGTGCGAGAACAGTTTCGCGTACAAAAGCCGCTGCTTAAACGCCCTCTCTGCAACAGCTAGCAAAAAAAATATCATTGAGGCCAATATCCAACGTTGGACTAAAGCTATCCCCATTATAAGATATTCCCTATAAACGTAAAAAAAACATCGGTCAAATCGGTGATGGTGAAGCGGATGATTGCGGGTTCGTGTCCGATTGATCGCCTCCTTCGTTCGTTTAATCATCACAAAACGTGTATAGTCGGTGCAAAACAAACATCGATGCATGTCACCTATACTACGTTACAAAGTAGGCAGTGTTGCCGAACTTTTATAGAGTTTACAAAATCTAAGAATTTTCTAAAATTGTCAAATGGCAAAATGTTGCCTATTTTTAATTTGAATAAAACCTTTCCTAATGCTTATTCTGATACGACCGTGTTTTGCACCGACTAAAAAGCACATCAGAGAGGACAGTTGGATCAGGAATCAGACACGAATAGTTTACAAATCATCACAGAACGTAATAATTAGAGAGCTATTGCATAAGAGAAATTCGAGTTAATAACAAACTTAATAAATTTGATTCAATGCAAAAACTTCCTAGTACCATTCCAGTTACTAATCTTACCTGGAGCTACATTCGAACATGCTCATTAACCAATTTTTAATTCCGAATAAAACTCCTTCGAACACAAACTGGTGCAGCCTCAGTAAGTGTTCTTTACCAGGCATTTCAATGGTTACGTTTACGTGGAGGTATTCGATAACATGCTTCAGTTCCACTATGTTATTGGAAGGAATGCTGGACAGTTTGCAAATAACAGGCAAAAACGCCAGTACCGTGGACATGATTAACCCGAAATAAAAATAATCCCTGCTCTCAGGCATCAAATCCACTTTTCCGATGATCACCGAGCTTATTTCGAGCATGCTCAAGTACGCTTTTTTCATATCGTTCTTCTCCCAAATTATACAGCTCACTACAAACACAAAAAATCACTCCAAAATTCGAGTAATTCTACTTATAAACCACCTCTAGCCGAAGGGGGGTTCAAAATCCCCGTAGGCGCCGAATCGTTATCGAACATGCCATCTTTCTCATCGTCGATTTGAGCATCGGACAAATTCTCCATGTCGGAGCTGTAGCTGCAGTCGCTGTTGGTCGTGACCCCCATCCAATCGGTGGCGGAGGACGTGAGATCGCCCAGAGATCGTTCGGTTTGCTTCACCTCCGGCGAGGAAGGGGCCACCTCCTCGTCGGTATCGCAGCGAGTTTCCTGCGGGGTTACCCTTATGGTGGGTATATGCTTGGTTTTGACTGGCTGCGAATTATTCGAATGGTGTTTTTAGAGCTTCGTGATGGTATTTAAATACGTACGTTCGAGAATTTTCTACGGTGGAGGAGTAGTGGGTTAGTTTCGCTTTCGGATTCCGAGCTATAACCGTTTGCGTTATTTAACGTTTCCACGGTATCTACAGTTTTGCTATTCGATTTTTTATCACTAAAAGTATAAGATTTAATATAAAGTTTGATTGCACGAGCATTTCGATTACTTTAACTGACTAGAAAGCTCAGACGATTCGTTTTTAGGTGATTTTTCCTTTGGTGTTTTGCTGGATTTGTCTCTTTTCATTCGAGTTTTTTCGCTGGAATCCGATTTGTGTTTTTTGTTGATGTTGTGATGTTTTCGGAGATCACATTGCCTCAGTCTCGATGTTTCGATAATGTCATTATTGGGGCTCGTGGCGATTATTTGGGAGTGAATCAAGCACAAGATCCAAAGCATCATCATGGGTATTATGATTTCCATGCAAGAAAATGCCTGTAATTTATACAAATAAGTACTTTTGTAGTAATTTTTAATGTCTTACGTACTTCTGAACAACTGGCCAACGACGTGTGGATGCCATAGATGATGATATTGATGAATTGTAGAATGTAAATGACGAGGCAAATGAAAAAAATATATTTCGATGTTTGCTCGATCCACCATTTTCCATAAAACGGGTAAAATAAAAACCGTAAAGTGGCTAGTTTGGCTACTTTAATGAACCCATGCTTCGGTTTTGGCTTGGTAAAAGATGAACCTACGAATTTTGATTAACTTTAATTGATTTTCTTATGCTATTTATAAAATTATATACCTCTAACCAAATCAATATCTATCAAATCTGTGTTGGGTTTTGCGCTTCTCGTTTGTATGTGATTCAATCTGTATATTCTCTGTTCCCTTTGCTCGAGTTTTGTTTCCCATGTTTGCTTATCATACGCACCGATTTTCTGTTGATACCTTAAAACACAAATTACGCGTAGTAAATTAACATATTTTTCCTCAAAAAATTGATAAAGGCTCACCAAGTGAAAATAAAATCAATGCCCATCGAAAAGCAAATTTACACTTCTTCAAACTGTCGATTTTCTTAATGTAAATGCGTCTAATATCAATTTCATATTTAAAATAATTTAATATGTACAATCAGCTGATGTTTTGATTTGATAAAGTTGAGTTGACTGACATTTATAGCATTGACGTATGACGTTTTTGACAGGTTTGACGAGAGAATAGAGATAGGCGTTATCAAAGAGATGAGTGATTTGTTGCTTCTTTTGGAACGGTTCCGATAACGTTACCTGTAACCAGTGATAATTTATAATTTTTTAATTATGTATTTCGGCATGCTTTAGAAACGTGCTTATTGTTTCGTTTAAGAAGTAGGTAAACTTCATTTTAGATAATATTACTTTATTAGTATAATAAATTTTAATAGAGTTTTACCTTCTGAGATTTTTTGAAACATATTTTTCTAATAATAAATACCATCAGCGAGCAAACTAAGACAATTACACTAAATATAAATAGTACAACGTCTAATAAGTACAACTGGAACCAGTACAAGTCCATAGCAGGGCTTCTAAAGTATTTTCCAGGTCTGTATTTCAATACATATTCCACGCTCTTCACTGCCCTATCTAAGGGACTAGTCGGCTGATCCCTGAACATCTGGGATAGTTCTTTCATCTTATTCATGTACCTAAAAAATTGTACTATAATTTACCCAGATTACCATAATTTACTATAATAAAACCCAGTTACAAGTCTTATAAGAAAAGTCCTAAGGACTCTTTTACGAGGGTAGGGTGAAAAGTTGAATCATTTAGAACTGTCTAGAACAATTTAGAATGCTCCAGAATCATTTGGAACTATCTAAAACTATTTAGAACGCACCATATGCATTTAGAACGCTCCAGAATCATTTAGAATTGTCTAAAGCCATTTAGAACGTTTCAGAACCATTTAGAACTCTCTAAAACCATTTAGAATGCTTCAGATCCATTTAGAACGCTCCATAGTCATTTTAGAAAGCTCCAGAATTATATAGAAATGCCTAAAACCATTTAGATCGCTTCAGAACTATTTAGAACGATTCATAGTCATATAGAACGCTCCAAAATCATTTAGAACTGTCTTGAACTAAAAATATCGTCTTAATAAGTAGAATAATGTAATTTTTCAACTGAAAATCGCGGTCTTTCGTTGTCAGGCGTAGAACGTTTCACCTTACCCTTGCAAGGAACTCTGCTAATGACTTACTTAGGGTTTTGGGTGATTTTTTGTATAGCTTCAAGCAAATATGATTCTTTTATATTGAGGAAATCGACTTTCTCCGCTACTCCTAGTTTGATAGCCCTTGCAGCGTTGATGCGTTGATCAGAGAACACCGGTACGGAAATCATAGGAACACCGTGGTACATAGCCTCGGTGGTACTCAGAAGGCCATTATGCGTAACGAAAGCGATCGTATTAGGATGTGCTACAAGCAATAAAAATCACTAAACACAAGAATTCTCGCGATTATATCGAAGAAAAACTTACCAAGAACATCCGACTGGGGTAACCAATTGAAATTAAACAAATTCTTAGGTTTATCAGGTATATCCAACTCGCATTTCCATAATACACGTTGTGGTAATTTGCTAAAAACGCCGAGGAATACCTTTAATTGTTCTTCGGTGAGTTTGTGGCATGGTATATTCGATCCCAAACTAACTAATATAGCACCATTACTGGCACCATCCAAAATAGCTTGTATTCGTTCAGGAAGTTTCTTGGGCAGAACGTGGAAACCGGCTACCTCAACAACAGCGCTGGTAATCAAGGAAGGCTCCGTGGTGAGCGGGTGACCGTACACCAACAGCAATTCCACATTCCTGATCACCTTCATCAGATCGATTTTATTAGGAAAATATTTATCCACCAATTTCTGGTGGAACCCGTAAAAGAACAACTCCTTGTAAACGGTCTCGAAGGTGCTGATCATGAAATTGCGCAGCCTTTGGAGGAAACTCATGCGGCTCGTAGACAACGATTCCAGCATCGGGTTAATGGAGGGCAATCTGACGTTTCCCACGAAAGCGGCGCTCCATTCGTTCATCGGTTGAGTGCTCAGTATCACCAATGGGGCGTTGAAGTGCTCCGCGAAGGCCATCAGTGCATCGTTAACGAAAGTTTCCGCGATCACTAAATCGAACGTGCGATTCGAATGGATGAGTTCCTGAACCTCGTCCAACTTCAGCAGTTCCTCCGTGTAAAAGTTGCATATCTCAAACATCTCGAGTTCTATTTGGAAAGTGTTTTTTGTTGACCAATTCGTCAAGTCGACTGGAATTTCAGATAATCCGGCGAAATTCTTTAAATGTAAATAGTTAATACTTACATTTATTTTCGTACTTTTCAGTTTTAATTCTGATAATCTCGTAGTTTTCTATTTTTTCGGAAGGTACTCGTTCGCTTATTACTGTCACTTGGTGTCCTCTTGTCGCTAGCGCGCCCATCAGTCTTTCTCCGACGATATACTGGCTGTAACCAGGACTAGGAAATATACCCAAAATTCTGCTAGAATTGGCATGTTTGTACAGTAGATGCATTAAAACTATGAAAATCAACAACTTCATGTTGCATAACATAAAATTCGACGCTTGGGTTACCGTCTCTCCTTATATACATGTGAGTATATTTGATTGCTATCAGGAGATATCAATAAAACCTTAAAAAGCAGTTAACCATAGGCGGCGTCAACAAATAAATAAAAAATAGGCTAATGCATTAATAATTATTATTATTGGTAGTTGAGGATACAGGTTCTGATAACAATGAAAGCGATTTTTAATTTTATTCTAAAAGTATTTATTTTTAATTTTATCCTTTTAGAATCTATTTAATACCAAAGAAGTACGACTGTGCACCGTGTTCTCTGTCACATTATCTTAGATTAGGAAATAGTCACCAATTGTTGTGTACCCATATGTATGTATATTTCTCTATAGAAAAATCCTTGAATCTTTGCATACAATAAGTTTAATAAGATTTAATTGGTATATAAGTAGTATAAGAGGTAATTAGCTTCTATGTATATCAAAAGAGGTTTAGTTGTTTTGAAAATTGTATAAGATTTTTCTTAAAAAATATACAAATAAAATAAAGTAACCTACACATTAATCGGTAAAATTTGAAATAAATGTTTAAAATATTTTTTATTTTTTATTTCTTTATCTGGGAATTTATGATAGTAGCTTTGTACAAAATTATGTACCTATTTATGTATATGATGATACGATTTAATTAAACATAATTCTCCTATACAATTGTTTAGATTCTCAGGCTCCATTATTTATTCAGTAAATATACAATATTTAGTTAAATACAGTAGCTCCTATCTTTCTATGTGATGCAATTGTGAGGGTTCATAAGTCAATCACAAATGAAAAATGTTCACAGGTAGATACTTAAAATTGTCTATGAAACAGGTTTTTACATTCAAATTTTCCACTTGGATAAATTACATTTAATTAAAATACTTCGAATGTATAGGTAAAAAACTTCATTTATTTAATCAGTTTTATTTTTAATAATTTCCTTCTTTTTACATACAAGTTTTCTAATAACGAACAAAATTAACAAACATACTGCAACTGCAGAAGCCAAAATAAAAATCACAACGTCTACCATATACAATTGGAACCACCATAAATCCAATGCAGGACTTCTCAAATATTTTCCTGGTCGATATTTCAACACATATTCAATATTATTAATTGCTCTATCTAACGGACTGCTCGGTTGATCTCTGAACATCTGTGAAAGTTTTTTCATTTGATTTGTATAACTAAAAATAATGAGAAATAAATATTTTGTACGACAATTGAAGTAAAGGCGACTTACTTGGAATTTTGCGTAACTTTTTTTATGGCCTCATAAAAGTCTTCTTCTTTCATGTTAATAAAATCAACTTTTTCTGCCACTCCCAGTTTTCTTGCTCTAACTGCGTTTATCTTTTGATCCACGAATACGGGAACAGAAATCATCGGAACACCAAAATACATCGCTTCAGTGGTACTTAAAAGTCCATTGTGTGTGACGAAAGCTACCGTGTTTGGATGAGCTATAAATATTTACGCTAGAACTATTTATTATTACGTGAATCGATGTATAATTATGTTACCCAGAACGTCTGGTTGAGGCACCCATTTTGAGAGAAAAACATTATTTGGTGTATTAGGAATGTCCAGCTCGCATTTCCAAAGAATTCGTTGAGGTAATTTTTTAAAAACTCTCAGGAATATATCCAATTGTTCCTTGGGTAGTTTATGACAAGGTATATTCGATCCTAAGCTAACCAAAATAGCCCCATTCTTAGCCCCATCTAAAATAGTTTGAATACCCCTAGGAAGTTTCTTCGGCATGATATGAAACCCTCCTACTTCTACCACCGCACTCGTTATCAAAGATGGTTCAGTAGTAAGAGGATGAGCGAATACCAATAACATCTCAACGTTTCGAATAACCTTTCGAAGGTCCATTTTTTCCGGAAAATATTCGTCCAGAAATCTCTGCTGTTCTGGAAAATAAACCAGCTCCTTGTAGAGGATATCGAATGCTGTCAAGAGGAGAGTATGCAGCCTTTCAAAGAAACTCATGTGGTTAGTATATTGGGTGAAAACATTCGGGCTGATCGATGGCAATTTCGCGTTTCCCACATAATGCGCGTTCCACTCGTGCATCGGTTGCGAGCTGAACACGATCACAGGGGCTTTGAAGTGTTCACCGAAGCCCAACTGGGCTTCGTTGCAAAAATTCTCCACAATCACCAAGTCGAAGGTGCTGTTGGATTTTATCAAATCCTGGACTTGCTTCTGCTTCAATGGGACTTCTCCGTAGTATAAGGATATGTCTAGAAACTCTGCAGTTACTTCGAAGCTGTTTTTAGCATCCCACAATGCCAAATCCACTGGAATCGAGAAATTGATTAACATAATTTCATGTAGGTATGTAACAGAATATGTTTACTTCATTTTACATACATTGTCGGTAGAAATGTTAAGTTTAAGGACTACACGTGGATTCAAATAATTAATTACAAACATGTTGCTACAACAAATTAAATACCTAATTGTACCTAAGTAACTCTTTAAATGAGTTGAAAATGATAAGAATGGAAATACTTACTCGTGTTGTGGAAATCCTTAGATTTGTCCAGTTTAATGGTTACAAAGTTGTCAATTTTTTCGCTCGGTTCGTATTCACTAATGACGGTAACTTGATGGCCCCTTTTCGCCAAGGAACCCATCAATTTTTCCGCCAAAATGTATTGGCTGTAGCCGGGACTGGGAAATAACGCTAAAATTTTGCTACCATTCACTACACCAAAAATTGCTACTAGGGCTACAACTTTTAAAGCACCCATAGCTATTTGTTCAAGAATGTTTCTCCAAAGCAGAAGACAAAGTAAAAAACCTTGTATTACTAATACACCTAGTGCATGTTACAGTACGCAATTACTACTGGTAAATAATACTGGCTTAATGAACATTTATTAAACTCATGACATCAATTTCGCCTGTAAGTACACGTTTAACTCAATTGGAATGAATCTGAGTATAAGGCAGAGTTTTGTTGACAAAAAGACGTAATACTCGTACATACGTTTATATATAAATTGTTCGCTTATCAATTATTTTGGAAAATAAAAGGGGTTTTGTAGTATTTATCTTTGATGAGTTAATTAAAGTTTAATGACATGTGTTTATTTCTGTAAATACAAATTTCTAGATTTTTTATATAAATGTATGGCAGTTAACTATAGAATCAATAATTACACACCTAAATTAATAGGAGAAAACATTAATTTAAGCTAATTATTTAATTATCGATACAATACATGGTGTTTTTTAATAACATGCGAATACTGAATAGGGTAATTCTTTGGTCCATTTTCAGAAAAAAAAAACTTCATATGAACCTATGTCCTAAAGTCCTAAAAGTCTTCAATTTTGAGATACAGGGTGTTAAAATTTTAAGAACAAGATCAATTTTTTATTGTAATTTCCGTACTACTAATATTTTTATGACGTACCAGAACAAATCCAGGGCAGGACTTCTAAAATACTTCCCCGGTCGATACTTCAGTAAATTTCACTATTCAGGACTGTAAGGATCATGTTCACCTACTCAATCGAAATGCATTTTTGTGCAAAGAAAGAAAATCAATATGATTATACCATAGCATGCTACTTTAAAGTTTAAAATAGAGCTTTTTCAATTTTCAACTTTGAAATATTCAGCAATTTAATTGAAAAATCAATGAGCATTGAAACGTATAAAGAATCGATTTGTTGCAACCTTCCAATACGTACAAGTATATTGCAATTACCTATAGAATCATTAATGACACGCCAAAATTAGTCCGTAGCAGAAAACATTAATTTAAGCTAATTATTTATTTATCAATACTACTTACTTCCATATTTATTTATTTAAAAAATATACTAAAAATTGTTGTAAATACATAACACCAAAAAAACTTATGCTGTTTTCCTCTTACTTATTCTTTTGGCATACAAAAGTTTTCTAATAACAAACAGCAATAACAAATTAATTGTAACAAATAATCCTAAGATAAATAATACAACATCCACTGAATACAATTCGTACCAGAACAAATCCAGGGCAGGACTTCTCAAATACTTCCCCGGTCGATACTTTAGTACGTATTCTATGCTGTTAAGAGCTCTATCTGCCGGGCTAGATGGTTGATCTCTAAACATTTGTGATAATATTTTCATTTTATTCCTGAATCTAAAATAAATATCAATTGAAGTATCAACGAAGTAGTTTTATTTCAGGCTTACTGTGGATTTTGCGCAACATTTTTCATCGTTTCCAGCAAATCCTCTTCTTTCAGGTCTATTATATTTAATTTTTGAGCAACGCCTAGCTTGACTGCTCTAGCTGCGTTCTTCATTTGATCTCCGAAAACGGGAATAGAAATCATCGGAACCCCATAATACATAGCTTCAGTAGTGCTTAAAAGTCCATTGTGAGTAACGAAAGCAATTACATTGGGATGAGCTGGAACAACCAGTTAAAGCAAGAGAAGAATTAGTAAAAGTATCGGGCTTACCAAGAACATCTGTTTGTGGTAACCATTTCGAAAATAGCACGTTACTTGGCTTATTGGGAACGTCCATATCGCATTTCCATAAAATGCTATGGGACAGTTTTCTAAAAGCATTTAGGAATGCGTTTAGTTGTTCTTTGGTTAGGAGTTGACATGGTACATTCGATCCTAGACTAACTAGTATTGCACCTTGCTTAGCCCCGTTTAAAAACGTTTGAATTTCAGCAGGAAGTTTTCTCGGCTTGATATGGAAGCCTCCTACTTCCACCACAGCGCTTGTTAACAGCGATGGTTCTGTAGTGAGAGGATGGCCGAACACCAGCAACATCTCCACGTTTTGCGTCAAGTTTTTCAAGTCCATTTTGTTCGGAAAATATTTATCCATGAGCTCCTGCTGTTCTGGGTAAAAGTACAATTCCTTGTAGATGCTATAGAAGAGGTTCAGGCAGAAGCTCTGCAGCCTCTCGTAGAAACCCATGCGATTGGTTAATGACGATAGAGAATTCGTACTGATGGATGGTAAATTAACGTTTCCCACGAAATGAGAGCTCCATTCGTGCATGGGTTGTGAACTGAAAATAACCACTGGGGCTCCGAAGTGCCCCGCAAAGCCCACATGGGCTTCGTTGCAGAAATTCTCCACGATCACCAAGTCGAAGGTTTCATTTGAACGAATGAATTCCTGTATTTGGGATTGCTTCAGTGGGATCTCCGTGTAATATTTGCACAATTCCAAAAATTCTATCGTCGATTGGTAATTGTTCTTCGTTTGCCATTCCGTCAAATCGACTGTAATTAAATACAATATCTATTTAGGGTGCGATTTAACTTGTTTTTAAAGACTTCATGTAACAATAAATACTTACAAGTATCGTGGAAACTGCCTGATTTGTCCAATTTTAGAGTAACGTAATTTTGTATTGGTTCTTTCGGCTCGAATTCGCTAATCATGGTGACATGATGGCCCCTTTTCGCTAGTAATTCGAGCAATCTTTCGCCTAAAATGTACTGGCTGTAACCGGGACTGGTGAATATTCCTAAAATTTTACTGCCATTCACGACAGTGAGAGTCACAACGAGTAGAAGAATAAGTGGTGGTATTTTCATTGTAAAAATTCACTACGAAAATAAAACTATAGTTACTCGTGTTATTGAACACGAACAAATTATAAATGAAAGATGATCGTGCATTTAGTTATCTAAATTAAGTTGGACAGTTATGCAAATATGTTAATTGCCATTGTATAATGTATAACAAAGAATTTATCTGTGTTAATTATTTCAAAAGTAACTAAATACCTTGCTTGGATTATTTTATCTAATCTTCTGCTACTAGCAACCAAACTTGTATTAATATTTAGTAATATTAATATCAAGGTACTGTCTGCAGAATAATTTAAATTTACTAATGGTACTTAATACAATAAGAAACCCAGAACTCAAGGTTAGCATCTGCTATTTATCAACCGAATCATTTATCGTAGCTCATTATCGTAATTTTAATTTCCCAGTATTTTATACAAAGAAATGAAAATCATGCAAAAAAAATTAAAAAAGAAGAGAGATTAGAGAGCTGTATTGGGCTAGAGCCATCCCTCAAATAAGACTTTTTATAATTGTATATATACATAACTACATAACTTTAATTTTTACTATTCAGGACTGCAAGGATAATGTTCAAGTACCTATACTCAATCAAAATGTATTTTTGTGCAAAGAAAGAAAATTGATATGATTACACCACAGCACGCTACTTTAGAGTTTAATAGAGCTTTTTCAATTTTAAACTTTGAAGTATTCAGCAATTCAATTATTGAACAATCGATTGAACGTATAATTTATAAAATTTATTTACCTAAAATACATGTTTGTCCAAAATTTAAAATACTTGAATTAAAGTTAAAACATATTTTTGTAAGCAAAATGTTAAGAACACCCACTAATTATATTTCTATATAAAATATTTGTATTTGTAATTAAATATATTATCATGTCAATTATTTAAATTCAAGTCAAATACATATTTTTAAAAGTATTTGTATTTGTATTTAAATGCATTATTCAAAGTATTTTTAACAACACTGCGTATAAAGAATCGATTTGTTGCAACCTTCCAATCAAATACGCTTTATAATTTAGTTTAGGTCGACCTTGTAGGTATTTAAAATTAATCTTAGTTTGGTAAAATGAATGTTCACGTTAATTAATTAACAAAAATAAAATTACGCCATACGCAAATAAAATTATTTGCTGTTTTCAATCAGTAAATACATTTATGTAAAATTAACATAATTTCATACATTTATGTATCGGTTTAAAGTTTAAATTGATTTTTTTTGTTTTCATGTTTTTTGGTGTTTTTTTTTCTAATTAATTATAGGTAGGAAATTTTGTCCTTTCTGCCATGATTATATGATGTATATTCAAATCTTTATAATCAAAGGTATATCTTTTTTTGGAGTTTATAGGTAATGACGTGATTTCTTATCACTGTATATCCCATTTAGAGCAACAAATTTGTAATTGGCATCCAGTATAATCAAAGGAATATTTTGTTTAAACAGATCATTCCTCTTAAATCCCTAAGACTCAAATTTTCAGATTTCAATTCCACTGCATTTATAAGCTCTATTTAACCTAGTTTGTACCTATTAAATAACAAGCATAACAAATATTAGTTGAACTACGAAAACAATAGTAGTTGTTTATTTTTCCTGTACTATATGTGAGCACCGGACTCCCCGCTCACCGATATAATTCTGTTACAATTTGAATTTATATAAGTTCTCTCTCCGTAATCCTTACTTTCACGGCGGCTTTCGCGTTTGCATTGGCAGTAAATATAGTATCACTTCGTACTAGTTTCCGGTCAATCGCTCCAAGTGTTAACAATGGCCACAATCGCCTATAAGAAGATGCTGGGCGGGCAGAAGATGCCCGCCATTGGTTTGGGCACCTGGATGGTGAGTTTTTTTTGGACTTTGTGCAAATAAATTTTCCCTGAATTTAATGAATTAATGAAAATGTAGACGAAATTAATGCCCTTTAGGGGATGTTGTTAGAATCAGGAGTTTGGGGTAAGTGAAGTTGCCATATCAGAGAAATTTTTAGGGGAAGTTCCTTCATTTTTCTTTCATATTATCCCAATGTTGTATGTCACATATTACCCACAGAATAATTAAGCAAGTTATTTAAAATTGTTCTTCCTATAGTATTGTGTACCTACATATTATTTTTGCAACACATTCTACTGTATAAAACGCATATATTCTATTGAATGCAGTCGCAATTATTTCAACTATAATAATTAACTAACGCCTTCTATTTCAAATAACATTGCTGCATAAAATTACCTTATTCACCATTCAATTGTAATTACAATATAATGTATCTCCGAGTTGCTATTCACAATAATTAATAAAATAGCGCTTTTAATTTATGTTATCAAACTTTATTTTTTATCTTTGTGTGTTTTCGTTAAAAAACTTTATAATTTATAATTAAAGTTTAAAACACCTCTAATTTAATTAACAATAATTGCTATTTTTTGAAATTTTATTTTGACTATTCATGAGAATATATATTTATTTCCTTTTTTTCATACTAATTAGTTTACATCGTAACAGTTAGACGCAGTAGTACCTAGTTACTTCAACCTTGAATGCTTCAATAGTTTTCACTCAATTAAATCCTTGAAAGGACAATTCTTCCTCCATTGAAACAATTTATTGAAGCGAATTATAAAAAAAAATGATTGTTTTAAGAAATCTTACACCTCAAATTACAGGATTAAATTACTTCAATTTCATTCATTCATAAAAAATAAAATATTTGCAATTTTAATTACAGCTTGTTAATTTGTTGTCCATAACCGATAAGAGGTATCACAAAATATCTGTTATCCATATCCCTTTCCGCAATCAAAAAAATTATAATAAAAACCACTAACCGAAAATCTAAATACAGATAAGATTGACCCCTAATAATAGTCCATATTTATAAAAATGAAGCATTTACTTTGAAGTAAAAGGTAAATGCAAAATATAAGAAAATAAGGTTTTAAAACCATAAAATCTTTTGTTTTTAAGCAACAGCAGTGTCCTCGAAGCAAAACCGCTCTTCCTTCAATTCTTTTAATAAATCTTTTCAATAAAAGGTTCTGCTTCTTTTTATAAATACGGTCTAATGATGCATAAATTTCTTGCTTCAAGATATGTATAGGTTTGTAATTTACAAGAAAAAATTTCTAAATTCCAGTCCACCGACGAACAGGAGCTCGAACGCGCCCTGAACGCCGCCCTGGAGGCGGGCTACCGCCACATCGACACTGCCACCGTCTACTTCAACGAGGAGCTGATAGGCCGGGTGCTGAGCAAATGGATATCCTCCGGGAAAATCAGGCGCGAGGAACTGTTCATCACCACCAAGCTCCCGGTGGCCGGTGTGCACGAAGACCGCGTCGAATTGTTCATCAAAAAGTCCTTGGAGGACCTGCAACTGGACTATTTGGATTTGTATTTGATCCATTTTCCAGTCGCCTCGAACTACGTCGGGGCCCCTATAACGCCTCCGGACCAGCTTAAAGTGGAAAACAACGACCTGTTGGCTGTGTGGAAGGTATACATTTTGAAATTCTCTCTCTGTAAATTTCTTTTTACGAGCAATAAAGACTTCCGCTGATTGGTAAATATTAATACTTTCTCTTCGTCTCGAGACGGCAACAAAAGTTACGTAAAAATTTTAATGACGCTTAATCAATGTATGCTAATTTCTCGTGTTTGTTTAGAAAATGGAGGAGCAAGTCGACGCTGGCAGAACGAAAGCTATCGGTTTATCGAATTTCAACCAGAAACAAGTGGAGAGAATATTGAAGAATTGTAGGATACCTCCTGCGTGTTTGCAAGTGGAATTGCACGTATCTCTTCAACAGAAGGAACTCGTAGATTATTGCCACAAGAACGATATAGTAGTTGTGGCCTATTCTCCATTGGGGAATCCCTCTTACAACAACTTTTTAAAGACGGTCGGTCAAGAGTAAGTACAATACACTTTCTCCTGCCTCCATTGTTTATAATTTATAATGGCAAGTTTATAATTAACCTTTCAGTGGTAAGGAGTTGCCGAATAACCTTCAGAATCCAGTGGTGAAAAGCATAGCGAACAAGTACAACAAATCGCCCGGGCAGGTTTTGCTGAGATTCCTGATCGAGAGGAACATTGTTCCGATACCGAAGAGCGTGACGCCCAAAAGGATAGAAGAAAATTTGAACGTGTTCGATTTTTCGCTCGATCTGGAAGATATGGAGAAATTGAGGGAGTTGGATAGGGGCGAGATTGCACGTATTTGCGATTTTGCTTTCTTTCCACCGTGAGTATATACTGAATATAAGCCAATAATGTTAAGAAAGTTAATAAATATATTTTTTTTACTTTTAGGTTAAAAAATGCACCGGAATATCCTTTTTCCTCGCAATTATAGAGCGCTTGCAATTTAAACTTTTGTGATTATTATTCGTTTTAAAATTAGTTTGTTAGTGTACTTTCCTAATTATAATTATGTATGTTCCGCCCACGATTTCAATTTAATTTTTATTGCAATTAATATTGCTGGAAATTGAATTTATTTTTATGTGATTATGACTATGAGTTTTTCAGCTATTAATTACTGGTTAGCGTCAAAATTCCAAATTTTATTCAAAAATAGTACATAAATAAAGCAAAAAGTTACATAAGATGGTACGATCTTGATTTTATTGCACAATTACCGCACATTAAACTGAAGATCATAAGCACCCCTATTAATTGTATAAATAATTTTAATAACGCCTATATTAAATGTCTTGTTGCTGCAAAAATGTCGAATGTTTATTATTACACCCAACTCGCCCTTCCTTCAAAACATGCTGCGCCTGTTCAAGATCAACTCGAAACTGTTCATTTTTTCTTCAGCTTCTTCAATTCCTCCTCCGTCAGTTTATTTTCGTTTTCGTTCTCCCTATACGCCAGCGGATTCTCCGATTCTCTTTCCTCAATTTCCTCCTGAAGCTCAGCTTCAGTTATTTCGTTCAACAATTTCCCTTTCCCGTAGAAAGTATCCTCCCTATAAAAGCGATCCTTCTGCCTGTGCGTGCTGAAGATCTGCAAAAAGAACCGGTAAAATCCACGGGTAAACATCGAGGAGCTCCGTTAGTTTACCTTGTCCCATATGGTCAAGTTGAAGCCGAAGTTCACGTGGAAATATTGGTGATGGTTGTCGTGGAAAATCGCGTCCGGTTGCCAAGGCTGCCACCAGTAAGCCTTGAAATTGATCCCTGAATGGTCGATTATGCCGTGGTAATAATTGTATATGGCGATAATGTAGAAAGAAACTGCAAAATATGCATTGTACTAACGATATCGAAAAACTATTACAATAATCGTAAAGATAATGAAAACGGTAGTGTTTATAGATTGTTATTTTTATATTCATGACTGAGAAGATTGTTGAATAATCTTATCAATTGAAGAGGGAATGTTAATATGGCAAGTCTTATAAATTAATTAATAATAGCAAGTCTGCTAATTAATTCGTAATTGTTTACTTACACCAATGCAGAGGCAAGGAGAAGAGCGGCAAAATTAATAAGCATTGTATATTAATAGCTTCTACAGGGTGGATGGCGGTAACTGAAAATGCAGTCGGTTGCTTGTACTTGTGATGGAGCTTGTGGAAATGTTTGTACAAAAAGGGAAAATGATAGATTCGATGTATCCAATAAGTTTCGAAATCCTGCAATTAAAAACAAAACAATTATACTTGAGAACTTTATTATTTTAGGAAACTCAATAACTCACCAATATTATGTAGACCACGGGAAATTGCAGGAATAACCAAAACCACCCATACTCGTCTAGTTTATAATACACCATACTCCAACCACCATTACCTAGGTAGCATGCCAAAATGGCCGATACAGTTAAATTTAACAACAAAGTAAACGAGCCTAAAATGATTTCGTGTCTTTCCAAATCCGGGCTGAGCCATTTCTTCGGCTGGCATTTCCATTCTTCCGCCCTATCCCTTTGGCGGACGTAATAATACCACTATGTAAACATGTAATTTTGTTAGAAAAGTTAATTTTTGCGATTATTATGATGACTTACGTGCAAGAAACCTCCAACACCGAAATATATCGAGTACGATATCACGCAGGAGGGAATCCAATAGGTCCAGAAATTTTGCAACCTCAGATCTTCTAAGCTTACGTTTGATAAGCTGTTTGAAGAAGAGATGTAACCAAATTGCTTTTTTACGTGCACGTATAAATTAATCCAATCGCCTAAAAATTAATCAAATTCCAATTTACTTAGTAGGTATTAGCTAATTATAAACACGGTCATTGAATGGAAATTTTATCCAAAATCAAAGTTGTAAGTAATACGATAAATGATTTAAATAATTACTAACACCTGATACTTGATATTTTACGCTATCAATTGAAATCTATTATGTCTCGATTGTTGAACTTGATTTCAACATTTCGAATGGAATAATTGAATAAATAAAGGAAGGAAATAAATTTTTCCCTCTTACAATCTGGAAAATTACTTCATTTAAACTCAAATAAACTTTTAATAATCTTCTAGAGGATTAGAAGTAAATCCATTGTAATAATGTTTACAATGTTGCAATCAAGACATTATCTACCACTTGAATATACATACATTGTATACATTTCAATTTAGTTTAACAAAAAAAGTCGATACACATCTAATCGATCAATATTAAAAAAGTTAATACCAATTTAATAAAATTCAAAAGGACAATTTAAATATTCAATAGTATTTCTGTTTGAGTGTTAAAAGGACCTAAAGAGACTGCTAAAGGTCCATAATGATTAGATACTTCTCTAAGAATATCATCATAGATATTCTACCAAGCGCCCAGAATTGAATGGAAAAAATAATTAAAAAAGATATATTAATATTAATATAAGAAGGAGACATACAGAGTCACTTGATGGATATTCCTGCAGTCCTGGAATCGCGATTAACAAACTTTTTGTTACTATTTTAGAATTAATCAATCCATTTCTGTGCAATCCAATTTCTTGTCATTTTTGTTATTCATATAGCAACATCAAACTCACCATTTATGGATATTCCTACCAAAAATGTGGCGATAGTCGCTATGGCTCGGCCGACATTGTAAGGGATTTTCTTCCAAATTTTGGATACTACCTCGTCGTGTTTCTCTAGCCAAGTCACCGACAATGGATCGTAGAACCGTTTCTTTGGGCCAGTTTGCTCCTGCTCCTTCGCCCCCATCTTAATAATATAGGTGGTATTGGCAAACTGAATATGAATTATCGTTGCTTCTCTATACTGAACGATTGTAATATATTTTATCTGAAGATAACCGCGATCTCTACTGGCATTTTAAGTGATTATCGCGTTCATTTATTTTATTTATATTCGTGCTCTGGACCTGCATGGAAGTTAATAAAGACACACTTCTACTGAACATTTACCATAAAATGTTTATCTGTTTTAGTGCAGTTTTAACAGTACATTCATAAGACAAGCATTATCGGAATGTTCATTGCAATCATAATATAAAAAAAAACACCTGCAAATATAATACCAATTTGAATATTATTGTATTATAAAAATTGAGTGAATTAAATTACCACAAGGAAAATTTACTTTTCTGAATACCTACACATAATTTAATTTGTAGGTATTTATGCAAAATTGTATTAGCCAACGATGATACAATAGGTTTTTATCATTTTAAATATTAAAAAATTATGAACTTTATACTTTATACTACCTTATCAATCCACTTAAGCAGTTGAAATTACTATATACGTGATTTTTCGTATTTTTATAACAGATAATGTTGGAAATATCATAGGCAAATCGATCTATTTATGTATTTCTAATTTTTTATCATGTATATTTTATACATTGTATAGTGCATGTATCTCAAAAATTTGCACGAAAAGAAAATTAATAATGATAATCTTAGCATTTGGAATATTTTGTTAATCTAATATTCATGCCAAAGAAATAAATATGCATAAGGAAATAATCGTAATTTAGAGAAAAATTTAACAAAAATTATTTTTCTCCTTTTAGTCTTCAAGTAACTTAGTTTTCTTAGTGTAATCAATAAAATAGCTAATTACCAGCGACATCTACATGTAAACGAGTGAAACTTTTAATACAGATAGCTAGTAATCGTTAAATATCGGAGTTATTGCGAAATTTTTGGTGACACTTGAATATTATGGTATTGTGTATAATATAATATAGTTTTAACAGAAACTACGTGCATTATTTTATTTAAACTTATCAGTATCCGTCGGTTTAGATAAGAATTTTCAAATTTTGGCGGTTACTTTTGACGTTTCGGTAGCCCTTAGTCGATCGGCCTGCTGCGCATCGCGCATCGGCAACATTCGTTATTGTGGTCAAACAATCATTGTTGTTCGTTGTCTTGTAATCAGCTGTGTGCTTCTGTGGTATTTTGTATTGTTAAGCTTTATCAATCCGTCTCGTCGGAAATGGGAATGAGGGATAGAAGTTATTGTGGGTGTGTGTTTTAGTAGCCTCTGGACGATCGCAACGATAAAAAGAAACCATGTTCAGCGATTGCGTCTCGTTATTTTTGCTCTTGATATTACCATTTACTGGAATTGGTAAGCAATTTTTCGTTATTTACTATAGTTGTGGTGTTGTATTTTTCGTTTAGTAATTCGTACGAGTTGTTTTCGATTGTAGTTTATTAAATAGTTTTGGTAAATAACGTAAATATGTGGTACAATGGTTTTGTTTATTTTCATCTCGACCTATTAATATGGCACTAATCAAATCAAGCTAGATATAAGTGAAAATGTTCGCGAAACATTAACGTATTTATTTGTTTGTTTTCGTTTTCTTCTCCTAGTTTAGTTATATCTTGTAGAGAGTATTTGCCACACCTATCCTTTGTACAAGTGTTAAAGATGTTATTTTATTAAACAGCACTATTAATTACCAATATAAAATTCTGCTACCATTGGTCAATTCATTAGTTCCGCTGTAAAGTGTAAAGCAACCAACATTTGCAATGCTTCTATCTAGTTGCTTAATACTCGTTACATTGAGTTACAAGAGATCTAATAAAAAGATCTTTTATTCAAACATTGTTTATTTAATTTTTTTTGATAAAGTATGTTACAAAATACCTTACTTTGTGCGATTTCAGATGATAAAAGTTAATCATAAAATAGTCTTTTACACATTCAACAAGTCGAAGCTTGTAAATTTATTGTTATTCAGAATTTGCGAGTAATTAAAATTATCCTTTTACAGCGTTTTAATTGCATCCAGTTTATGACTTATTTAATTTTAAGCCTGCTCTCAAGATGTTGTGTTATTTAGTACACATACAGTTTGAGTCATAATCCGTTATAATCATAATTATTAATTATGATTTAACTCGACATATACAATTATTTCGATTATTTCTTTTATTCATACGTCACGAAATTGTTATGAAATTTATTTGATTTTTACAAAAGGATTTGCTGGTTTGCAAAATGTAAATTATTGATTAGTTGATGTTGAATTATAGCACTAATATTTTGGTAAATTCAAGTTTACTTTCAGTGCAACCTTGACTTGTCAAATGGCATGGTAGAGTGGAAATCAGTCTGTTGAATCCGATGTACATATGTGTCATAGAACCTTTCATAACATTTCTGCAATTATTAAATGAGCCAATTGGAGATTTGCTGCAATAAAATTACTTATTTACATTGCTATTTGAATTTACCACAAAGATTTGAACAAACGAGAAAGTCAAGCAATTAGATTCGTTATCTCAAAAAAATATTTGTTAAAATGGTTAAATATTTTATGAATGCAGTAACAAATGAAGTATCTGTTACAATTAGTAATGTTTTTTCTTTAATTTCCGTTCATATAATCATAAAAACTTCATTATAATACAATAAATGCATCATTGTTTGTATCCATCTACTGATAACGAATACGTTTAACCACTTCTTGGAAATTATTTCTACAAACATTCAATTTCTCAGTAATTCGTTTCTGGGTATGTGAAATCAATTTTTTCGTGACTAACCGATTTTATCAACTATTTTTACTTTCGGGAAACCGAAACAATACCTCGTTAAAACTTTTATCAAACTCTATTTCGCTACCTGTTTAATAAACTTTCCCTCATTTCGACTATTTATCGTCCCATTTAATTCGCAACTACTAATAACGCTATCGAACAAATCGATTTATCGCAGCCGAACGTCTAAATGAGTACATCAGCCACTACGAAACGCTCAACTACAACACCAAAGAGGTGCATCAGGCCCACGCGAGGGCCAGGCGCTCCATATCCGAGGACAGTCTCGTCCAAGTTTCGTTCAACGCTCACGGACACGAGTTTCGATTACGGATGAAACGAGATCTGGACGTTTTCCACGACAGGCTGGAGGTGCACGGGCCGGAGGGCCTGCTCGATGTCGATACCTCGCATATCTACGAAGGATATGTGTTAGGTAATTAGAATGTGTAGTTTAGATTATTGCAGCCTTATTCATAGTCGCCTCCTTAAAATGATGTTAAAAGGCCACTAGTTAGTGGCCAATAACATCATACTAACAAGCCACTAACGTGTACTATTCATAGTCGCATATTTCTTTCCCAATGGGTGATGGGAAAAAGGATAAAATTCCAGTGAACCTTACTTTTGGGAAAAAGTTTACGGTGAAACCCGTTATTTAACAAAAATCATGATTATTAGCCAATTATACACTTTGACCAAGTACGTTTGATACCAAAGTTTGAACGGTTTACATCACTTTGGTAACTAGCTATTGGTATTTGAAAGTACAACAATTTTATCCTTTTTACTCTCAAAACGCAAAAAATAGTTAAAAATAAAGCTAAAAACTGTTTTTTTTCAACATCTTTGCCAGTCTTTTTGAAGTATTGGGACTACCAGAGAGAACTATGAATACGATTTTTGTTGTTATTTATTAATGGAATTAACAGGTGTACCAAAGAGCTCGGCCTTCGGATCGATCATCGATGGTGTGTTTGAAGGGAAAATAATAATGCCAAAGAAGGGTGCTTTCTACGTGGAAAAGGCCCATCATTATTTTCCTCATGCTGTTTATCCCAACAAAACGTTTCACAGTGTGATTTACCACGAAGATCACGTCGAGGATCCTTACGCTAGGAATAGAACTGGTATGTATTAGTAACACTTCATTTTTTTGTACTTATTTATATAAATTCACAGGGCATTCGTCTGGTTGTGGAATAAACGACGACACTATACAATGGATGAATAAAATTCAGTATTCAGGCGAGGAAGATCAGCCTATTACACCAGTTGTGCAGCAAACTTCGAACAATAATGATAATAAACCACTACATAACGAAATAAACATAGAAGACGCCTTTAACAAATACTCAAAAGAACAAAATGTAAGACACAAAAGATTCGCTAGAAGGGAGGATAACCGAAACACGTGCTCTCTTTACATCCAAACGGATCCACTGATTTGGAAGCATATCAGGGAAAGTTTTCCTGAGGTAACGTTAGAAAAATATTAATTTTTTTACGCAACTAATACCTAACATTACAGCATTTGGATCCAAAGAAACAAACTGAAGTTAACGAAAAGACTAGAGAAGAGATACTCTCTTTAATTGCTCATCACGTCACTGCCGTTAATTATATTTACCGAGACACCAAATTCGATGGAAGGAACATCCACAGGAACATTAAATTCGAAGTTCAAAGAATAAAAGTAAATCACTGTTTAACATAATATACCAATCACCCAAATATTCACATCCTGAAGTATTGGCACTCAATTATCTAACACCCTGTATATTCTATTAAATATACCACGTGAAACGTTTCCAGATCGACGACGATTCGTCTTGCAACTGCTACAACAAAGTGTGCAGCGAAAAGAACCAGTTCTGCATGGAGAACATAGACGTCAGCAACTTTTTGAACATCCACTCGTTGGGCAACCACGAGGACTTTTGCCTGGCCTACGTCTTCACCTACAGGGACTTCACCGGCGGCACGTTGGGCTTGGCTTGGGTGGCCAGCGCCTCCGGCGCTTCGGGCGGCATCTGCGAGAAATACAAAACGTACACGGAAACCGTCGGAGGGATGTACCAATCGACCAAGAGATCATTGAACACCGGCATCATTACGTTCGTGAATTACAACAGCAGAGTGCCGCCCAAAGTGTCCCAGTTGACTTTGGCTCACGAAATTGGACACAATTTCGGTTCGCCGGTATGTAAATGGTAGATTTGCCGCACCGGAACTCGCTGCGCTACTCATACTTTCTACTCTCTGCACTCTATTCTCTGTACTCTACTCTCTGCAGTCTACAGTCTAGTCTCTACTATATGTACACTATTCACCATATTTTATACACTACTCTCTACACTTTCCAGTCTACGCCCTACCTTCTGCTCTCTGTACTCTATTCTTCACAGTCTACTCTCTACATTCTACTCTGCTTTCAACAGTCTACTCTCTACGCTCTACATTCTACTCTCTCCACTCTAGTCTTTGTACTCTCTAAGCTCTAGTCTCTTCACTCTACGCCTCTACATTCTACTCTCTGCATTCTATTTTCCTCAATCTACACTCTACATTATCTGCACTATATTCTCCACAATCTACACCCTCTACTCCCTGCTCTCAACAGTGTACTGTCTACGCTCTACATTCTATTCTACACACTCTACTCTCTGTACTCTCTAAGCTGTAGTCTCTACACTCTACGCCTCTACATTCTACTCTCTGCATTCTATTTCCCTCAATCTAGACTTTACATTATCTGCACTGTATTCTCCACGATCTACACCCTCTACTCCCTGCTCTCAACAGTCTACTCTCTATGCTCTAAATTCTATTCTCTTCATTCTATGCCACTACATTCTACTCTTTGCTCTAAACAGTCTACTCTCTACACTCTCTACGCTCTACTTTCTACTCTCTGCACTCTATTCTACACATTCTACTCTCTGCTCCCTACAGTCTCTACGTTTCTATTCTCTACTCTTTACTCTCCACACTGTACACTCTGCATTATATTTTCCACCTACACTCTACAGTCTACACTCTCTGCACTCTACAATCTATTCCCTACTTTTCTACTGTACTCTACTCTACCCTTCATTGAAATGCTATCTAAGGCGACGCCGAGAATTCTCTCTTGTATGTACTCGAACGGTTTTTTTTTTCTTTTAGCACGATTACCCGCCCGAGTGCCGTCCGGGCGGCCCGAACGGCAACTACATCATGTTCGCGTCGGCGACGAGCGGCGACCGGCCGAACAACAGCAAATTCTCGACGTGCAGCGTCGGCAACATCAGCAACGTCCTCGACGCCATCGTCGAGAAGAAGAAACGGAACTGCTTCACGACGTCGGCGGGCGCCTTCTGCGGCAACAAGATCGTCGAGGCGGGCGAGGAGTGCGACTGCGGCTACGACGACAAGGAGTGCAAGGAGCAGTGCTGCTATCCGCGCGTGATCAGCCACAGGGACAGGGATTGGAACCGATCGGCGACGGGATGTACGCGTCGGAACGCCACCGAATGCAGGTATGTATTGAGAGTAAGAATTGAGAGAGAATATTAGAAGAAGCCACTCACGAGGTAGCGACTGGAAGGGAGGCTGGTTTCGTTAATGAATTACGTATTGGCTGAATCCCGTAGCGAGATTGCTAACGTGAAACTGGGTTTTTTTTTCAGTCCGAGCCAAGGGCCTTGTTGCAACAGCGAGTGCCACTTCATACCGACCTACCAGCAGGAAGTGTGCAAGATGGAATCGGACTGTTCGCGATCGTCGAAGTGCAACGGCAGCAGCGCCGAATGTCCGGCGCCGGTGCCGCGCGACGACAAGACGCGCTGCAACAACGGCACGCAGCTGTGCCTGAAAGGCGAGTGCTCGGGCTCGATATGCCTGGAGTGGAACTTGGAGGCTTGTTCGCTCACCACGCAGGACCATCCGAACATCGACAAACGGAAATTGTGCGAATTGGCCTGCCAGAACGGCACGGACGTGTGCCGGAGCACCAGCGAGTTTTCGGATAAGGTGGGATTGCCGCCGGGAGGGATCAGCTTGCGACCGGGTTCTCCGTGCGACAATTTCCAAGTTAGTATGAACCTTTTTCATCATAGACGCAAACTCGATGGCATAATTTACAAATGGAGCAATCTGTATATTACTACAAACCATTAATATGTTGTCTATGCTACAAACAAAATAAAATAACTATAAATGCAAAATGTCATGTGACAAGAAACGCTCAAAGCGCTGACATTGCCATGTCTATTTTCTTGACTGAATAAAGCAGCTGTAGCGCCATCTGTTTATTCGAATAAACTAAAAATAATTCTCAGAATCGCCAATTCAAGAAAAACATCTATAGGTTTGGTCTAGGCTTTTTATCATACATACTTCATTACTTTATTTTTTATAGGGTTACTGCGACGTGTTTCTCAAATGTAGAGCGGTGGACGCGGACGGGCCGCTCGTCAGGCTCATGAATTTACTCTTGAACAAAGACACTTTAATCACCGTGGCTCAATGGATAACGGAGTACTGGTGGGCCGTTCTTTTGATGGGCATCGCCTTCATCATATTTATGGGATTGTTTATCAAATGTTGCGCCGTTCACACGCCATCGTCGAACCCGAAGATGAAGAAAGCTCAACGAATCGGAGATACTCTACGGAGACCTATGAACACTTTGAGGAGAATGGTAGGAAACGTTCGATTGTGCGACGACGGTGCGATGTAATAAATTACGAATTTTCGCAGAGATACCATCACGGCGCGCCGCATCCTGCGGGAGCGAGCGGACCGTCCGGCAGGAGTCGAAGGGAACCGCCCAGCAGTAGATCGTCGACCAGCCAAGGCGGGCCTCGTCCGGGTTACGGGGAAGGTAGGGGGCACTATCACGCTCCTAAAGGTAAGATTAAAATGCCGATTATTAGTCGCAAAAGATGTAGTACGGTGCCAGAATTAAATGATAAGATTTTATAACGTTTATAACGCCTAGACGTCATCGAAATTCGGTAATAATCTTCATATTAACAAAGTACTTAGCTATTAAAAGGTAGATGGAACGTTACTAACGTAGGTTCGCACTTAATAGAGCAGAATATAGATCAGAGCAGAACAATGCTGAAAAGAGAAGAGTAGTGTATAGCAGAGCAGGAGGAGAATAGAGCAGAGGAAAGTAGTGCAGAGCACTGCACAAGAAATGAGTGGATAATAAAGTAGAGTGGAGCAGAGCAGGAGTAGAATAGAGCAGAGGAAAGCAGGAGTAGAATAGAGCAGAGGAGAGAAGAGTAGTGTAGAGCAGAGCAGAAGAGAGGAGAGAAGAGTAATGTAAGATAGAGCAAAGCAAAAGAAAAGAGAGGAGAATAGCACTCTACAGTCTAGTCTCTACATTCTACACTCCGCTCTCAACAGTCGAATCAACGCTTTACATTCTACTCTTTTCACTCTATTTCCCACAATCTACACTATACCCTCAACAGTCTACTCTCTACACTTGCTACGCTCTACTTTCTACTCTCTCCATTCTATTTTCCACAATCTACACTCTACACTCTCTACACTCTAGTCTTTACATTCTACTCTCTGCAGTCATTCTACGAGTACTCTCTGCTCTCTACTCTATTCTCTATATTCTACACACTACTATCTGCACTCTCTATCCTCTATTCTTTGCACTCTACTTTCTACTGTCTGCGCTTTATTCTCCATACTCTACAATCTAGTCTCTACACTCTGCACTCTATAGTCTAGTCTCTGCAATCTACAGTCTATTCAGTAAGCTCTACATTCTATTTTCTGCAGTCTCTGCGCTCTATTCTTCACGATCTACGCTGTACTCTCCACACTCTACGGTCTACTCTCTACACTCTACTATGGGAATAGAGCGCAGAGTAGAGCAGAACAGAGCAGAGTAGGGTGCACGAGGAATTCTAATTTTTATAATTATATTGGAAGATAATGTTTGCATGAAAATACTTTGTTGTAAAAAAAATCTCAGTCTCGTTCTCGGAACTATTATTTAACAGATTAAAATTTATAATCCCCTTTGCACCCAATTTACACGAGTTTATTGGAGATTACAGCTTATATTGTTAGTATTTAAAAGTCCTATAATTTATTTCCGGCACTATGTACTACACCGATGCAAATTAATTCTAAAATATTCTTAATATATTAGAGTATTCTCCACTAGCGACAGCGCCGCCGGCGTCGAACTACAACCGGCCGGAATTGTACGCGGGTGCCTACGAGATGAGAAACAAAGTCTGACAAGATGAAGGACGAGCGGGGGAGGGCCTGCCGCCCCCCGATTATCCCGGCACGCCGCTGGCCGACGTATCGTCGTCGTATCGGCTGGCCCGCCGGGACGATAGGAACGATAAACGTTTGGACGAAAGTGATTCGGGTTCGAATTTGTAGTCGGTTGGAAATTTGAATAATCGATTCGTCGAGAAGCACTTGTGATTACTAAAATAACCGGTTCGAAGTACAGGCGAAATGGGCGGGTTTTTGACGATGGGATTCTTACTTAAATTAGTTGCGTTGTTATATTTGGAAATGGGCCAGCCTATTGTTTTTATTACTTGTTTAGCGGGCGGTTCGTTTGGACTAATTTTGCGTAAACCAACTGATTTTAAGTAAGGATAGGTTTGTTTTGTTCCAAGTTTTCTGGAGTTTATTTTTTTTTTGGTTTCAGAATAGCTCGGAACTTTGATGTTTACTAGTTTGAACTTTTTTGTGATTTGTACAGATTAAATTTAAAATTTTATTGTCTCGAATTTAATTCTGTAGATGCCCGAGTTCAAATTAGCATCGATTCTTTTACATACCTTTTTGTCAAATAATATTAATATTTCGTTTGTATAAATTCTCTGTGAGTATGCGACAATTCCATTAAAACGCAGATTAAAAAAATAAATCGTAATGTAAGATGTAAGAATGTATTTTTGATTATTACGAATATCTATATAAGCTTAACAAAAGTATCTGTGTTTTAATGTTCTCAATTTTCGAATGTAGTTTTTGTTGATAGTAATTACGATGAAAAAATTAAGCTTGTATTTGAGGAAAATTTAAAAACAATCGGGCGGTCTTCTGGAAATCAAATAAAATTTTCGCTTTTGTTTTGTGAACGCGAAAGACCGCCCGGCTAGATAATAAGTAAATTTGACTACGAACGTAAGTTCTTTGTTATTTTAGTGAATTTCAGGTACACTTCTCACTTACTTTTTTTTAATAGTTTATCCTACACGATTTTTTGTAAAAAGAAAAAGTATATTTCGGCCAATGTGCTCTGTGATTGAACGTACACGGAACTTTCCAAAAAGTGCGTGTGAAAACTTAAATGTAAATTTAAGGAACAAAATATAAAATAAAACGGGTGCATTTATATATTAGTAGTCACTGTTAAATATTTTAAAAGTTGCGATTTTCCTTCTGTACGGTTCCAGCGCTACATGATACTTTACTCTTATGACAAAAACATGTAATAGTGAACTATTGGCAACTACCTTTTTTTGTAGAACCTGGAATCTAATACGCGATTTTTTAATAATAGTTTTTTACAATACTCATTTACAATACTCATTTACCTTCTTCAATATATTCCTACTTTTATTTAAGACTGTGTCGCGTCTATACTATACTTTACCGTTTTTTTATACAATTTTTAACCGTTTGTGTCGACAGTTAATAGTTCATTTATATGGTTTTTGCATTGGGATTGAACCAAAAATGATTGTGCGCTAGGACCATTAGCTGTTACGTTTTAAATAGGGAATTTTTAAGGACTCTAGTCAGAGATAATTAAGCATATAATTGAACCCTAAAATATTTATATTTCTTGCGAACAAATCCGTTTTTTTAATTCTTTATGTATACATTATAGTTAATTTTTATTTAGCGTTCCGGCTTCCTTTGAATGAAAGGCTGATTTTGTCTTTGGTAAAATAATCTTTTTTGTACCCGTAAATGTATCTATAATTTTTTGTAATAAATATATTTATAAAATTGTAACTAGTTTTTTTAATAAAGATTGTAGTAGTATCGTTATATAAATGAACAAATTAAAATCGAATAAGTTATGTTTTAATATAAATGAATAAACATTATCAAACCTACAAATTGTCTATACCTAATTATAACATGTTTATATAAAAATGTTCTTAAATCTATATGTACAAATTACAAATGTGCTTTTGTAAAATATAAATTCCTACAAGTACAAGATTACATATTATGCTCTAATTTATAAACGTCGTGATAAGCGTTTCTAATAAGGGCATACGGGAAACAAGATTCCAACAAATCCATCGTAAGAAACGGCGATTCCTGAACGATCTGATCCAACAACAGATAAATCGACTCGCGATTTTTAATCGCCTCTTTATCAGCCTCCTGTCCCAATCTCAACAAACTCGAAGAAGCCAACGCCAGGAACTCCTTCATGCGATCTTCGATATCTCCTTGCCCGCAAATCGTAAACAGAGCCCCGAAAATGTGATTAACCGCCAACGACATGCAATGAATATTATTCGTATGCCCTTCCAACGAAGCCCTGTAAAACGACTGATCGGACTTGGCCAATTTCGGTATCGAAACCGCCACGAACACCATCAAAAGACACACCAAAAGATGCTCGTTATCGCCTTCGGCCTCTTGTTTCTGCAACTTCAAAGCCGATATTAAAGACGGATCGACTTTGCAGGGCAATCCCGCGGCGCAGGTCATCTCGCTGACGATCTTCATCGGATCCCCGCTGGGCAGGTGGTGCTTGAAATCGAGAATCGAGCTGATCAAAAACGGGATCCTCTTCTCCAGCACGTCGGCCAAGCACGACTGGCTCAGCTGCCTGAAGCTCAATATCACGCCGACGATCGTCATCCTCTGCAGCACGTTCTCCACGTTGGTGAGCTTCTTGAACTGCTCCTTCATCACCTCGGGCTTGTCGAAGTTCGTGCGCAACGCCAGCAGCACGTCCTTGTTGACCTCGGCCAGCTTCTTCAATTCGACCACTTGGCTGGCGATGTGCCACATCAGAGTCTCGCTCAATTGCTTCATTCCGTAGGGGCCTATCAGTTCGGCCAGGGCTCTCAGTTCGTTCACGTCGGAGTATTCCTCCGGGTTGGGAATCGAACCTTCGACCGTTAGGCTGACGAACGAACGCTGGTTCATCGAGAAGATGATGTTACCGGCGCTGACTCTTCTCAGTAGTACCTCCGAATACCATTGGGTGTAGATCGAAGCGATGGTTTTGTCTCCGTGACTGTCCATCGGTTGGGTTTGTTGCAACAAGCAGTTGTTGAACACTCGCGTTATGTCGATGTGAACGTAATTTTCTACCGTTTGCAGGACGTTCATGTACGATCTCACGCAGACTAATAATTCCGATGGTTTGGCGATTTCGTTGGTCTCCGGCGAGTACATCACCATGCCGACTAGTGCTTTGGAAAATCGATTCTCCAGGTGCTGGTGTAGGTATTCCCTAGGCGCGAAGGTGTATTCCCACACGTTGATGTTCGAGAAATAGTTGATGGCGTAACAGAGTTCGGTCAGAGCCATGTGCAGCTTGTCCATGGTCGTTAAATTCTCGCGCGTCTTCCTGTAGCTTTCCTTACCGGGTTTTTCGATTTCCACCACGTTCTTCTTGTTCTTTTCCTTCTTCTTTCTGTTGATTTGCTGGGATATCAGATGGGCGCAGTTTTTGGGTAGTAGTTTATCGCTCATCTTGCATTGCGCGTCGCAAATGGCCGTAATTATATTTTTCGCCTCCTTCGCCATCTCGTCGAGGAACATATTCACCACTGACAAACTCCTCTCTCGGATGTGATGCCTCTCTTCGGGGCAGAGCTCGTGGGTGCAATGTTGAAAGTGACTGCATATGGAAGGAAACGCGACGATGTACCTGTTTTGCGCGGGAAACTCCAAGCACATGTGAAACTGATCTTCGAATATTCTGTTGTAGAAGCAAAATATCGACATGTCCGACGTTTCTCTCAACATCTCGTCCAAATTATCGACCATTTTAGTGTGGAATTGAATGGAATCGAGCAGTTGCGCTAAAAGTCTGTGATCTTTCAGCCTCAATGGAGATTTCGCTGTAGAAGTGAACGCTTGTAGTCTGAACCAGTCGAGTCTAAACGCGAAGAAATTGAACGGTTCGTTCTCTTCGACTTGCTTAATTGACACGCTCGATATCGTGTTACACAACGACGACAAAATCGTCACCTCATCTTCCGGGTAAGTCTGCAATTTTTGCATGATTTCCTTCAACGTAATAGCGTCCCAATGAGACAGGTATTGAACGTAATACCTTTGCATAACCTGGCTGTATTTCCTCACCAGCACTCTCAAATCCTCCATGTGGAACAACAACTCGGGTAAATGCCTATCGACCAAATCTTCGGTAGATTTTCCTTTAGTTTTATGTATGGGAGGATTGTCGTTGTGCCTCAGCAGCCACAGTACTTCGTCTCTTCCGTAACACAATCCCATAAATACCATCAGAGCCTTGGGACCTAACAGGCCCGGCTGGTCCATGAAAATTAAACCTAATTCTTTGAGAGCAGTCCTCAGGAATTTCCGGCGTTCGCGGTGATTGTAACCGGCTTTCTGGATGGCGTGATTGTAGGTGTCTTTTACTTCTGAAATCCTCTTCGAGTATCCTTTTAAACCATCGAAAAAGGTCGTGATGTACTGGTGAATGTAAATCACTTCGTCCCTGAATAAGGGAATGACCCAAGAGCACTCCAAGGCGTTCAGGAAAAGCTTGTTGAAATTATCGTTTTGCAACAGCACGTTATGGATCAGCAGCAGGCCGAAAATTATCCACCTCTCCATTATATCCAGCGATAGATATTCACAGGACATTCTTTCGGAGAGGAGGGGTTTCAGTAACATCGAAGGATTTCCGACTATAGTTAGTTTCTGTTCGGAACGCCATTTATCCGCAGACACGTTCCTCGGAATGTACACCGGATATAGAGATTGAATCGCTTCTGCTAGTAGCCTTGCGTGAGGTACAAATTCCTCTGATAACTTCTTAAATGGAATGTCGTAGTCTGTGATCATGGTTCCCAATCTGGGGAAGTTTTGATCCTGTTGCCCGTGCACGATTTCGTAAGCGGCGTTGAATAAACCGAGGACTGCTTTACGGTCTTCGACTTTTGAAAGTAACACCATCAGAGAAACGTATGTTGTTACTAAATCCAGGTAATTTTTCGTAAGTTCGAAATTCATGGAAATATCCAAGTCTACTTGGTACATATCTAAGCTGGTTAGAAGATCACAAACGTGGTCTTTGAAGTCTAACAAATCGACAAAAGTGTAATAATACAACGACAGCGATTTAATTATGTCGTTTTTTAGGTTGTGAATCGGCGTGAGGCTTTTGGTGTCGATGTTCGGGAACCTCCTCACGATGTTCTTGATCGAGGATTCCAAATTTTTGTCGGAGAGAAAGCCCGGTTTCGATTTCGCGTCTCCGCATGCTTTCTTTATGTTGTATATTCTCGTTAGCATGCCGACTCCCCTATCATTTAGGATAATTAACTTCTCGGCTATCTTCTTCTCGGTTTGGATCATTTGGCGAGACTCGCGAGACATCCTGGAAACGTATTGATGTTAGATGGATATTTAACAACGAGTGAGCGTTTACCTTAATTAGATTTAATTTTACAGGTTTATGCAAATAATACTGATCACTTATCACTGTATTGTGGTTATTAAACTTTATTTATTAGTAGTAAACATTTATTATTATGTTGTCTGTAGTAAACATGGCATTTAAACAAGATACAAAATGAAGTTTACACTTTACTGTCAAAATTAGGGCGGATTGGCGTAATTTTGAACTGGAACATCAAACAGGAAAAGATCACACTAAATTTGGTTAAATATAAAAAAGAAGAATAAATAAAAATATGTTTGGATTGAAATTACTTTACTAGGATAAAAATCAATGGACTTATAATTCAACAATAATTTGGAGAGAAGTAATAGTGCCGAATAGTAGACAAACTACAAAAAATGGTGGGCCGTATAAGCGTCTACGTACGAGGCTGGCAATTTTGTATCTTGTCACTCATTGTCACTGTCACTGTCAATTGTGTCAGTGTCATTTGGAATTCGAATTAACGACGTTAACGTACATCTGCGTATATCGCGCTCATAATTTATCATATAATCATAAACAATTAACTATTGTGGAAGTATCTGCAGATTTCATATGCTCTTTTTACATTATGAGCTGCAGCAAAAATGATTCTGAAACGACCACAGGTACAGTTTTGCACATGTTCGTTGTTATATATTTAATTCTCTAAATGGCGAAATGTTTTCGTCTTTTTACAATTTCTTGAACCGGTCAAAAACTTGTAAGGATGATTTAAACTTTAAATTTTGTTTTAGGGTCTGCAACTAAGAACTATAAACTCCCTTTTAGCATGGAATCAATTGCAAGGGACATAGCTGCAATGAGTAAGTTTATAGTTAAATTCCTGTTTACTTTCTGTTTACCCGTTTCTTTTTTCTTTTAAGATGGAGTGAAGTATGTACCAAAAAACTGGGCCAGTGGAGAAAAGAGAAAACCAAACGATGATTGTAAGTCAATTTATTTTAAATTTTTTAGTAATGGTTATTTTCTCGAATAATTACTCCATTTTAGGTCCTAGTAGTAGTAGACCAAAAAGGAAGCTCGTACGATTAAATCTCGATGAATTACGTAGAGAGTTGGGTAAAGCTCAATTTCATATTAATATTAATATAGTAAATAAATTGTAATTAATATTACAGCAGGGTCAGTCAAGAAACCGAGTTCAAGTACCAGTGCAGGCAATTTCCAAAGGAGATCGACAATATCTAGAAGACCCAAATTAACAAGTTCGCCAAATAAACGAAGAGCATCTGCTGTATCAAAGAGATCATCTACAAACGGTAAGCTTGCTTGTTATTAACAAGACAATTAAATTTCTGTTTGTAATTTTGTATTTTTTCAGATTTAAATAGGCCCTCTATAGTAACAAGAAGCTCAATGACAAATTTACGACAAGAACCTGCAGTAGCTAGAAGGGGTTCAATAGCAACAAGAAGCGCATTTACTAATATGCAGCAAAAGCAAACCAAACAAACAAATGGTAAATTATAATCTAATGTCTAGAAGTAACAAGGTATATCCTTTTCTTCATTTCTCACAGATCCAGAAAGTGTAGTGGCGAAAAGAAGAAAATTGGAGTACGGCAAACATCCTGCAGGAAGAGGACTATTTTTAAATGTCCCACCTGTAACCAGATCTGCGAAAGTATGAGTCTCTAACTATACATTTACATATTTATTATATAAAGTTTTGTTTGTAGGGACCATCGTCACCTGTACCGAATTCTCCTTTACTCAACATGGAAGAGGTCGAAGATGATTGGATAAACAACAGGGAAGTGATAAAAAAAAACTGCAACAAAGAAAACGCGGTCAATTCAGCATCGAAAGCCAATACATTAGCTACTATCGCAGAAGAATGTGACATGGAAAACAGGAATAAAGTTCCAGACGAAACAACTCCTAGTACTGATCGAGAATTTGAGCTTCTCGAAGAAATGTGCACCAACTCCCAAACACCTGTGACTGCGATAAGCAACCTTTTGAAGGGCACAAATATCGGTAGTAGCAAAAAGAAAGCCAGTAAAACAGCGGCTGGAAGCTCATTGGAAGCCAAGTTAAAAGAGGAATGCGAAAAGCACGAGAAAATATTGAAAAAAGAAAACGAGCGACACTTGAGCGAAATCCTCAGGATCCTCAATTCCAAAGACATCAACTCGAATAGCCTTAAAGCGAATGTTCCGCTGGTGTTACTGTCGTCTCCGACTTCTTGTAATTACAAAGATTTAAGGAAGAGTACATTGAAAAAGAATTTGGAAACTAAGCAGCTGTGTTTGAGCCCCCAATCCAAAGGCATGGAATACTATAACTCTGTGAAGCAAGTATGCAATATTCTAGAGACGCCTAAATCGGAAAGAGCAGCAACGCCTAGCACAAGAAGTATTTCCATGAAAGTTCGAAATCAGTGCTTCATGTTAGCCGAGACGCCAAAAATCACAAAAGATTTTTAAGCTTTTTTTAATGTTTATTTATTCTAACTTTTTACCAATTACAGAATAATTTATATAACCTGTTTTTTTATTCGTGATTCACTCAATATGTTTAATAGGTTTAAAACTATGAACTAATCGAGTATTAATCGACTAATTATTCAATTACGATACGAATTTCAATGAAAACGTGTAAAAAGTGTTGCCTAACAATCAAAAAGTGACACTTATCTTGTCATTCATTTGTCAATGTCAAATTTACGTCACATCACAATAATAAATCATGGACGAAAATGAATAAATATTTTTGTATAAAACGATGAGTTAAAAGGAGATATTAAAATGGTTGAGCCTATTTTCGATTACCAATTCCGACTGATTTTAATAGGCGACAGTACGGTGGGGAAAAGTTCGTTACTAAAGTACTTTACGGATGGAAAATTTGCGGAGGTACGTAAGAACAGATAAGAACCCAACAGATTTAAGATTCGACTAAATTGCAGGTGTCCGATCCGACGGTTGGTGTGGACTTTTTCGCGAGATTAATCGAGGTAAAAGACGGTACTAGAATCAAATTGCAACTTTGGGACACCGCCGGCCAAGAGAGATTTAGATCCATAACAAAATCTTACTACAGAAATTCAGTCGGTGCATTGTTAGTTTACGATATCTGTAACAGGGCTAGTTTCGATAACATACCTTTATGGATGTCGGAGGCCAAGAGGCACATCGAGCCCCACAGGCCGGTCTTTTGTTTGGTGGGCTGTAAATTAGATTTAATAAATAACGGGGGTAAGAGGGAAGTATCCAAAGAAGAAGCGAAGACCTTCGCTGATCAAAACTCGCTGTTTCACGTCGAAACTTCAGCTAAAAACGGGTTAAATGTAGAAGAGGCGTTTCGATGTGTTACCCAAGAGGTCTTTAATAGGATACAATCCGGGGAATATAAGGTGGAGGACGGGTGGGATGGTATAAAGACAGGTTTTTCTAGGCCATCGGGTTTAAATTTCAATTTAGTAGAAGCCGAACCTGCTAAATTGTCTTGTTGTTAGTCGTTTTGTTTTTAAGTAGGGACTGTATATAATTTAAGAAAAAAATTGTCAATCAAATTTATAACGTCCTAATTTGCAGCAATTTTTGAAATGAATTGTATATTACTAACTACTACACACGCGTAGTTTAGTTATAAGTCGCAAAAAATATGGTCTGACGTTTTTTAAAACCAAACAATTGTGTAAAATATTAGAAATTTCCTGTTAAACAATTTTTTTAATAGTTCATTAGGTATACGAAGAGAATATTTATTTGATGATTTGTATTAAAATGTATGCTAAAAATAAAATATGGGTAGATGTGGAGGTTGCAGTTACTAATATTCTATATGAAATAAACAGTTTATTAATTGTTTACCTTAAGGTGTTGACTAAAGAAGGTAAAGGAGCTCATTTGCGGAATGAATTATTATTGTTTTCATCTTGATAAAGACAAAGAATAAAGAGTTCAATTTGAATTAAAAAAGGTGCTTTTATTCTATTTCCTTAGCTATTTTTATTCGACCTTGTATTCACGTATTTGCGTCTGTTGTATTTATTTGTTATCTAAAGTTACAAACCAAAGGTTCCATGTCGAATTATTATCTCTTTTTATTACAAACAAAAAAAATACTTATGAATCTTTGACGAAACAACAGATATACAGATTGAATCATTTTAGTTTGTAATGGGTACAACAAAGACAACTTCTATTAGACACTTATTTCAATAATTTTTCTTTCGGTCTGAATTGAAGCAATAGGTAGGTGTATTGTATAGGTGTAAAAGTGTAATTAAATTGAAAAGAAAATAAGAGAATTATTATAATTTATTAAGTTTATATTATGTATAACACATCTAACTACCTAGAACTTATGGTAGGCAGTACGGAAACGGCGTTGATTTTAATGCAACACAAAAGAAATCAAGACAAAAATAAACCGACAAAATTACAATGATATATTTAAAATTAGCTTACCAAAAATTGTTTTAATAAATATACCTACTACAAAATGATTAAACCCATTTACATTTTTTTATTTCAATTTTCATTACTTTTTGCCAGTTAAGTAAAACAAAAGATATCCTTAGTTCAACGAAAAAAAAAAATCTTTAAAAAATCACCAAATATCTAGTGCCAAGCCTTTAAATTTTTTATTCCGAAACGAAGAGAAATTAGGAAAAAATATACTAGTTACTGCAATTGATGCCTGGGAAGTGTAGCAATTAATTTTGAAGCACTGGGTACACAAACCAGCTTAAATAAATATAAAATAAAAGTGCTAATCAATAAAGCTTTGTTCTACACAAGCCTTCACCCGTTTTTCATATTCTCTTCTATTTTCTTTGTACAATTGTGCAGCCATTGAATTAGCCGGAGAGTTGGGGTTTGGGTCACTCAATAATGACTGAAACCAAAAACAATATCATTAGTTTACGAGCAAATTTCGATCTTAAAACTAATTTAGTCATAATGCTAACAAAGAAATTAAATATGTTCTCCTTCTCAATAACCTTTAAAATAGAGAAGATATCCCGTGAAGAACATTTTCTATTTTTATCAACAAAGGAAGCTCAATTTATTATGTGCATAGAATTCATATAAAGTAACCTCTGTATAAGCATGGGGTTCTTTAATTTACTCAAATGAGGAAAATTAATAGAGCAAAGAGCTAATAAAGCAAAGAACGAAGATTTGAGAATTAAAAACCTTTAAAATACAGATAAAAAACTGAGAAGAATAATTTATGTCTCTATTAACAAAGGAAACACAATTTAAACGTGTTATATGTAAATAATTTGTATAAAGTAACCTCTGTATAAGAATATGGGGCTTTTTAATGTACTCTAATGAGGGAAACTATTCGTAAAGAGCTAATAGAGCGCAGAACGAAGATTTGAGTATCAACAACCTTTTAAAACACAAATAAAACGTTGTGAAGAATAATTTCTATTTCTATCAACAAAGGAAATACAATTTATATGTATTATATGCAAATAATTCGTATAAAATAACCTCTGTAAAAGTATTTGAGGTTCTTCAATTTACTTTTACGAAGAAAACTATTCGTAAATAGCTAAAGCGCAGAAAGAAGATTTGAGCAACTCGAATAACAAAGAAAACCAATTAACATCATTATTAGTAAATCCTATATGAATCTGAGTAAATCTGATGTGAATAATAAACTTAATACAACTTATATAACATGAAACACAATTAATTTTCACCTAATCGTTACACTATTCTAGTTATAAAAAAATACATTCATTGCCAGAAAATAAAACCTTCAAATATATTTGGCAACAAACTAACTAACGAAAGTTAATGAAAACTTACTTGAATTGAAGTTAATATAGCTGATACATCGTATGTAGGGCTCCATCGGTTTTGTAATATATCTAAACATATACCACCGTCTGCGTATACATTAGGATGAAACATATGACTGACAAATCTAACAGTAGGAGGTTTATTTGGGTACTCTTCTGTGAACTCGATGGTTAACTTAAATGTTCCATCTTCAAAAGGTGTATCGTGTGGACCGAATATTACAGCATTCCAAATCATAATGTTATTATCAGAAGGGGCTCCACTAACGCCAGTAGGCGGATCCTCCTGTAACCTGTAACAGAAACAGCCCGATGTAGCAAAATAATTTCTTCACTTGATCGCTTTTTCGCGACACTGATTCACTCCACTTACCTTTTGAAATCTCTCATAAGGCGTCGTCGAGCAGGAGTTGACATCCCGAATTATTTTAAAACGTTTTAGTTCACCTAACAACAATAATTAATAACAGGCTCTTTATTAAAATGCACGGATAATTTGTAATTTAACTAAATACCTAAATAAAATTCCTCAAAATCTTTCTTTGCATGTCATAAATGTCTAAAAACAAATATCACAATCACAAACGGATGCACTGTCACAAATGTCAAATATATGACAAGTTGACGTAACCTACCGTCATGGAACACAAATTTAATCGTTAGGATAACGTTCGTTTGTATGGAGTACACTCAAATATCACTAATCGAATTAATAAAGTTTGTTCGTTTGTCGAATTCTCTGGAAATAACGATGACGAATTGAGAAATCGATTACTCCAGATGATTACTCATTTCTTCTTGCAAAAATACGTAATTTAAATAAAAATTGCGTGGAAAGAATATTTTAATAGAGAAATTTTTTTCGAAAATTTACAAATAAATATACAAGATTCAATACTTGGATTTTTGTAAAAGTTTTTTTGTATTGTATATAATTTTAATTTATAATTTTCTGAATAAGACCAAAACATTCAAATTTTATAATAAATAGACGGACTTTGGGATATTTACGTTTATTTATATTATTTAATGGTATACATATGTTACGGAAAAAGTTAGATAAAGGACTAAACCTAGGTTTGCCCGGGTAAAGTGCAAAATACGGGTAGGGTAGAATGAATCCCACTTCTAGCCTACCCTACCCTTGTTTCTTGGGTATTTTGCACTTTACCCGGGTAAATCTATAGGTTTACTAGTAAAAATCTACTAGTAAAAACATTCCTTTTAACATTAGAACTGTTATTTCTATCAATAAATGCACTATAATGCATAAAATAAATTTATACTGCCTACATAAATACTTACATCTAGGTAATAAAATATAATAAACATTAAAATATATATAATATTTAATATTCATTAGATATTTGTCGTGAATTATTTTAAATAATTCATTTTATAAGTTGTACTTCATTTACATTTATTTCTTTAATATTTCTATATTGTACCTATACATAATACACCCAATATTTGTTAAAACATATTTTTTAGATAAAATTAATATTTCCTCTTATAGTTTTTTTAGGTGCACGTAGCAGCTCTGGGAACTAAAATTATTGATTGTTTTAATCCACTTACATGTTTGTTGTTAGTGTCTTGATGGCAACAGCATGACATAGTTTTCGACGTCAAAAATCAACTTCTATTGCATCGTAAATGATCGCATTTATTATTGTTAATGTCTACTAAAAAGGTACGATTAAATTTATTATATTAGATGCACCTTTTTTATCAATAAAAATCGTAATCTAAAGTATATAGCATCATTGATGGCATTACACAATTATGTGACATATTACAAGAGTGTACATATTTGCTTTGTCCTAATTAATTCACGTTCTAAATTGCTTAATAATTCTAATCGATATTAGGATAATAAACAGTATAGATATACCCTAGATAAGCTAAATTCTCCATTAAATCGGTGTGATATTTGCAGAATGATCGTGGATCGACTGCACCGAAGAAAACAATCTCGACGATTTCATCGAGACGTCCATTACTCGAGGCCGAAAAAACTAAAACGAAGAAAAAACCCGCTAACGCGGAATCCACGAGACGAAAAATTGCAGAAAATGACAAATTAGACCAGAAGAAGGATTTGAAAAAAATTAATAACCCTGATAGAGAAACCAAAATGAAACAAGAACTAACCAAAAAGACTTCTATAGCAACGAAAAAACCCGCACAGATTTCGAAAGAAAAACCTTCTTTAAACCTAAAGAAAGCACCAAAACCAGCGGAAAACAGCAAAACATCACTACCTAAATTCACGAAATCCATAAACTCCTCAGCAAATCCGAATCCCCAACCAGAAAGACCAACAACAGCCACACTTCTACGCGGCACCGTCTTAAACATCAACAAAATCGGCCCGGACAATCCCCCAACCGATCAAACTAAATCCCCCTCGCCCAAATCCGACTCCTCCGAAGGCAAGTACGAAGACGACTTCGAATCCTACGAATCGGACTTCGAGGATTACTCCTCGTCGAGCTCAAACGGCCTCTTACTGGCATCATCTCCCAGCAGCAGCCCGTTGAGCAGCTACTCGGACGAGCCCACGTCCTTCGGCAAGCACTCCACCAACGGGCTGGTGTTGTCCAGCGGCAGCGAGGACGACAAAACCCTCGATTCCGGCCACTTCGAGATGCCCGGCTTCAAGCACAGGCCGATGTTGGATAACATCAAAGAGGCCATCGAGAGGGAAAACGCCAATGTTCTATCGCCTCCAGGGAATTACGCCTCGTTCTCCGACGAGGGTTTCGAGGACCAGAAGTCGTTTCAGTTCGTCAATTTCGCCGATGCCCAGATGAAGAACAGGAGGAGGAACAGCATGCAGATGAGGCGGAAGAGAGGAGAGGAGATATTGAGTATGGTTAAATTGGATTATTATAGTTTTACGTTGCTCGATATAGCGTCGATTTCTTATGAGAAATACGTGAAACTCTACGGTGCTAGGAACAGATTGCAAGTATCGACTCAAACTGGCGAAGATGATGTGGATGAAGAAGTGCAAACTGAAGAAACTAGTATGCTCGATAAAGCAACCCAGAAACCTGAAGTGTTTGGTTCGCATAACGAAAACGATAACGCAGAAAAATGCGTTAATTACACTAATTTGAACAAATTCTTATCGTCTGCCTTAGAGGTCGTGTTGAAGATAAACGAAGAATCTAATTCTGTAGAGTATAAATCACAAAGCGAAACTTTTAGCAAAAGTCTCGTTAATTTTAAAGCCAAAACCGACATTTTCGACGACTCTTACGTTACTTGTATACATTTTCCTCTTCACCAAAACGATAAATTCGTTACCGTTCATTCTAAACGAGATGGATCTTCTCTCACTGCCTCGTGGAATTTCAATCACGACGAACCTGATATTGTCATCGTTAGTTACGGAAACATTTCATCCTGTTCTACCGGCTTCAATTACCAGGAATTGATTTTCACTGGATTAGAAGATGGGTAAGTTGATTCAAAATTCATTCAAATTCTAATAGTTTGAATGATTTATTCGGTTGTAGCGCTATATTAGTGTGGAAAGGTAGCAGGAGATTACTGAAAGGCGAATACATAATTCGCGTCCCGCTATTTACAACTGGAATAAATTCTGGACATCACAATAAAATAATTGGATTGAATTTTCTGGATGACGTATCCAATAAAGGGAACGTTCAACGTGCTAACGAAGTAAATTCTTTGTACTCTTTAAAATTCTGTATCAGAAGTTCTAAAGAAGCGCTAAAATCATTGGTTTTTAGTTATGCAGTTTGGACGAAACTGGAGAAATAATTTTGTGGACCATCATATCGAAATGTTCGGGCAACGAAAACGACGTTGATTACAACAAAATCACGCTGCTCAAAAACTCGACGATTTCCCTAATTAATTTATGCCCGGATTTGAACGATTTGCTTTGCACCCGGTTTTGTAGCAGCCCTCTTAATCCTCATTATTTATTCATTGCGACCAATTACGGTTCGGTTATTCATTACACCATCAAAGCCGGAATGAACAAAGCCAAAACGTATTTAACAGGTAAGTAGAAAAATATTATTAATTCAAGGATTTTTGTTGTGATGGAACACGCTAATTTTAGAAGTGCAATCGGTTCCGAAATCGTTGGAATGCTGTCCGTTTTCATCGGAGTACTTCCTAGTGGGATACGAAAACGGAGATATCAGCTTGTTTTCACGGTCCTCGGAGAAGCCGCTTATGATTTTATCGGATAAAGATAAATCTCGAATATCCGCCATCGAATCGATAGAATGGTCCAGGGATAAATCGACTGTGATATATTCGAAAGACGACGATAATAACATCAACGTATGGGACCTCGACGAGAGCGATATGGTGCCCTTGTATACCATACCTTATAAGGAAAATATCGCCTGCATGAGAATCATAAAAGACGAGAAAACCCAAAAATTGTTTATGGTAAGTGTATGAGTAACGCAAAATTAAAAAATATTAAAATTCGAGTTTTGTTGTAGCTGATTGGGACCAAGGAAGGTAACCTACATTTACACCAATTAAATGAAGGACGCAATCAACCGACTAGCGAGTTACATACCCAAAGTATAAAAACCTTTTTTAGTTACGTTAAAAGATTGTAAACTTTATATTTTATTGTTAAATAATAAAAACAGTTTCTTTTCTACTATTATTTCATTAGTTTCAGTCGCGTTTATTAAAAAATTATCTAATCAATTAAAAAAAATATTTACATAAAGCACTAATAAGTATACACAAGCAGACGCTAGAGGAAAACGCGCGGTTAGCGACGCTAATGGGGCCGCATTCGTCTCTCAACTCGCTGGAGGCGTTGAAGAAATTCCCCAGCGATTCGGTGTCTTTGGAGACGGGCACGGTGCGCAGCCTCCTGGTGGAATCGTCGAACAGCACGTCGGATTTATCGTCGTACAAACCGAACAACATCAACGGGCTGGTGGGAGTTTTGAAGTCCTTTCCGAACAGCTCGTCGATTTGAAAGAACACGTCCGTAGTGTCTCTCAGCCACAAATCGGCGGTGTTGGCCCTTATCATGACTTGAGCCCTGGTGGTCCAACCTAGGGAGCACGGCGGCGACGATCCTTTCTCGCAGATTATCGTGAAATTGTCCATCGTTAGACGACGGCCCATCGATTCTTCCCTATCCACTACAAATCGAAAATACAACGGTTAATGAAGCAGTGAACGTAAGAGTAACTAACGTACTTTTCAAAAAATCTGCGATGGAATTTTGGGAGACGAACGCCACGTCGCCCGTTTCGCTGGTTAGGCAATGCAAGGCGCCCAAGTCGCCGGAGAAGTTGTCCTTTTGGCAACTCTGCTGGTAGGTGTTGGATATGCCCGGCACGCAACTGGGGCCGAAGTAATTGGTCATCGAAGCGTCCGATGCGCAATTTTCTATTAATTTTTTATCGCGCAACATTTTTCCCACCACGTTCCAAGCGACGCCGTCGTACGTTGGAAAACACGCTTTCTTCCCTTTCAAGTCATCCAAGGTTGAAATGCTGGAACCCGCTCTAGTCACTGCCACTATCTTGTGCTTCATTGCATCCGGGACGGTCTCGTATAAGAAAGTTTTGAGCTTGTAAGTCCTAAAAATACCACACGGAATTATAAGAGTAGAGATGATTGTGAGGTAGAATATAAATTTTTACCTTATAGCTGTTTGGACTAGATCTGCTGGGACGATAACAACATCCGTAGCGTTCGAATAGACTGCTTTCAGGCACTGAGTGGTGTTTTCGGCAAGGACGCATTCCAAATCGGGTTCTATACCATAAACAGCAGCTGAGTCTCTTAACCAAGAACATTTGTTCATCTCCAAAAGTGATTTGGTGCAGATCTTTATGGTTCTAGGAGGATGGCAGCCGGAGAAACTGTTCGCGCTTAAGAAACCTGGAATATAACACATTCCTGTTGTTGGTGGTTTTCGAATTGTGCAACCCAACTCACCTTTAGCTTTCTCTAGGTAGGTTTGTATTGGTTCCAGAGTTGGTAGTTTAAATATAGTCGAGTACGACGGCTCCAGGAGGTTCAACAAATTGTACCTCCATGATCCTCTATCATTCTGGTTCAAAATCGATACGAGTTGTTGAATTTCATCGGCCACAGCTCTACAAAACGAAGCGATAACACTACTTTGCTCGTTTAGGTTGTTGTAACGCACCTTCTTGCTGCTACTACTGGCCACGGTCTGGCCACCCAAACGCAGGGATTGCTACTATTTACTGGCATAATGCTGTCGTCGGGACAAAGGAAACTGTAGCCTTCCGAAGATGCTTGAGCGATACCGTTGTTTAGCCCGAAATGGGCTTGCACGTCGTCCAGGCGAGCCCAGCTGATGTCTCCTGCACCGTCAGTGAGACACAGGAGGGATCCGCTTCGGCCCCAGAATTCGTCTCGCATGGAACATTGGTTTGGATTGCCGCAGAGCCCGCAGAGTTTGGGGTATTTTCTTTCTATTCGAGCAATGAACAATTTCGTGAAGAAATAGGTTTTCAAGTTGCAATACGGACTTACTAAGTTGTTGATCAATTTTAGCCTCGTTGACCCAAGGACCGGCTTTGCAACTCGAGCCGAAAAAGTTCGATGAGGCTAGAAGTCTATTTTCTTGTAAGGTTAGGTTGGGATCGCACGAAGGCGTTACCACAGATCCTTCGAAATACTATAAAAAATTGAATACAAATAATTAGAGGAAGGAACTATGAATTTCTACCACAGGAAGAGTATCAATTGATATTTTAACAGTCTTATCAACCTTAAAGTTGATGTCGACACACATATTTGTGGTAAATGGTGGTTTTTTAGGACATACTGCGACATAAAATTTTAACCGACATAAAATTTTAAGTACTTCCTAAAAGTGGTTTTGATTCTAATAAAAATGCGAGTTATCTATAAATTTCCCAATTAATTAGCAACACAAAATTACTGGAATTGAAACTGTAAATGTGGTTACAGAAAAAATATTACAACTGATAGAGATGAAATTAAAATTACTTACGTTTGATAAAATTTTCGACCAATCGTCAGTTTCATATCCATAGCCAGGGTGGCAATATTTTTTATTTTTTAGATCGTGCCTGCTCTTTATGCCCGAGGCATTGTCTACCACAGCAACTACCTGATAGTCGTAAGGATCTAAATAATGATAAAAGTAATGTAATTAGTATCTTATTTGTGATTGTAAATTATTTTTTACTTACCATTTGGCCTGTATCTGACTTCGTTTGTAACCAGCACTTCAATCTTTTGGAGATTCGCTGATATTAAGTCTTCCGGATAAAATAGAGAAAAATCGGCGTTGCCTTTTAATATTTGCCTGAGGCAGTCGGTTCTAAAAAATTTCACGTTAATTTTTTTATTTACCTTTTAATTAATCTATTTACCTGTCCTGCCTAACAACGCATTCGACCGTGCTATCCATAGACGAGTCTAAGAGAGGGCAATAAGACTGGGATTTCTTGTACAAACCTTTCCCATCCACCACGCATAATTTATCTGAAATATTTATTGATTTGCTTACTAAAATTTTTAATCAAATTATGAACAAAAAAGTTGAAAATAATTTCAGGGAATTTCGCATGTGGGAATCGCATCTAGAATTTATTTTAATTAGAATATTTTCAATGTTATCCTCTAGAAATCTGAACATAGTTTGTTGTCAATTATAATAATGTATTTAAGTAGATTTTAATTCGTTGCTTCTGAACTAATAGTATTATTTACGCGATAAGCTTGTAAAAAATATAAAATGTTGTGAATAATATGCAAAAGTTTGATTTAGCAATTATTAACTTGTATAGGAATGAAGGATGTTTTAAAAAATAAGTATTTAACAATTCTGGTTTTTTTAATGTGTGGTTTACAAATTTGTATTCACTGTTAAGGATTAATTAAATGTCGAATAAAATTAAAGGAAGAAAATAGATTCAAGCTATATTAAATTTGTCGCACTGATTTAAAAATTTAACTAGGTCCTCCATAAAATATTTTAATATACATAAGTTAATTTATAGCTAAAATCGTGCAGGTAATTCTGAAATTTTATGACTATTTAATTACCTGTCTAGTAATTATGAAATAGTTTCCAGTTATTCGTTTTTTTAATTAAAAATTTCAATTCCTATTACAAAAAACCTAGCTAAATTAATTAAATTTTGTCAGGCTATTATATGTTTCTAATAACAATTAATAATGGATTTATAAATTGCTATTGTGCTCTCAAAAGATTTATAGCCCAAATAATACCACTATTACCTAATATTTTTCAATTCCTTACAGTGTGTTTCAAAAAATATTTAACATATTTAGCGCAGTTCTTAAAACGAATATTTCAATGACATTCCTTTAATGATACAAACATTAGCAACAAATTAATATATTCAATATTTAATGATTATGGAAATAAATAATCTACGATAGCATTAATATGTAAATAAGAAAATTGACCTTTATTGTTTGTTTGCTAAATTTATTATTTATTTTAGGAATATAAACAGAAATAAGATGCGCTCAAATGTGGGAGTACATTATCACTAATATATGGCATTATCTTGTTTACAATACTTACATTTTTGCGCGAGCGACGAATGGAAAACTGACAATAAAATCACACAACACGCGGACAGACAATAAACGCTTAATTTGGTCATAATTAATGAATGCAAATTAGGAGAACACTACAAACTACCGAAGGAAGAGCTGTTAAACAACTGTCTGAATTAATGTGCGCTTATAATTCGTAGTGTTAAGTATATACCCGAATCGCCTCTCTTATTTCCAAGAGAGATGTATATTCCGAAGGACGTCGATATATAGACCAGTCGGACTTCCCTATGGCCTGGGTTTTTCTTTAAAAAATACCAGCGAGCACCTGTACTCGGCGTAAACGAATCATTCATGTGTAAATTCGACTACTTACTATTTATTAGGTATCACTGAAAGCCAGTTTTATGCAAATCGAGTTGCAGATTAGACCAATTACAATAGTTATAGTTATTGGATTTTTGTTTGTTTTAAACATAGGCGTATCGTGATAGAATTGCTTCCAAAATAGATAAATTACTAATAATTAAAATCTTGCAGTTTTTTTTTAATTTTTACGAGTGAAGGTATAGTTATAGTTAAAAAAGAGTAGTGAAACGAATAATTTAATAACAAAAACTATATAATTAATTTAATGAAAAACACAATAGTAACGAACACAGAACGCAACATTCAAGAAACGCACAACTGAGGATCTCTGGATACAATTTCGATGGATTTCTTCTGCAGCAGCATTTGCCTCAAAGAAGCGGTTTCTTCTCTCAACGTGAGAATCTGAGCTCTCATAATAGCGTTTTCGTGCTCCAAAATCGCTGCCCTTAAAGCGATCTACAACCCAACGAAGAATGTACTCGAAGATCGATTAGATATATCCCAAAAATTACCTGATCCTCCCTGAATTTCCTCGCGTCTCTCGACTTTTTCGCCGCTTGGTTGTTCCTCCTTCGTTTTTCATAATACCTTTCGTCTTTTTGTTCGTCGGGAATGGGCCGTTTCTCGCCCCTTTGCCTTCGCAATTTCAGCGATTCATACGAAGAGTATTGCTGGGGAATCTTTGTTTCTACAAATTGTGTCTAAATAGCTTCGATAATACTAAAATCCCCCCTAGTGAACAAACTGTGCTTTAATCTGGTGCATAATTTAATGTGTAATTTCATACGCAAGAAAACGATTAGATGAGTCCAAGAAAATTCAGAGTTTCAACAGACATGAGTGTAGTTAATAAAAAAAATGATGCATAAGTGCATTTGATTTAATTCTAAATAGTGTTTGATTGAAGTTTTACTTACGAAGTTGATCCGGTAAGAAGCTTAAAGTTGGCGAATACCGGAATATAGCGGGATTGGGCGATGGATTTTTAGTATCGCGGAATTGTTTGTCGGGTTCGCTGTACGGAAACTTCGATTGTGTTTCGGGATTTAAAAAATATTTTATTCTCGAATCTACAAAAAATTTGAGCTTCAAAACACGGGCAAAATATTTTTGTATAATAAGGGATTGAACTAATCGTACCATTATTTTAAATTTAGTAGTGAAATTAAATTTATTGTGGGTATTAATATTTTTTTAAAAGCTCTGTTTAAAGCTCTGTGCTTCTTTTCTATTTATGAAACAAATTATGTAGTGTGAACAAACCTACAGAATAATAAAAAATTGACTAACAAAAACGACAAAAATAGTAATTACTAAATACCTAAAATATATCTCTGTTGCAACAAGAATTCAAAACATTTTATCCACTACAGTGATCACAAACACATTAAACTTATTAAAGAGCTTTGGGTATAGAAAGTTTGTCAATTGAAATTTGCAGTACAAACCTTGCGTTTGAGATGCTAGAACTGAATTACAATTTTTGAGGAGATTGTAGGTGGAAAAGGCCGACATTGGTAAAGAGAAATGCTCTTCCGTGTTCAATCGGAAATGGAAATTAGGCAAATCCATTATACCCGTCCACTGGGATCGAATCGAAAGTCCCTCTCTCGAAATGAACACGTTTTGTTTTAGATGAAAAATTGAAACTGACACTGTCGTGCAAGAATTTAACCGTGTTATTGAATATTACATTATTTTAACGTTGCTAGGAATCTATTATAACACCACGAGGCGTTTTCTTTATTCAGATTCCCCGCCTTTGGTAACTCTGCGCATATAATGAGCCCCGGTTTTTCGCCCCGTTATTGGTCGGCGGCGGTTTAAAAGCACAGGGTTACCCACATCGCAATAATCTTTTATCTAACTCCACCCTATCAACGGCTGCATTTTTAATAATTAATGATTTTTTTTTCAAATTAATGCGATCAACTACTTTGTACCGCCGGTAATTTGTGTTTTGTACGTTGTAACTATAGAGTGGTGGAGGCAATTCGAAATCTACATCTATACTCGTACATGTTGTTAAATGGATGTGCATTTGGGGTGAATGAATTAATTTAAATACAATACAAAACAGTAAAAAAATCAGTATTTTTATTTATTACCAATACAGAAAATATACATTTAACTATCTGATGTACATATCTGGAAGTTAAAATATCTATAAGTTACGTAGAAGAAACTGTTGTTCCATTAACGTCCTTTGAAAGAAGCGCCTTTCTGAATTATTAAAATAATAAACTCCCACATACACTAATTTTCTAAGACATTTTTGAGGCGTGTAGAAATAAAGTACATTAAAAATTTCAACTTCTGAGGGAATAGATTATAGAGCAAACGGATAATCACTAAGCTTGGGTAAATTATTATATTGTCTTCTTAAATAACCCCTTCGAATGATAACGAATGGCTGCCAGTAGTTCCTGTCGTTTGGTAATTACACGACGGTATTATTCTATATAATTTTTACAATATTGATTGCTGCCGCTGTCGAATCGTAATTATTTCGCGTAATAAGCATCATGAAAGTTTAAAATAGTACGCTAAAAGGACAATTTTCCATAAAAAATGGCTATTTTTTAATGATGGCCTAAACTACCTACGTTAACCAGATACTACTCTAAATACTCCTCTAAAGTCTATAGGTCTCTCAATATATCCTATTTTTTTGAGCATTTTCTCTTCATATTTAGTTATCAATCAAACCGAATATCGAATACATCTCCCCACTAGCGGCAGGTATAATAATTTTGTTTGGTTTTACATCAAAATAAATATTTTGACTGAAATAACTATCAGTAACAGATTACTTTCGAATTACAGGTAACGACAATACATGAAAATATGATTATGAGGATAATAAAGGTTTTATTTGTTTTTAGGGAACGCAGGGACTCATTCAAAATACTCCATACAGCAAATATAATCCACATTTTCCATATTTTTTCTGGAAAGAATTTTATCATTTATAAATGAAATTTTAAAATATATTTTTGTATTTCCTTTGCAAACTTCTAATGTTATTGTTACTACATCATGCTGACTCTTTATAATTCGTATATTTGCAAATGAAATTAAAGGATTTAAAGGTGAAATCGATACCCGTGTTAAATTGGAATAGAACGATTGAACTGGCGTATTTTAAGAAAATGTTGCGGTTTTCGGAATGGCATGAAACTCTTCCGTGCACAGAAAAATTGTAATCTAACACCGACGTTCGTATTTTTATTTTTACCCCGATTTCTACCCCGATAAGCGATGGTGTTTAAGGCTAGAGTTCAGTACTTTGAAAACGTGTGTAAAAATGCTGAAATTTCCGTGACGTTTTCAGGGCGCATTTTGAAATTTGAAAGGGGGGTCGCACTCTATATATGTTCTACCCGTTTATTCTGATGGCGGTACGAAGCCCTTTTTTTAAAAAATGCTTTTGTTTTGGCTTAATTAATTAAAATGTTGAAATTTTATATTCCATTTTCAGGCTACATTTTTAACTTTTTCTGTGCAATTTTTGTACCAAAAGAAAGAGCTAACCATCCCCGATGGCGGTACGAAGCCCTTTTTTTGATTTTCTTTCGCATTTGTTGTTAATTGGACTTTATTTGTTCATAAATTTTGTGTTTCCGAAGAAATAAAAATCAGTTTTAGGCAACCCATCAGGCAACTCCCGTTTGATTTATGAGGGGTAGGTCGAGTCTTCAATTTTACGACCCAAATCCGATAATCCGATTACCTATTTAGATACTGAATTTTAAACTTGCAAATATTCATTCCATCAGTGTAGCTACTTGTTAAAGATTACTATATTACAATTTCATTTATATTAATTAATTTTTGAAAAAAATAATGAAAGCAGCCACAAAAGTATTCGTTAGGTCATAGATTTATGTAGTCGCATTTTGTTTAGACATATGTAATTTAAATAAAATTGTGTATGTATGTATTATGCAATAATACGGACCGAAAAATGCATACTTTTTGAGTTATTAATTTTTTTATGAAAAAATTGACCGATTCATGCCATTAATTATAAATTACTCTTTTACGAAAGATGCTTTTAAAGTTCTGGAAGCATTTTTGTAGGGTGGCTACTAGCAAGGTCAAAGGTATATTTCACCCTGAGTTGAAAGTTAAACTTCAAAATTATCAAATTTCCTTATTTTTTTTGGAACTGCCCATTATTTATATTTTATTGAAATCAGCGGTAAACAATAAGAGAAGTTCATGTTCATTTCGCTATACTATATGTGGCGGTAAAATGTCAAACAAAATGGAAGTGGTAAAAAACTCTCTTTTTATTTATTTCTTTATTCTCTTTCTATTTATTTATTTATTGGTTTTCTCAGATTTTGGGATAGATACAATTTACATCCCTCCTTTAGGAATTTAGTAGATAATGATAAATTAATAGTCCACTTTAAATTTGATTTTAACTAAAAACTTATTTCCAGATATTTCTAGAACAGATTTAAAAAAATATTTTGTTTAATTCATCATAACGACAATGCAACAGAAATCCAGGAAACCATTAGACCAGCGATTACTTATAAAGCAATTGGGCCTACTCATGTACTTGCCTAATCTGTTTAGGTAAACATTGTATAAACGATACAATTGAATAAAAAATCAACATATCTACTATAAAGACACACAATAATTTGACTTTAATTTTTATTTAAGTTTTCACTTTGATAGGTAACAATATCAGATTTATTAATAGGTTTGTTCCTACAAAAAGTCACTGATTTGTTACCAGTAAGTTTCTGACTCTTCTATTTCGCATGCGCGGTTTATGATTGAATGGTGTAATCAACTTTCCGATTTCTTGATGGAACAGTCATTGCATTTATTACATATATTCACCAAATATCAAACAAAAACAACAAACAACATAACCTATATTTAGAAATACAAATTAAACCCAAATTAAAAATGCGCTTGCGCCGGATTCTAAATCTCTGTACTATCAGCAAATTTTTCTGACTGTCACAAAACCAGTCCCTTAAACTGTTGGAACAATAAATTGTTAACCAAGTCAGAATCAGAGATGTCTGTGGAGTTTGTTGGAACGCCTAAATTATTACTGCGCAGACTCCTGACGACCACTAACTATTTCTGACTGTTGTAGGAACAAACCTAATAAATCAAATAAAATTGGGCTAGTGCATGGCCCGGTAAAACGGGCAATAATCCCCGAATTTGACGACTTTTTAGCGACTGTTGGATCTTCAGGTACCTATTATAAGTTAGTATGGTGCCAGAATATTACCAATTTTAAATAAACCAATTTAATAATTATTTCAATTGAAAATACAGTTTTTTAGAGTCTTCATGATGAGCTGATTTTCAATGATATGTCACACTTGCTATTTATCATTGATATTATACAGGGTGTAAACGATATGATACTCAGTAGTCACAAAATAAATCTTTATTTGTGAAAATCATAGAATAGCAACGCTGTCGTTTGCTTGTATGAAGTTGATCTTGAATTTGAAACATGTAATTGTGATTTGATTTTAACGTAATATCTCCAGAATTATTTATAGTTAAATATTTGATTAAATTGTTTTTTACAGCTTCCTCAACCGTGTGTTCTCGGGCGGAATAAGGACACTTTACCTCAATAAGTGCATTATCTCCTATTAGCCCGTCCGGGGAAGCTGCCAAAAACTTATTTTCCTTATCAACAAACAATCCGCATTTCATTATATTTTTACTATACATATAAGGATTCAAATTTTTCTATCGCTTTTGATTCGTTTCCAATGAACTGAAGCAAAATATTAGATTTTTTCCGAGGTAAATATGCCGAAAGTTGACACTAACTTTTTTATTTAATATGAAATATCATATATATTTTTACATTTTTAGTATCTCCATTATGAGCTGATTTCAATGATGTGTTACACTTGCTATTTATCGTCGATATTAAAGGATCTACAGCCATTTGAAATGATGTTTTTTGACTTTAGGCTGCCCCGCGAGTGGTCGTAACTCCTTTATTATCAATAATAAGTTTTAAGTATGACCTATCGTTGGAATCGGCTCGTCTTTATGATTTTAAAAATGTAAACCATATACGAATTATTTTATTTAAAATAATTTGTCGTCATCGGCATTTCTAAATATTCGAAAATATATTTTCCTACAATATCGAAATTCGGATATTCTAAAATTCAAATTCTAATAAAATAACCAACCCAACCACTTATCTCAGTTTTACGACATACCCCGCTGTAAGCTTACTACCTGAAAATTTGCCGAAATAAAGTGACAGGTCTTGCTGTACAAGTTGCCTATTCCCGAAAAAATATTTTGCGAGTACTGAACTCTAGCCTTAATAACATTTCAAACGATACCCCTCATAAAAACAAACAGGTATTCTATTGGAATATTAAAAAAAATATCTCCTTAATGAAAAAGTGACCCAATATATTTTCTTTGTGCTATATAATGTACTGTCTACTATTTATTATTAAACATTACAGGAATCTTAAATGAAACCATCATCAGTAATTCTGATAAAAAAAGCTAATAGTTAAGCCTTATGAAAGATTGATCAAATAATGCATTCGAAATGAGTATAAGATTTGCGGTGGTAATAATACTTCCATACCAATAAATGTATTATATTTCAAAGGATAATTTCGAGCGCAGTAAATATTAATAAAATATTGGCCGCCTTGTCTAAATGAATACAATTCTGTTTATCACGATATCTTCTAATGTAAAAACAATAAAAACAAAGTTTTCGTGATTAACAGGGTCGTGGTGAAGTCATAAACCGTGAGAATTTATCGAGCCGCAGCAGGTGACATTGTGACACGTAACGCTTTTCTGCTGTAGTCCATTATTATGAAATCACTCATCCCCCTAAGTTTTTAACCTAATGATCATCCGCTAATCTCTTTCGTGATCTTTAATTGAGTTTCCTATTCTAATATGTAAACTTTGCCGGGTGTAATGACGTTACAGGGAATGCACGATACTTCCTGCTGATTTACAACCCGCCTAACTGGAGAAAGGGTTGTTGCCAATTTATTTTGTGATTTTTTTAATTCAAAGGGACGTATTGTAGAAAATTATCGATTTTTTTCGCTTGAATTGATAAAAGTTTTCATTCAATAACATGCTATTGACATTCTCGTTCTTCTATTTCTGCTGGTATTTATACATTCTTCTCTATATCTATACTTATTTTGAATGTTATTTTTATTACAAAAATTGTTAATAAATCTAACTGATAACATTGGAATATATGCACTTATATCTAATGCAGTTAAACAAACGCAACAAAGTCAGCCTTGGCTACTTTATTTAATTCTATTAGTCCAGTCATGCAATTCAATGATACTTATACAGATTGTATTTTAAAAGTGTGCTTGAATTTGTTGTTCTAATGGAATCAAATTAATGATAGAGATGGAATTACGTTAACTGTGTTATCTACAATATAGGCAGAGACAGACTTTCACTGATTTTATCCAACTCGAATGATCCACCAATATTCAATGTTATATTATGTATAAAAGTATTACTTAATTATATTACTTAAGTGTTATCACTGGATTACATAATTTTTATAGAGGTTAAAATTAATATATGCCCGCTCTGTTGAATATTGTTGATTTAACTGGTAAATTTTCTACTACTATTTTCAAAATAAAAAGCGAATTTAAAAAAAATTTGCCCGCTTAAAGGAGGTCGCATTTTTTTGTAGATTTTCCTGCTTAGCATTTTTAAGCAATTTCAATAATAGGTAGAAATAATTTTGTGTCATAAAGAACCTTGTGTAATAGGACCTAAATACATGCATAATTGAGTGTAATAGGTTAATAAAATACTCTGTTCCTCATACCAAATTTTATCGAACTTATAAATAAACCACAAACTTAGAAAATTAAGAAAATATAAATTAATTCCGTCGGTTCGATAAAACAAGATTACATATATCCAGATAAATCGCTAATGTTGGAATGAAACAATTAATTCCCATTTAACGAAATTAATCGTTAAGGTACTTAGAATTTTATTGGAAAATGGACTTTAATTTTACTCGAGTCCGTTCGGTACAAGCGCGTTTGACATTTATTTTTAGCAGGTAAATAGCAGTGTTGACGAACAAGCAACTCTACCAATGATTTTGTAGAAATAAAAGTGTTACGTAACATATACTAAATTAAGTATGCATCTATTTTTGAATTACTTGGACAATAGATAACACCAAAAGCTAATTCATTATTCTATTCAATAGAAACATCGATTGAACATATCGGCAACACAGCCTCATTAAAATATCTCTCGTCTTATATTATTACTGAGAGGTAGGTAAGTACAGCAGGAGTAGGATTTACTAGGACAAACGCTCAGCAAAAACGTTCAACTCGCGGCGTGTTCAGTGTAGCGTTCAAAAATGAATTTATACGTGCTATTTGTGTCCGCTTTATTCGCGTTTAATTCGATAGATTGTTTGAATATCTTGGCTGTTATGCCGCACATGGGCAAGAGCCATCAATTGGTGTTCGAGCCGTTGTTTAAAAAATTGGTTGAAAACGGACATTCGTTGACTTTGATAACGAGATACCCGCAGAAGAAGCCGGTGCCTAATTGGACGGATATTAATATATCGAACGTGGAATACAATTCGACTGAAATTGTTACCTTTGATAGCCTAACAGGTAGATGAATTAGGGATATTTTGTTTGTTAATATGTCGATAATGTAGGAATTTTTAGGGACGAGACTGGATAGGTATCTTTGCAGCAAATTATTGGCATCGTTCGCTTATATAACTTGCGAAGAAGGTCTTTCACATCCGAATTATTTGAATTTCCTCAAAACAGACCAGCATTTCGACTTGGTTTTGATCGAAACATTCAACACTAATTGCTTCATGGGAGTAGCGAAAAAATTCAAAGTCCCTATAATAGGTGAGTAATAAATTACTAAATCCATTCTTTGTTCTTACCTGATATTTCCCCTTCCATCTCTTTCTTCCATAGTTGTTCCATAGTTCCTCTTTCTTCTGGTCAATTTTCTTACACAATCCAATAAAGTGGTTTTGGTTGTAGGAATACACTCTGGAGAGTGGATGCCCTGGTTGCACGGCATGTTCAGCAGAACAAACAATCCCTCTTATGTCTCCGATCATTTTTTGGGCCACTCGGACAGCATGAGTTTCCTCGAACGAGTGGAAAATACGATTTTCTTCTTCATCAACCAGTTCGTCTACGACATGTTCTTAGCTAGGCAAGGAAAGCAACTCTCCAAAGACATAACCGGCGTAGATTTAGAAGAAGATATGATGAAAAATATAAGTTTATTATTGATTAACACTCATTTTACTCTTAATTCAAAGTTGCCTCTTAGTCCTAATAGTATAGAAATCGGTGGTATACACGTCATTAATCAGCCCATCAATCCTCTACCGAAGGTATTTTAAAATTATTAATTTTACGATTTAAACAAATAATGTATTGTAGGATTTGAAAAAATTCATTGAAGAAGCGAAGCATGGTGTCATCTACATGAGTTTAGGCTCGACCATACGAGGAGATTCCCTGCCAGAAGAGAAGAAACGAGCGTTCCTGAACGCCTTTTCCAGATTAAAACAACGCGTTGTGTGGAAATGGGAGGGCGAAATGACCGGCAAAACTCCCAACGTTTTGATCTACAGATGGACACCTCAAAGGGATGTTTTATGTAAAGCGCTACCTACCATTTATCTTCAATGGAATAACTAATTAAGTTTCCAGGTCATCCCAATGTGAAGGCGTACATAGGTCACAGCGGTATACTAGGAGTGATGGAAGCAGTGGATTGTAGCAAACCTATTTTACTGCTTCCCCTGTTTGGGGATCAGTTTACCAATGCTATAAACATCCAGAGGAACGGGGGCGGCATAATGCTGCATTGGAATAGCACAAACGAGGATGCTATATACGATACGCTACAAAAATTACTATCCCCAAAGTGAGTAAAGATGAAATTTTGGAATTATCTTTTGATATTTTCTTTGTTTAAGGTTCGAAAAAAGCGCGAAAGATCTATCAAGTAGATTTAAAGACAGACCGTTAGCTCCAATGGAGACCGCCTTGTATTGGATACACTACGTTTCGAGACACAAAGGCGCACCCTTCATGAAAACAGCGGCCGTGGATATGCCGTTTTATCAGCACTATTTATTAGATGTTATAGGTTTCCTACTTGTTATTTTTTTGACTAGTTTTTACGTTATTTACAAATCTACCAAATGTACTCTTAAGTTGTTGTGTAAAAGACCGCACCAAAAAATAAAGAAATCTTAAATTTGTTATCGACTCCAAAAGTTTATTTATTTATATCTTTAGGAAAAAACCATGTCTCGATAAAATACATTGAACTTTACAGGGTTGTACTGTAACGTTATTTTTATCTTATAACAAAGTATAAGATATGAAACCTTTAAGCAACAAAAAAAAATCATTTTTTAATATCTTTCCTAATACTGTCAGTTTTTATTAGGTACCTATCAATCGTAATAACAGCATACCAATGGTTTATCAAATCAGTACTTGTTTACTGATAAATATTATCCAAACAACTCCCCCCTGTGTTTTAACCTATTTATTTTTATCGCCGCATATAAACAATAAAATCGATTATTTTTATAGTCTTCTAACAAGCTGAACTAAAAAAATGCATTTAAAATTATCGCTTTATTCTCTAACAATATGGCTGTTTCATCTGCTGATCCTGGAGGGCGAATCCAGCAAAATTTTAGGCGTTTTTCCGACGGTAGGGGGCAGTCACTACATAATGTCCCATTCTCTGATGAAAGGATTAGCCGAAGCCGGTAATAACGTCACAATTATTTCCCCTCACGCTGATAATACTCTTGTGAAAAACGGCTCGTACACGCGTATAGTTCTGAAAGGGTTTGCTGAAAATTACCAGAGTAAGTACCTATCAAATTGCCAATAACTGTTAAAAATTTACCAACCTAAAAGCTTTTCAAACAAAGTTAACAGCAAGATCTTGTAGATGATATGAAACACCTGAATCTGTTCGAAGTAAAAGATTTCAATAACCACAATCAAGAAGCCATTTTCCAGAAGTACATGTACCAGAAAACTGAAATGATATTCAGAGACGAAGGCGTTTGGAAATTGATAGAATCCAACGAAACCTTCGACGCAGTCATTGTGGAGCAATTCTCCAACGATGCCCTGAAAGTTTTAGCCAACGTTTTCGGCGGTCATTTAATCGTATTCGATCCGATAGGTCCTTTTAATTTCGTGAATAGATTGATTGGTAACCCCACCATGGTGTCTTATAATCCTCAAGTGGTCAGCACGTTTCCCAGACCCATGAGTTTTAAGGATAGGCTCCACAATCTCCTCCTCTATTCGTACGAAGAAGTGATGAATCATTTCGTATTTTTACCAACGCAGGACCGGCTGGTAAAGAAGTACTTTCCCGGCGCTCCTAGCATAAGAGATATCACTACTAACGTGTCATTGGTGCTGCTAAATTCACACGAAAGTACTTGGCAAACAGTTCCTTTAGTACCAAATGCTGTGCCTATTGGAGGGTTCCACATAGCACCTCCCAAAGAGTTGCCTAAAGAGATTAAAGTGTTTCTGGATGGTGCTACAAACGGAGCGATTTTGTTCAGTTTGGGTACTAATTTGAAAATTTCCGATATGGATGAGAGGCGGAAGAGCATGTTCCTGAACGTCTTCGCTAAATTGGATCAGAGAATTTTATGGAAAGCTGACGAAAATATATCTTCGCTACCTCCACACGTGAAAATAGTGCGTTGGTTGCCTCAAATGGACGTGCTGGGTAAGTAGTTGTTAAAGTTGCGAGTGAAATAATAATAGAAGTTTCAGCGCATGATAGTATTAAACTTTTCATCACACACGGAGGACTCCTGAGCTTGACGGAAAGTGTTTACAATGGCGTACCGATATTGGCGATTCCTGTTTACGGGGACCAAGCGACAAACGCTAACAATGCAGTAAAAGCTGGATTCGGATTGTCGATAAATTACCATGATCCTGATTTTAACGAGGATAAATTGATGTTAAGTATTACGGAGCTCCTTCGGAATAACCAGTTCGTATTCAGGGATTTTTATTTTATTTTATTTTATCTATATTTGTCGGTTTTTAGGTATAAAACAAACGCGTTGAAATTGTCGAAGGTTTACCATGATAGGCCGGTGAATCCCCTCGATTTAGCGGTTTACTGGGTAAATTTTGTAATTCAACATAATGGTGCACCGCATCTTCGAGTTGACGGGTTATATTTACATTGGTATCAATATTTACTAATAGATGTAATTGCGTATATTTTTATTCAATTAATTGTAGTCGCTATGTTGTTAACATTGTTTCTGAAATTTGTACTTAAGGCTACAATCAGAAGAAACAAGAAAATGAAACAGCAATAATTTAATACTAAAATACATAATTTTTAGAAATTACTTTCGACCTCTTCCACTTTTCCACGTATTACATAACCGACATTTCTCCTACAACATCTTAATTCTTCTTGAATTTTCTCCATCGTTTTTAACTTTGTCTCCGGCAGGAATTTGAACAACAAACAGAACCCGACGAAGGAGCTAAGAGAACCAATAAAAAACACAACATACATTCCTAACCAGTACACCAAGAAACTTTTTAAAAAACTGAACAAAACAAAAGCGATAATTGAGAATGAATTTATCATGCACAAGGCGGCTCCTATTATATTAGAGGGAAATATTTCGGCAGTTAATATCATGCGTATCATATTCACCACACCGTAATACGCAATGGAGCAAGTGTAAAGCGGTACTAATTGCAGGTACTCCAGTATTGCACTATGCTCATCGACGAAATAATCTTTTATTAGTAAAATTATTCCATTCGGTAACTGGCTAATAGCAATCGTACCTACAGCAAGTAGTAGTAAAGGTCTTCTGCCCACACGATCTGATAGAAACAACGTGAATAATGGAGTTAGGTATAGAATTACAGTAAAAACAAGTATCACTATTCTCGAGTAGTTACTCCAAGAGCTTGCATCCTGAAAGGCCATGACACTGTAAGAGAAAGCTTCCATCGATCCGCTTAGAACTTGCGTTAGAACGACCAACAGCGATATGAGCAAACATTTCAAATACGTTCTATTTTTGAATAAGTATATGATGCTTCTTTGTCTGCCGTCTTGTTCCATCCCTTGCCTGATTCGATCCATTTCTTCGGTCACATCGCGTTTTCTTCGTAGCTTCGATAGGTTATTCACGGCCAAAGCGTGGTTTCCGTGCAACATGAATTGATACGGGCTCTCCGGGAGAAAAACTAATAGCACCGCCATAATTACAGTAAAAGTAGACGAAATATAGGCTAACATTGATGAGTCTGTGGTCGCGTAAGGCAGAAGAAGCGTCACTAAAATCGTCCCGTAACTTTGAGTCGCTGCGAAAGTACCGACGAGGAATCCTCTAATCTTCGCCTCTGCTATTTCCGCCAAATAAACCGGCACTGCTGTGAAAAGAGCTCCGCTCATAACGGCCGCTATGGCTGTAGCGATGAACACGTAAATTTTGTTATTGCCTGTCGCTAATAAGATCCAGGATACAGTCAATGGCGTTGCGGTCATTAAAATTAGATTCTTCCTTCCGATCTGATTTATAATCAAAGCCGCTAGGACGGTGCCTATCGCAGAAACTACTGAATATGCGAACAGTAACCATGAAATTTCAGTATGTTTTAATTTGTAACCGTAACTACCACTATCTAAATCATGTATGGCAAAAATTGGCCATATGTGGCTTATAGAAATAGAAAGGGCCGCCAAATTAACTAAAAAATAATAATAATCAAGCACAAAATGTATGCATAATATTACAGAATTTACTTTATTTAATAGTGTTTTAAACTTACCTGTACAAGCTATGGAATATTGACACAGTCTCGACTTAAACTGTGCAAAAGGCCCATTTGATGCCATCTTATTTTTAACTTTGTATTAGTATTATTATGAATGAAATTGTCGCTCATGTGGTCGATATTTGTATATTTAATTGTAAATGTTGTAATTTTCTTTCGGAGGAGAAACGAGCATGTATTTACAATAATCGATAAAGCATATGATAAACGTTTGACCCATACCTGTAAAAATATGGGAATATTTCGTATATATTTAAATATTTCAAAATAACATCAATGTCATCAAGTCAAAATAACATCAAGCTGTCAGTTATTATCAGGAAGAATAACAAAAATTAACAACAATAATTTAATCGTTAAATTTACAATCATCTCTTTACAATTTATTATCATCGATGAAGGTCTCCCTTTCGTTCTTGTTTTTCTTCCCCCTCAACTCTTCTTGAATTTTCTCCATCGTCTTTAGCTTGGTTTCCGGCAGATATTTATATAATAAAGAGAATCCAACGAACGTGCAAATGGAAAACAGGAAAAACGGCATGTAACTTCCGAAATTGTCCTTCGACCACGCGAATAATTTAATGCAAAACGAACTGGCTATGCTAAAAACTATGTTAATCACGCACAACGCCACCCCTTTCATATTCGAAGGGAATATTTCGGTGGTAACCACCACCGGCATCAGATGCAACCCGCTGCAATACGCTACAGTGTAGGAGGAAATAAACAGCAATTGCAGGAAATCTAATTTAGTTGAAGAGGTCCTTAGGTACAGAAATATTCCGTTCGCCAGCTGGCTCAGAGCGGCTGTACCAGCAGCAAATAATACTAATGGTCTTCTACCGGCTCGATCGGCTAGCACCAACGACACGATCGAAGCCAGGAAGAAAATCAGATAATAAATTATATTCGTCGTGCTGGGATCCAGGAAGTCTTTGGTGTCCTGAAACAATGTCTCAGCGTACGTTTGTATCGGCACTATACCGCTTAGATGCTGGGTTAAAGTGAGCAACAGCGATATGAACAAGCATTTTCTGTACGTTTTGTTGGTGATTAAATCGAAGATTTTGCCTTGTTCCCCGTCTTCTTCGATCCCCTTGCGTATTCTGTCGATTTCTTCCGTTACGTTCCACTTTCCTCGTAGTTTTCTTAAGCTCTTCCTGGCCAGGACGTCTTGCTGGTGCAGCAGGAAGTAATACGGACTGTCAGGTAGATACGGAAATATTACCAACATAATTAGACTAAATACAGATGAAATGTAAGCTGTTGTTGATATACTTAGGAAATATAACAGCACGTTAATCATGAGGAGGCCCAAACTTAGCGTCATCATGAAAGTACCGCCTATGAATCCTCTAATTTCAGCTTCGGATATTTCTGCTAAATAAGGCGGCACGACTGTAAATAGCACCCCATCTAATACACCAGCTATAACTCTACTGACGAATAAATTAGTTTTCGTGTCTGCTACCGCTATTAAAATCCACGATATAGTTAATGGAATGGCCGAGAGTAAAATCAGCTTCTTCCTTCCGATTTTATTTATAGTTACAGCAGCTATAACGTCTCCTAGTAAAGAAGACAAAGGCATTATAGCTACCAACCAAGAAGCTTCGTCTGGTGTTAAGGTGAAAGCGTATTTTCCACTGCGAAGAACTGGTACAGCTGCAGATGTCCAGCCATAATGCAAACCGATCGAGAGGATACCCAAATTAGCTGCAAAAAATTTAAAAAAAATTACGCGAGATAATTTCAGGATGTTCAAACATTGCGAAAGGTTAAATAACATATTGCAATAGTTTATCAAATTTGTTCATAACATTGCAACATAAACCTGAGCTCTACGCATCCGTACACAGTTGTAGAAGAGATTCATGAATATTAATGTCGTGTGAAACTTACCAGCAAAAGCGGCCGAATATTGGTAAACCCTCGACTTAAACTTGATTGAAGGATCTTTCGTCATCGCGGTCACGAATCCAACGCGTTCATATTTTATTTCGAAAAACTCGGATGTCTGTATAACGCACTCCGATCGGCACGACTAGTATTGTACATTCTATTGCTGGTTTCTTTGTAATGGATTTAGAAGGAGCCGAACAGATGGTTTTGCTGTAGGTAAAAGGATTTATAAATTTATATTCGATAGTCGATGTGTGTAAATTGTTCTCGAAGGAAAAAAGTGAGCGAATAATCGCGATAACCTACGGTTTGATGAATGATTGACCCGTATAAAAATAATGACCAGTGATTAAACAGTTCGTGCATACACACATAGGCTGGTGTTGTCCGCAATTTGCGATATTTTGCTAAAAAAAATTGTATACATATCTCATTGCATATTAATGTAGATCAAGTCTCTTATTCAGTTAGTCAAGGTTACCTACTTGCATCCTACACCACTCCTTGACTTCTTGGACGCGGGAATTTATTAGTATCTAAATCTCAATTAATGAAATATGATACAAATATTTATTGTTTTATGTTTACATTTATTTATAAAATTCAATTAACCTATCAGCCTCTCTGTAGCCGGTTTCGATCGCTCCGTTTACTGTTGAATAATGGTTGGTACTTGTGGCTTCTCCTGCGAAAAGTAGAACGGGTTTTTTCGATTTTTCCGACACGATTGGCCTCGCTAAGTCCTCAGAAGATGCATTATACTCGTCTTGCTCAATACTAGAGTAAACGTACGAGCCACAAAAGTGCGGATTGCTGTTCCAGGACGATCTAAAAAAAAACGAGAAGCCTACAATTTTTTAAATTATTTCACTTGTTAAGACACAACCTTAATATCGCGTCAGGTGTTGGTATATCGTATTTATTACCAACGAATTTCCTCAGCAGCGCCATGCAACCTTGCGTGACATCTTCATCGGTGCAATGCTCGACTTCCGCGGCCATTTTCCCCACCACCCAGCCTAGTAATATCCTCGGATGGTTATCAATTACATAAAAACCGAAGACGTCCTCTAACCAGGACCGGCCATCCTCATCTACAGGACCTAAAGAGGGAATTTCGTTAACCAAATTCTTCCTATCTTCATCCGTCCACAGCAAGCTGAAGCCTTTCGTATCCTCCGGCCACCATTTCCTCGGAAACCTGAGTAGTATCTTATTAACAGTTCCCATGGAGATGTGCTCGATGGAGTTCACTTTGTACGAAGGTAATGCAGGATCAAAAAGGCTCCTGTAAGTGGTTTTCAGGACTCCTACAGAACAAGTGATGATCACATGATCCGCAGTAAACACCGATCCATCCTCGCACGTTACTGTTTGCTCGGAATCTCCCCACTGGATCTTCTTGACCACTTTCTTCAGCAGGATTTTATCGTCGAGGTGGAGCTGCTTGGAAGCGTCGGGGATTTTTTTCTGAAAGTCGAAGGATTACATCGAAAAATCAACGGGTTGGCGGCGCTCGAAATTCACCATTAACACGTCTAAAATAGTTTTGAAGCCCCGTTCGCCCCAGTTTAGTTGCTGGTCGCCCTCGCAGTACTCGAACCTGCAGGCCGCTCCGAGAGTGGAGATCTCGTACCAAGATTTCGCCGAATCCAAGCAGATGCAGAACTTGTGGAACCAATCTTGAACACACGCGGCTAGTTCTAACGCTGATGCGTCGTCTTTGAACTCTTCCGATACCTTTTCTTTGTAGCTGCAGTACAGTTAGATGAATTGTGGAGTTGAAGTTTGGTAAAGTAAACTTACATCTTGATGAAATAATTTCCGTATGGTCCTGGATGTTGAATGGCGCATTCGCTATCCTCGATGATGCTTAAGCCGATTTGGAATAAGCGATCGGTAATGTTTTTATTAACGTTTTCACCGTTGGACATGTAGAAAGTATTGTCTTCGTAGTTATTGAACGATGTGTGTAACAAACCTAAATCTTTAACCATTTCGTAGACAATATTTCCTTTTTCTCCGTGCACCCATTGCCCGCCCAAATCGATGAAAACTCCGTCGAATTCCAGCGAATATATTCGACCGCCGATCCGATTTTCCGCTTCTAAAATGCCAGTAAAATCGTTATGAACCCACTTGCTTGTCTTAGGGCACTTACCTAAAATTTTTATATTGTCAATTCCGTTCTCTAGGAGCCTCGTAGCGGCCGCTACTCCTGCAGCACCAGCTCCGATAATTAAAACGCTAGGCACACCGCTCATTTTAACCAATCTGAGTAGAATTGTGTGAAAAGATAAATAAATATTTTTCTAACAATGTTGATATGATAAGATTTATTTATAAGATGAGTTTTTGGTAATTTAGATTGAATTGTTTTCCTAGATAAGTAAATTCTAGTTATTAATAGTGTTTGTTGCCTTAGGGGAGATTTCTGGTTCCTTCTTATTTGTAGAGAGTTATGCAACACATTTTACGGAGAGTTTAATGATAATCAGGTTCGCTTTGACAGAGCTATTAAATCAATACGTTTTCAGAAAAATAAAACTCCAATAACTTTGGTAGTTAGTTCCATATTATACATTATAAAAAAGCGATTACAGTAAACACATAAACAATCGTTTTGCTTGAATTTTAATGTAGAAATAGTTCAATTAATTACACTATTTACCTGAGAGCTTACGTTATCTGACAATTGACACAATTGACATTTGGTGATACTCGAGTAGTAGATAAGATCCCTTATGAGTATGCAATACATTTAACGTGGTTAAACTTTTAAAGTTTATGGAATTCAAAGATCCGAGTTTTAACTGAAGAAGTTAAAGTTATTGACAATTTTTTTTTGGAAATTCAGTATTTTTGTAGAACAGTATTATTTGTATCATGTAATTGTTCATTGAAAATAATTAAAAATTCCCAAATAAGCTCGATAAAAAGAAGGCAATTATTTCGGGAAAATTAAACTTTATAAGCGATCAGTTTTCCTCGATAATGATCGTTTATCTACATGATAAATTATTTTTCGCAAAACTTTTTACCCGTCGCAATTATTTCTACAAATAGACGATAGCCTATAAATTTCGAAAAGCGATTTTAATTGTATTTTTTGCATGTTCGCTGATACGGTATACCCAGCTATTATATTTTATCAGCCCTATTTTATGAGCAATTGGCTAAAAAACATTTTCCCAGACGATTGTAAACATCGAAACCAGCAGTTTCGCAAAAAAACTCGCTCAAAATGAAGTCCGCTTTGGTTTGCCTGTTGATCGCCCTCTTCGCCATCCAACTAGGAGAATGTAACGTAAACAGACAAGTACAAACCCGGTCTTTGAAAGCCGAAGGTAAATAAATTATAATAAAATTAATTAAAAGTATTAAGGTAAGTATTTAGGTGAGTATTGTTTGTTTGTTCTTAACTTGTGCTACCGTTTTGTATTAACTATAATTTTTATTGAAGAAACTAGTTATATTCCAGGTTTCTTTGTACATAAGTATTCTTCTCTCTATGATCTACAAATCTCGTCTTCTTACGCTATTCTTTTGTGTTTGTGTTGTATAGCAGAAAACTCCCCAGCGCACGAACTTTTGTACAATTTTCTTTCCAGCTATCCGTTATTCTTCTCTCTCCCAATCTTCCGAAACTGACGGATTCGAAATATTTTCCAGATAGATCAGTATGGGACACAATGTACGCCGTGGCTCGCTTGCCCGGAGATTTAATTCGAAAAGATTTTATCGCTTTCATTTTGGACTTAATTATCATATCGCAATTCCTGCCGCTGCCCTGGATAATCGCTTTCGCTCTCAACATGGTTTACAAGGTGTTGAAATTCATCCATCCTGCATACTGGTGGCTGTTCCCAGTACTAAGCCGGCCAACGTGCAAGGATACGGTTTCAGTAAATTGGTTTGAGGATAAAATCGGTCGTTTGGGACGGTTCCCGTTCCGTCCGGAATCTGTTGAGTAGATGATATTTGTGTAATATTGTTTGAATCTCGACTAATATAGTAAAATGTTATGGTTTCTTTTATTTACAAACTGTTACCAAACAAGTATGTAGGTAGGTATTTATTTTAATTAGCGTTTCAACGGTCCAATAAGTAGATTCTCTTGATGGTAAAAAGGTTTTTGTATTAGTTATTAGTAATCACAATTTGAAATCAGATATAGAGTAAAGAGAATGGGAATTTGTAATCATTTTTTTAGAAATAGAATAGATAAAATTATTTAATCTACTGAGGCTAAAGAATATGTGGTGTTTCTAAATATCACGGTACTATTAATGGTTAATCCTAGTCTTCTTTGGGTTAAATTTTGTGCGCATTAAATAATAGAGAAATGCAAACTTCCTAATAGTGGCGTGATTTTTACAAACTCCATGAGTAATAACCAAAAGAATAATATTTGGAATTTCAGGATCAACACCAGAGCTTTTTGGCATGTCAATGTTTACCAAAATGATGGCTACAGCTCGCCTGCCAGCGGAGCTTATGAGAAAAGATTTTATCGCTTTCGCTACGGACGTGATGGAGCTGGCGAAAACGCTGCCGCTTCCTAGGATTATTAAGTTTCTAATGAATATTTGCAACAGGGTTCTGAAATTCTACCACCCTGTTTACTATTTCATATTTCCCAGCACCAAGCCGTACAGCGAGAAGAAGAGTAAAAAAAAATATTAAGCTGCTCCGATTTGTCTCATTTCCTGGTGGATTGTTTTATTGATAGAAATTTCAAATTTACTTAATTATGTTCTGCATTTGTGTATTCAGGTATAAATAAAAAATTGCTCAATCTACGACAAATATTATTTACTCTATAACCTCATTACAGTCAATTTACGTAAGCATTGTACTTTTTACTACAGTAATTAAAAATAATTAGAAGGTTTTGCCAAATAGAAAATATATTAAAATTTATTCTAATTAGGTACCTACTTCTAAATTTTTACAATTCACTTAAATGGGTAGCACTTACCTTGTTTATAAGGGTTTGTAATTAAAATTGAAATAAACCATTAATTATTTAAAGGTAAACAATTAAAAATTTAATGAAAATGTACCAATTATTTTACTTTATTCAATTAAATTATATGACTGAGATAATTATCTAAGTACGTACCTGTTAAATTGAATAAAATTATACTTATCTAATCAACAACATGCAAACAAAAACTCGCAGGTAAGTCGAAAATAAAATTCCAAATAGTCAAAATGGCTAGCAAGTTTTTGAATCCATCGCTTTATGTGAAAAATCCAAACGGATTAAAAACGATTTATCAAGCAACATTAAGGTTATGCAGCCAACGTAAGTTAATAAATCAATATTTACTTTTTGAAACCCCAACAATTCGATATCACAGAACACTTCGAAACCGTCAAAACCTCAAAAGCCGGCGCTCAAAACAACGTGGGACTCATCCAGCTCAATCGACCAGAAGTTCTAAACGCTCTAAACGAAACAGTTTTCAAAGAGCTGCATTTGGCTATAAAAAGCTTCCATAACGATAACACAATAGGCGCTATAGTCATAACAGGCAACGATAAAGCTTTTGCAGCAGGAGCAGACATAAAAGGACTAGGACCTCTCACTTTTCCCAAACTATTACTGACTGAATCCGAAGGGAACAAGGCCAATTTCGAGACCAACAAGCCCATAATCGCCGCTGTAAATGGATATGCGGTATGAAATTGTTATAGATACAAATTATTATTTAATATCATTTAATAACTCGATAGTTTGGTGGAGGTGCTGAATTAGCAATGATGTGCGACATCATATATGCAGGAGAAAAAGCCAAATTCGGTCTACCAGAAATCCTGCTGGGCATCATACCAGGCGGAGGGGGAACTCAAAGACTGTCGAAAACCGTTGGAAAATACAAAGCGATGGAAATGATACTAACAGGTCAATAAACCCACCAACAATACCAATCGTTTTTTTGCAATTTTTGCAATTGCAGGATCTCCCGTTACCGCTCAAGACGCCGAAAAGATGGGCTTGGTTTGCAAAATCTTCCCGGTGGATAAAGTGCTGGAAGAGAGCATCAAACTAGCCGAGAAAATATCCGGGAATTCCAGAATCGCCAACGCCGTAGCCAAGGAAAGCGTGAACGCGGCCCTGGAAACCTCCCTGCAGGAGGGTGTGAAATTCGAGAAAAGGTTGTTCCAGGCTTGTTTCGGCACCAAAGACCAGAAGGAAGGAATGGCGGCTTTCATAGAAAAGAGGAAGCCTAATTTCACCAACGAATAAGTTAAACATGATAAGAATTTTTGGTTTTGTTTTGTAATAAAGATCAATTTTATAGTAAATTTCATCCGACCCCGTAGCAACCGGCAACTGGTTTGACTTGTTTACTCTATTCAATGTTCACTTCACATCGCAACGCTGCGATAACGATAACCTCGGCTGTAGGCTAGAGATGCCGGTAAATTCATACTACAGAATATTCTCCACCAAGTGGAACTGCTCCTGCGTTCCTCTTCCATCTCCTTCAAATTATCACGGCTATTTTGTTTTGAGCTGGGTTTAATATTGTTCCTTGTTCTTTAATTATCGTCTCTGTAGGGGTTAGTAAGAAAATGAATCCAACAACTGTAAGCATTGGTCGCGTAGTCGTTTCCAAATTCCTCAGGAACAATAATTTTAGCTACAATCGGGTTACTAAAAATGTGAGGTTATTCAGTGCTATCGCCAATGGTAAGTATTTACTGTAGGTTATAAGTGTTTTAATGGTATAGTAATGTATAGTTCATATGGTCAACTTTAGCTTGGTGTTAAGTATTTTTGTATTTGCTAAATTTATTAAAAATATATAACATAGGTAATGAAAACTCGTGATAAGAATTAGATAAGTGCAATATATGAAGGCGAAAACACCGGTTTTGTAATAGAAAAAAATTTAACAAAATTAATTCTTTAATTATCATTATTCTAATTATAATTCATCTCGATAATTAATAAACCCATATTACCGAATGCGTTAGAATATTGACGAAACGAACAATAAACGCAAGGTCATTGATAAACCATTCCAAAATTAGTTATTGAAATAAGATACACATTAAAAAACATCGATTAATCGACAATAAGTTGATAACATTCGGTTCGATTTCACTTACCTTCCCCATATATTACCCGAAATCGCACCGCTCCACCAATCTATACAAACCCACCCTCTTTCAGAACCCTTCGAATTTATCAAACTATCGAAAACCGGCGAAAAGCAGAACGTAGGGCTGATCCAACTCAACCGCCCCAAAGCCCTAAACGCCCTCAACAATGCCCTGATCACCGACATCGCCAACGCGCTGGACAAGCTCGAATCCGACAAATCCGTGGGAGCGATCGTCATCACCGGCAACGAGAAGGCCTTCGCCGCCGGAGCCGATATCAAAGAGATGGCCAACAAGACCTTCTCGCAGTGCATCACCGAGGGCTTCATCGAAAACTGGACCAGAGTGGCCAACACGAAGAAACCCGTAATAGCCGCTGTGAACGGCTACGCTGTAAGTTTCGCCAGAAGCAAACTTTACTGTTCGAGCGGTTCTGGTTATTGGGAATGCGTTCTGTATTTCAGTTAGGAGGCGGTTGCGAATTGGCGATGATGTGCGACATCATTTACGCCGGAGAAACGGCCAGGTTCGGCCAGCCGGAGATTCTGATCGGGGTGATTCCCGGATCGGGGGGCACCCAGAGGTTGATAAAGTCCGTTGGGAAATCTAAGGCGATGGAAATCGTTTTAACAGGTACGATTTGTACGTTAGCAAGCTTTAGAAGGTTTAATTGTGGTTTGATTCGAAGGGAACCAGATCAACGCGCAAGAAGCCGAGAAAATGGGTCTGGTGAGCAAGGTCTTCCCCGTGGACAAGCTGCTGGACGAGAGCGTGAAACTCGCTGAAAAGATTGCTGCTAATTCTCAAATCGCCAATGCTTTGGCTAAAGAAAGCGTCAACGTCGCTTTGGAGAGCACCTTGCAGGAAGGTTTGCGCTTCGAAAGGAGAATGTTCCACGCTTTATTCGCCACTAAGGATCAGAAAGAAGGTATGGCTGCATTCGTCGAGAAGAGGAAACCTAATTTCACCCACGAATGATATTTGTACACCAATCCTATTATGAATGAAGATACTTTTCTAACTCAAATTTGTTAAATAAATTGTTTATATTTTTAAAAAGTTTAATTATTACACTTGTGTGAGTACCTACTTTTATCAAACTTTAGCCTAAGATTGACACATTAAATGATTCTCGCATTAATACGTACTCAAATTTTGTTAAATTTTTTCATGATGAAGTAATTGCGATGTACCTCGGGTTCCACGTCGATAACCAAACTGATAAGATCCAAAATTACCTGAAAATAGCTTAAAATTAGATAAGTTTATTCTTGGATTTCGGATGTACTTACCCCTTCTTGGTTTTGTTGGACGCTTTGGTCCAAATCCTGCAAGAGGGATTCGGTTTGTTTGTCGATTTTGGCGATCGCGTCCTCTTTGGAGCCCATGTACTTGGTCTCGTACTCTCGGAACTGTCTTTCTCGTTCCTTTCTGTACTGCTCAATTTCGGATGCGGCCTCGTCTCTGGCCTGTTTAATTCTTCTGGCTTTACCTAAAACAATACTTCATACTTCGATTTTGCGCATGTTAAGTAATCTCGAGCTTAAAGTTCGGTGTAATTTCATTAAAAAGCACTTAAAATTGTTGCTGTTCTTTAACGCGGATTATGAGTAATTGGTATAACCTTCAAGTGGTTTTAAAATATTACTTATCCAGTTTTATTAAAGTTGTGTATAGGATTTACATAATTTTATACATTGCTGATTGTTTTTGAAGACATGAGACGAATTTCAAAATACACTTTTTCTTTGAATAAATTTATAGTGTATAAGAAAACATGAATAAATTTATTGGCACAAACTAAATGAACCAATTATCTTGTAAAATAGGAAATAATTTGGCACTAAATGCTTACCTATATACTAATAATACAAAAATTTGGCACACGCGCCAAATATTCCAGATATTTCCTTCCTAACTACACAGAAATATTTAACAACAAAAACTGGGATTATAACAAAAATATTCTTATACATAAATACATACAAGCACGCAATACGCGCCTCGTTCTAAATATATTTTATAAAATCTAAAATTAAATAAAGTACGGGAGTTCTCCCGACTCACGTTTTCGGGCTTCTGCGACCTTTTCGGCGGCCCTTTTCTCGGCCACCAGGAGCTGCTGGATGCCTTGGCTTTGGCTCGCCATCTCGACTCGAAGGTGCTGGCGCGCCTCGCTCGATCTTAACGCCGATTTAATGGGAAAAGTGGCTTCAATTGCTCGGAATTGTCGTGAAAAAGCGCGGTCACCACTAAGTGGCGGAAATTTAATTTTAAAATAGAACGGTTTCAAAAGCTACGCGAGACCGCTCCGTATGAATATCGATATTAAAAATTCGGTTGAGATGAAGTCGATTCATTTTTTTTATTCAAGTGTAAGATGTACATAATCCAAATAGGCATTTTAGAGAAATGGATGAAATGAATAAAATATGCCGGTTGATCTTGCTGCATTAATTTTTTTGTAAAAATATAATATACATTTATAAAATATACGCACAAAAGTTGCTCGACATCCATAGGGAATAATTTTGGTTGCTATGTCAAAGTGGTTGCCTACCTAATAGAATCTAATCGGAGCAACAAAAGTAGCTGTGTAAATTAGATGTAATAGGTACTTAGTTGTCAAAGTCAAAAAAAATAAAAGTTTAACGAAAAAGAAGAATGACTATGGTTATGTTTGTAAACTAAAAAAACTTAAATTTTATTCTATTTATATTTATAACAAAATATCACTACGATAATGTTTCCATAATACCTGTGATAGTAGTAGTATTAATTCATTCTTAATATTCCTGTTAGTAGGCTGGTAAAATGTATTTAGGTCACATATGGAGAATCCTGCATTGGGGTCCTCTCACCGCCATAGGTGAGCATTTTGCTGTGCTAGTCGAATCGACGACTGAATTTCTAATTAAATCCATCGTTTTAGGAATCATTAAAGTAGTTACCGCTATGACTATTCACTGTTCGAACATGTGGTGGCCCAAGCACACAGTAGGCGGCAAAATTAACTTTGTGGTGTTCGTAACGTTCTCAGGGCTTACTATTTATAATTTTCTCTCTGCGTTATGCCACGGTCCCGGTTATTTGCCGCTAAACTGGATGCCAGTATGTATCTAACAATCAATTGTACGATAAAAGAAATGACCCATTCTTGTTATCTTTTAGAAGAAAGAAGAGCATTGTAAATTCTTGCAGTTCTGCGTAGAATGCCAAGGTTACAAAGCTCCCAGATCTCATCATTGCAGGAAATGTAAGTGAGCACAAAACGGGGAATAATTATGAACTGTTTGATTTGTAGGCCGTCGTTGCGTTTTAAAAATGGATCATCATTGCCCTTGGATTAACAACTGCGTAGGCTGGGGGAATCACGCACATTTTATATTTTTCCTAACGTTTGCTACATTAGGATGCTTGCAATCGTCTATTATACTAGGTTGTTCGTTGTATAAATCTATCCACAGAGTGTATTATTTCCACTTAGGGGAGCCCATTATTAATCTAGGCTTGTACGGGATGATTACCTGCGTACTCGCGCTCGGATTGTCCATAGGCGTAGTAATTGCTGTGGGAATGCTGCTTTATTTCCAGGTTCGGATGTCTTATTTGTACTGTTTCTTATTAATTCACTGCGTTTGCAGGCAACTGCTGTGATTAGAAACAGAACAGGCATCGAAGACTGGATCATGGAGAAGGCTGTAGTTCGAAGACAAGGGGTAGATAAGACGTTTCTGTTTCCTTATGACTTAGGTGTAAAGAATAACGTGCGACAAGTAATGAATCTAACGTGCCAACCCATCGGCGATGGAATTATGTCGTGGCCTGTTATAGAAGGATGCGATGAGTTTTCGCTTACTGTAAATTCATGTAAACGAATTGTGTATTTTATTAATAATATTTGTCGCGTTACAGATTGAGCAAATTGAACAAAAGGCGGAGAAACGAATGAAATCGAAAATGTACAGAGTAGTAAATCCGGCTTCGGGTTATTGGTTTCCATTATCCTACGGAATTGGAGTTTGTTTGAGTTATCCTTTTACTGATGAGCCGCGTATAAAGTTAAATATCGGCGATACTGTCGTTGTTACTAGGTGGAGAAAGTAAGTTGGTACCCCGCTAGTAAGGATTGGTAATTGTAATGAGCAATTTTTAAGGCATTGGCTGTTTGGGGAAAGAGTAAAAGGCGACAGGGATAAACCTACGGGAAGGATCAGAGGATGGTTTCCCAGAAAATGCGCTGTAGAGATTATAGAAAACAATCAGTCGCCTTCGGCTTATTCTAATTACAACAAAAATCGATTATTAGATAGAAAAATCAAATAAATGCGCTGTGATTTTAAAACATATCTTGATAATTTAACCATGACCTTGTACCCCCTAATCCGCGTCTGTAATAAACCACTCGACCTTTTATTACATAGATAAATATTATATTTGCATGTTTCTTTTTAATATTACTACTCCGCAAAGTTAATTTATACAGATGTTGAAGGAACAAATATAATTAATTTTACGTAAATTTTATGCGGCACAATTAACTTAACAATATAACAACATCGTAAAAACGTGATCAGAAATTTTTTTCCTACACAATTTTTCATTCTTCGAAATCCCAGACAAATATTTTTAGTCGGTTTTAAGCGGAATAAACGGATTAATGGTGTGTATAGCACGTGAGAGAATCGTTTGTGATAAGAGTACGTGTGTGTGAATTATTTAAACCATTGTGTAATTAGGCTTGTGTCCGGCATGATCTTGTTTCTTTTTTCATTATATTGGAGTCTGTTTTGTTAGTTAATAGCGTAGAAAAGCATTTACTGACGTAAATTAAACAATTATACAGGGTGTCCCGCATAAGAACCAACTTGCTAAAATATCTTGTTTAACCCAACTTTAACCTCCACCATTTACCACCAATTTGAAGGCCTATAACTTATCAGTAATGTTACTTTTGCATTAAGTTAAGACCATATTTTGGGCAGCCTGCACGATCCTGCTCTGTGTCGGTTCTGAAAAGATTAAAGTAGGCAGGATAAATTAGAGTAATAAGTTAAATTTTGGCAGCGTTTCCGATTTTTATTAAAAAATTACACAATTCCAATTTACACAATCCTTGATCTTGTCATTTTTTTGTAATGTACGTGTACTTAATAAATTTATGGGTAGTCTCAATATTAGTTGCTCAAACAAGAAACGATTTACATTCTATAAATCAATAAGGAACATCTCGAAAATATGGAAAGAATATGGAAAATGAAACTATATTTTTTTAAATTATCTGATGATGTACTTGGCAAAATATTTAATCCACGCAAAAAATCTAATCAATCTCTACAAAGGAACATATACAGAAAACAATCATTCATCAATCATTCATTTATTTTGCATTAGATAAGGTTACAGTTTACATTTTCAAGGATTCAATGCAACGCAAATGTAATTAGCAATTTTGCAAATAAATTGTAAAATGTGTTTTATTGTTTTAATAAAACTAAACAATGAGATTTTTAAAATTTAACAAATTCGTGAGACATAGTAATTCTTCTTAAATCTGCGCTTATCAAATCGACTTTTTATTGATTAGGTGCTCCACAAAACAATAGAAGTCTGTTTAATCCCACTAAATCCATAGTGATTTATTAATTTGGTGGGTTTTAATAGTGACAAACATTTCATAAGTTAATTACAAATGTATGTTTTCAAAACATCGTTACCAATTTACAGTACCGTCTTCAAAAAAAATCTTCGTGTTTCTATTCAAATATCTACTAATCAATCTAATCAAACATTTAAATAAATACACAATATCACATGTATATTTGAATAATTAAACAGTACCCAGATGAACAAAATTTTAAAATCATATATAAATTTTCAATTAATTCAATAACCCAGGGATGTATTACAAAAATATTTTCCTATTTTATCAAATTTTTGTTTTAAGGTACCAAGAGGTTGAATAGATTAAATAAAGCTTAATATTAACATACAAAAATTTCTCAAATTCTCAGTTCAAATGAAGACCAATGATCAATCCTTATTAATTTTAAACAACCCTTTCCCTTTTGCGTCTTCTATACAACTAATTATTGTTCATTTAAAGAGCTTTATTATTCAGATTCTAGTTCTAGGTAACGATATTTATACCTGCTACAGGTACCAGTTTCTTTTCTACGCCCCATTTATAGAGCTACTACCTGAATGATACCCCTTTCACAACAGTTCCTGTAGGTGGAAAATAATACAGGCTACCAAATCCCAGTAAACCCGGGCCTGTTCCAATTATACAACACACCGCAAAGTACTGATTTTTTTATTTAACCAGTGATTAATGGCCGGCATTCGGATCCGCGATAAATAGTGCGGCTGCGCCGCCACTGAGTCATTCCTTTAAGCTTAAAAGCGCCGAGGAAACTGGTGTCATCACCACCGCCACACGTACTCATTGCTCCGATTAGTGACACCATTTTGTTTACGTTTACAGTTAGTAGTTTACATTTCGCATTCAGTAAGTAACCAGCAATGACGGGGGGAACCAGCGCCGGCGTTTCGAAGAACATCTGCAACTGCGAGCCAGCTGAAGATGAAGTCGTTGAAGAAATGGAGAGTAAGTGAATTATTTTTTTTTATATAAAGGGTTTAATGTAATTATTTGGAATTGTTTGTTGGGTATTATATGGGTACTTGCTACATCTACGTTGGGTTTCCGAAGGTGTCGAATTGTAGGGAAACTTGAGATATTCTTTTAATAATCTACATACTTCGGGTAATTACTCATAACCTAACGACTTTATTTTCGCAACTCTATAATTTCAGTAATCTACTTAATGGTTTTTGAACTACTTAGCGTGTTGCATATCATTAGCATTGTTTCCTATTTTTTACAAGTTATGCCTTCATGAATATTTAAATACAATTATCCTATGATCGATAGTTTATTAATTCATAATTTTATCAATAAAACAACGATTGGGTATTACAGCACAGCTCTTTTTAAGCTAGTTTTATCGACACTATGAACGAAACCGGGTTCACCAAACCCATACCGGTTTTAATCATAGGTAAAAATATTCAATTATTATAAATTTACTTTGCATTTCATCGCAGTTTGATTATTTTTAACTTACTAAATCGTTTTGTTAATGCTTACATCACTAATTAATCGATTAGATACGTCTGGCATCAAATATTCTTCAGCTATTATACCGTTAGAATTACAAACATCCTCATTACGCGCACCGCCATTATCTTCAATTTATTCGATCGCAATAAACAAAATCGTTTCAATCGAACCTCCACTGTAATTTCCTCTTTCGCCACCCCAACCTAACGATTACAGTAAAAAATCTATCGAATAGGACCTTCGTAAATTCGGTAAATTTTCCAGAAAACGGCGACGAAGATGCTCATATGCTGGTAGAAGATTGGAGGCTGCACAAGTTCCAGTCTCCCATTGAGCTCACCCACGACGACAGCATCGATCACGATCACTTCGAGCCCTTGGAGTTCCACGGTCATTGGGATGAGGGCGGTGACGCGACCTTCACCAACAACGGATTTACCGGTAATTCTCGGATCGAACTAGTTAATTTAACTACACATTTTTGTCAATTTTTGAAGTGCACAAGCAATTGCAATTATCACTCTTATCGCGTGTTCTAACGATTCAATTTAATTAGCGGCTAAAATATTTTCGATTGATGCTTTTAGCGGAACATGTTTTGCCAATTTTTCACCTTTCTGATAGACAAATAGACCTCTCTAATAGTCGTGCAATAATCGAATGGAAATAAAGATAAACACGCGACAAACAAACTATTAAATCAATCAATTATCGCGACGGTGTTAAGCATTTTGGTTTCCAGCGACGCTGAGGTTCATGAACAGGGAGCTGCCGTCCCTGCGAGGCGGTCCGCTGCACGAGGACGAGTTCGTGTTCGAGCAATTGCATTTCCACTGGAGCGACGACGATCACAGCGGATGCGAGCACATTTTCGAAGGTCGAGCGTACGTATTACCTTATCGGTTGTTTATATTTTTTCGCCGGGGAATCGTTGGAGTACCAATCAATTGGAATAAGTGGATTTTTCGGTTGCAGGTACTCGATGGAGGCGCACGCTGTGCATTACAATGCGAAGTACAAGAACTTCCAGGAAGCTCAGGATAAGCATGACGGTTTGGCTGTGGTGGCTTTTTTCATACAAGCTACCGATAACGTGGATAATCCTTGCTTCAATAAATTATCCTCGGCTGTGATGGATATCGCGAAAGTGAACAGCCTAACAACCGTACAAACAGGTACGTTTTCTTATAAACTACGCACTAACAAATCGTTATATTTATCTATATTTTACAGATTGCTTGACGTGGATCAAAGAAGTAGCCCAATGCAAAGGATATTACACCTATCAGGGATCTTTGACCACCGAGCCATACACTGAAAGCGTTACTTGGATACTGTACTCTACTCCAATCCACGTGTCTAGAGAACAAGTGGCGCATTTCAGGAACATGAAATCCACGCCGTGCGAAAAATTCAGCATCATCAAAAACGTCAGGCCTATACAAACTCCACCGATGCACAAGAAATTGAACATTCTGTACGCCAGATCTCACAGGTCCAGTTCGCCTTCTCCAGCTCGCGGTTCTGAGTAAAACCTAAGTAATTTATCTTTAACTCATAACAAAAAAAAAACAAATCCGCACGTTAATTAAGGTGCTTCTGATGTAGTTCTACTGGGAATATCTGTTTCAAAGATAGCGCCAGTTCGCTGATTTGATAAGAGAGTCGGCCAAGAAACTCCCGAGCAATGTATGGATACAGAGGAACGATGGAAATGTTTCTTGACTTTCAGATCGAAGAGAGCGAACTTTAGTTTTGCCACGGCAAATTCGAAATTTTATACAGCTGATTTTTTAATGTTTAGTAATATACATGTTTGAATAAAGAGTTTTACTAATTAATTTCGGTACATATCTACATCACATTATACTAATACCTTTGGATCTATAATTCCGGATTCTCGTGTTTTCCGTGAAAGTTGCCATGAATTTGTGCACTGTATGTTTGGTAGGAAAGCACTGTCCCAGGAATTCCAGCAGCAACGGTTGCTTCAAAACGTTGAATCTGTAATCGTTAAAGGAAATTTTCCCGTCTCTATCGAGGTCTAGTTTCTTCAGTACGACCTCCACCATATCTTTAGCCATTTCTTCAGCGTCCGACTCCCCGCTGGCGCTCTTTATGGCCGTCCTCAACAATCTACAAGACAAAGGAATTACCGGCGTAATTTTTGATGCATGTCAGTACCCACTTGAAGACGTTCTCTTTGGCCAATACCCCGGCCTGCGCGGCATCGTACACTTTGAAACAGAACGCCATCTTCTCTTCCATGGTGCCTCTCAGCAGCAGCGACATGGCTTTAATGAAGAACTCCTTCGAGATGTACAGATCCCTCGTTTTGTCGTCCAAGCACGCCACGATCCTGGTGAGCGAATCGATGTTGGTCAAGTCCAGAGCGCAGTGGCACAATTCCATGAATTGATCTCTGGTTATGCCTTTGGGGTCGTAGTTTTCGAATTTTTGCATTTTGTAGTACATCAACAGGAGCGATATTACCTGCAAAATTGCGTCAATTCGGCTGGTAAATTGATGTTTGTAGCTACCTCTTCGTATGAAAAGCGGTATTGCTTGCTGAAAGCTACGGCCATCGCTTGGTGAAGAGCTATGAATCTGGTTTCTTCCATAGAATTAAGCGTGACGTCGTATCGAGACATTTTGAACGGTTTGTATCGAATGAAATATAAAAAAAATAATACACGAAGCTAAAAAAATTTAAACCGAATGTGAATGTAAGATTGTCATTATGATTGAAGGGGATTTACTGCTGATCACCATAAAATTGTGATCTCGTAGCTGAATAACCCAAATGTTTAGTCGTGAAGTTTAAATAGAAGAAAAAATATGGTTGACATTAATGACAGTTATCTTTATTTATCTCCAGTTTTTTCAAAATGGAATTAACGAGCGATTTAATTGCAATTCAAAGTATTCTTTCAAAACTTGTTAAAGAAACTGGTGATTTTACACGGATAATTTACGGAGGAGGTACAAGCATAGTTACAAATTATTTTAATTTAAAAACATTACTCATTTAATATTTTCCAGATAACGAGGATGCACTTTCGAAAGTTCTATCAGAAATAGACACTTTTCTGAAGTCCAAAAATTATTTAAAAAAATGCAAACCTAACGAAGTATTTAACAAGCAACTAGAGGAGCTCGTGCTGTTTCTGGCATTAAACACAAAGTTCAAAAACCCATTAGAAATGAACGAGTACGCTCATTTAACGAACATCACCCCACCTTTATCGAAATGTCTTTTTACTAATATTATACACAGCTTTAACTTTTATAAACTTAGCTGCTGCGTTATCGATAAATTCCCAATTCAATTTAGCACGGAACTGTTAGAAGAATTGCTGAATTGCTTGAGAAAATGTCCACTCGATGATCAACTCGATAACATCAGTAATTTATTGAAGGCAGTCGTTAAAAAATTAGCTATAACGAATTATAAAGGAGTAAGTTAGAAATTTCTAGTAGTACTAGAGATTAATTAATTTTATTTTTAGAATGAAGATATTGTAGATAATATGTGTGAAGTTACATACCTGTATTTGTATCAACTTTCCGGAGTAAACTCGGATCAGTTGAGCAATTTAAATAGAGATCAAATTTACATACACATGGGATACTGTCTTCGATTTATGTTCGATTTATTATTGGACTGTAATCGCACAATAGACAGCTTAAGTGGGTTTATTCGAAACGTGATAAATGCAAACCTTTCTATTTCGAGGAATATTTCTCTTAATGTTTTCTGTACATGGGCAGAGGTATGAAATAGAAATACTAATGATTTCCAAAAATTAACCAACTCAGGTTTTAGATTGATATTGATGACCAAAGTCTGCAAATGGTTATATGTAATAAAGCGTACGACTTTATAGAGACCTATCAGAAAGTTCCTGAAGCTAAGGAGTTAATAAACGTACTAGGTCCGATTGCTACGAAGCCAAAATCACTGTCTGAGCAAATATTCGAGGCCGATATCGGTACAATGGTCAAAAAGATTTACAAGAACGATAAGGATCAGATTAGCTGGTTCAGAGCTCTGCTTCAGAGCCAATTTTTGAACAACAAACAAGCACTGGAATGCATACAGTAATGTGGTTATTGTATATTTTATTAATGCTTTTGATGATTATTATGTTTTAGGACTTGGTCACATTTATGTGGTCAGAAGGAAGCTTCCATTATATTAGATTTGTGCGTAAAACAGAAATCTAAAGAACTCGGGGATATATTCATAAAGAGCGCTTCGAATTTACCTTTAAAAGGACTAAAAGATGTAATTACAGCGCACTTTTACAGACATAAATTTTCGGATTTACCTTGCAGGAGCATCGATGAAACTTTAATACATATATTAAATAAACTAAAAGAAGATAATCACAATAAGGATGATTTAACTAAAGATATACTGTTGCTTTTTGTACAACAACCGGAATTTGTGCTTGGTCAACTGTATAATGAGTGCTTGAAAAATAGCTTTTATTTAAATTTTTTCAAAGGTATTTTCGATGCCATCGAAGAAATAGTCAAAATAAACAGTATGGGCGTCAATGTTTTGCTTAATCAAGTTAAAATTAACAAACCAAACTGCAATAACGTGAATAACTATATCGAATTGTTAAAGACACTCAATGAAATCGGTTTCTTCACCAATGATGATGTAGTGTTAAAATTTTTGTACCAAATCCTCAAGGATTCTTATAGTAGCAAAATGCTGGAAGATGTGGATTTTGTGCTTCAAATATACATAGTGAGTATTTAATAATCGAAGCGAATTTTTTGGCTTAATTGTGGTCGATTTTTAGGGAGTTGCCATTACTATTCCTCTAGTAGAAACCAACATGGAGTTAGTGAAATTACTATTAATTATTATGAATGAATTCAGATGTAGTTTTCTCGATTTTGACGGGGCTAAACAGCAAATTGTCAGGCATATTGTAAGCATTTGCTGCGATATTTGCGCGCCTACTTACACTCTCGAATGTAAGTTTTCATAATCGTGAATTTCGAACATGATTTAAGCGAGTTATTTATTCTAGTGGATCTCGATATGGATGAAGAAAACGAATTTACTCGATTTTACAAGCAATTAGTCACGTCTGGTCGAGACAAGTCGCTTTTCCACACCTTCTGCAACGAATTTAGAATAGAAAATTACAGAGATTGCGTTAGTGCTCTGTTGAAGGTGAATAAAATGGATGTTCATAAGCAAATTTTAACGTATTCTTTTTAGATGTTACCTTCTGCAGTTAGTAGGGAATGGTCGGATATAACAAACGATGTTATCCATTTATACGGAAACGATAAATGCTGCGAATTAATAACGGATGCTCTGATACTATTAGCACTACTAGCTGAAACTAGAATCGAAAACGAAGATAGCTCTGTGTTATTCGCGATGAGATATTGCGTTCAGAATTACGGCGTGATTATGCAGGTGTGCATTAATCGGTTTAAAACTTACCCATAAACTAAGTATTTTTTATTGTAGCAAAAAATCTTGAGTAACTCTACGTTAGAAACGGAAGTTTGCGCTAACAAGCACATCACCAGGCTTCTGGTTAAGTTACCGGTGCAGGTTAAAGAAGATGAAGGAATGTCTTTGGTGAACATTATGACTGATAGATCTTTAAAATCGTTGGCGACCGACAAAAAATTCCTGAGCCAATTAATATTGATTAAAAACGCGAAAATATGCCAAGCGCTTCATCAAAAAATTGTGAGTTAAGAATTTACTTTTGTAATAAACAGTAAAACAACCACTAATGTCTTTTGATGCTTTATTACTATTCGTGAGTAAAAAAAGCCGTGCCCCTCATTTATAAATCTATTTAGAGCTAATTATTTCAGATGAACGTAGTGCCATTTATCAACTGCAAAAGAAAAACCATTATCAGACATTATAATTACAGGCAAGTAACTAACCTAATATTAAAGCTTGCAAAGGCGCGATTGGTCAAGAAAATAAATTTTGTCAACTACAAATAGAATGAAAATCGGTTAATATTTTCGAGAAATCGAAGAATCGGTACTTACCAATCGGATCGACCGGTTGAGCCGGTCCGAATTCGGGCGTTCTATTCACAATGTCTTTAGCTTCGCAATAAGTAATCTTAAAATCATTTCCTTCCAAACTTGTATTAACGCTACAAAAAATCGATATTTCAAGCAAACTGATCGTTATTACCCTTACAGTTACTTACCGTGATATCCCTTTAGCGTCCACTTCGTTCGATACCAGCCCTTTCCAAAATTTATGCACCTACAACATTTACTGTGAAATATATTATTAATGATGTTATTATTGATTTACCTCGTCTATGACTTTGTGGGCAAACGCAGCGGGCTTGGCCTCGCCATTAAAGGCGAATTTGTTCTCGGGCTTGCCATCGGGTATTTTGTAAATTTTGAACCATTCGACGGAGGCCTTCAGCAAACCGGGAAAATGCCTGTCGACGTCTCCTATGTCGTTTACTTGATCAGCAATCGGATCGTTTACATCGATAGCTATTAATTTCCAGTCGGTTTCACCTAAAAACTGTCCACTTTATACTGCAATTTTACTATCGGTAATAAAATTTGTTTTTTTATGTTTACGGCTATTAAACATTAAGCGAGTATTGTGTTGTTTATAAATGCGCAATTATCGAGGTAACGATATAAAAATCAATTGTTACCTTCATCGATCAATGCGATCGTTCCTAATATTTTCACCTTGAGGACTTCGCCTCGCTTGGCTACTCGGTAACCGATTTCGATAACATCAATTGGATCGTTGTCGCCTTTGCAACCGGTACCGTCGTCCAAATGCTCGGGGTTCTCCCAGGTCTGAGGCAGGGCCCCGTAGTTCCAGATGTACCCGTGGTGAGGGAAACAATTTGCCACGAATCTCGGCTTGCCTTTCTTTATGTCCTGCTTGATGGGGTTCAGGATTTCCTTCATCGTTATCTTGAAAAAGTCGGTTGTTTAGAATGATGGGGGGTTGCAGGAAGGTAACACTTACTTCCATTTTGGCGTTTGACCATCTCGGTACTTCTACGACCATATTGAAGATTTTTTTTGTGCAATCGACCACCAATGGAATGTCGTGAAGCGGGGAAATTGGGCCATTTTGGTCTTCTAAAGCATAAAATAAAAACAATCATATAATAGGAGCTTTTAATGGAGTATTATGAATGGTAATAATACAATTAGTAAACGCTTATCGATTCTAATTACGTAAGTATTACATTTAAGTTATTCGAATTATTCAATTACATTTTTTTAACTACAATTATCAAAAATAATAAATCAAGGATAGAGGTTTAAAGGTTATTCGATATGAAAAACATGCAACTTACGTATGTAAACTCTGTAATCGGCGGAGTACGGAAGGCCCCTTTCTACAACTGAATAAGACATCCTTGGGAAATTGTTAACGCTGCTATTCACTTTATTGAAAGTAGAGAATTGTTGATTCCTAAAAACTTTTCTGCCTATCACCCTACTATTTAAACCTAACCAAGATACCAGAAACGTCATAATCACTACTGTTAAGATAGCTACATTTACATTTCTCGTATAGATTTTACAACGTATTTTTTTAAATAATTTTACAAGTTTCCCCTGTATAAGTATGTTAGTTAATGTGTGCTAATTTTATTCATTTCCTATTTCCCTTTTCCACCCAATAAACTCTAATGATACGTTAATGTTTTCATAAAAGGTAACTGGATAACAGATAAAAAGGGGTGATACAACTTGTGTAAACTTCCCTTTAGTTGTCACGTCAATAACCGAATTTGACATTGACACAACTGACATTGACAGCTGTAAAAAAAATCGATTCTAACCTCAACAACTGGCTTGGTTGTTAATTTTGTATACTGACGTGGAGATTAAAAAAGGTCTGTTTAGGTAATATCCAGCATCGGCCAAAATGGAGGTATCAAATTTATTCGACGATGTCAAACGCATGAACAAAAGACAGGTCGGTATTGAATTTTGCTGTAGTACTTTCATTCAATACAGCCGATGTATGTTACAGTTTATCTTCCAAGTGTTGAGTTTCGGAATGATAGTCTCGTCAGCTCTGATGATATGGAAGGGTTTGATGGTAGTTACTGGCAGCGAGAGCCCGATCGTAGTGGTTTTGTCGGGCAGTATGGAGCCAGCATTCCATCGGGGCGATTTACTGTTCCTTACTAATTACCCCGAAGAACCCGTTAGAGTAGGAGAAATTGTTGTGTTCAAAGTCGAAGGAAGAGACATCCCGATTGTACATCGTGTTCTTAAACTACACGAAAAGTACTTAAAGATTAGTTGTATTAATAGTATGATTAATGTTCGATTTGTAGGAAAAACGGTACTGTTAAATTCCTAACGAAAGGAGATAATAATAGCGTGGACGATAGAGGGCTCTACGCTCCAGGGCAGCTGTGGTTAACTAAAGACGATGTGGTTGGTCGAGCTAGAGGATTTTTACCATACGTTGGCATGGTTACCATTTTAATGAATGAGTACCCGAAGTTTAAGGTATATTTCTTTTTATGGTCACCAATTCCTAAAACACTTTAAAAAATAATTCAAATTGGTAGGAAAACCTATCCGTCTCTGTGATATTAGGCCGTATTTATAAAAAAGTACAACCTTTTGCTTCAAAAAATGAAGGAATTGCTTCCATGTATATGCCTAAAAAGAAGTGAAGGAAAAGAGGTTTTGCTTGGAGGACCCTGGTGTTGCTTTAAAGCAAAAGTTTTTATGGTTTTAAAATCTTTGAATAAGGTTTCAGAACCTTTTTCTCTTATTTTTTGCCTCTACCTTTTACTTCATAGTATATGCTTCATTTTTATAAATATGGACTATTTTTTTCTTTTAATTGTAGAATTAAAAGTATTATTTGTAGTATTTTATTGAGAGTATTGATAAGTAACTAATTCTGTATTTTTCTCTTTACAGTATGCAGTGCTGGCTTGCTTAGGAATTTATGTATTGGTACATAGAGAATGAGTGTCAATTTTTTTTATTTTCTAAATAATTTTTTGTTACTTAATAAATTTATAAAACAATCAATATTTTTTTATTAGTCGGCCTATAAAAAGAACATTTGTGGCAGCATAGAATAATGGCAATTAAAATAAATCGAACCAATAAATTCAAGAATACGTCAAACAGGAACTTTTAATACAATTCCGGTAAAAACCGTAAACGTCTAAACAATTAATTTTAACTGCTTACAAACTTCGTTTCCCATGACCCATTTAAAGCCGAATCAATGCTATTGTTACCTATTACATCATGGTATTGCAGCAGGCAACACAAAAGTTATGCCTGTTTATGTGTGAACAATGGAGCGATTGCGGGCGTAATTTTCGGCCGAATTGGATAGATCAATAGAGTTATGCAGTCGCCGATCATCGAACAAACTTTCCAAATTTTTGCGCCATGGAAACGTCTATAAGGTTTCCACACCTGATAATTTCGGCGCGGCGCTTTTCGCCCGGATTTCGATTAAAATTTTCAATATATTTTCCCACGACACGCTCCTGGAATTAAAGTGAAGGACCAAAAGTATTACTATTAAATTTCCTCTCTGGCTATTGGGTACTTCATTCAGTACTCATTTTTATACAAAACTAATTATCGAAAACGTAAATTATTTAATCTTTTTTCAATGCATTTATAATTATACTTCGATTGTGACATTTTTGTGAGCTTTGTTTCCAACAATACAATTAACTTTAAACAAACTACTCAGTTACCATAACAATAAAATATACATTTTTATTAATTAATAAAACGGTAAAAAGGTACAATAAACATAGTACGAAATAGAGCTAAGAACAAACTAATAAAAACAATTAAAACCCAATCAAATAGATTTACAGAATGTCTCGATATTTCGGGCACATATTACATGTTAATGCTTGATTCAATTTTATTTAGTATCAATGTCGAATAAAAATAATTTTATCTCGAAACATTCTGCATAAAAGAATATTTATATCAATTAGAATAGAAAAATGAAAATTCATGAATATTAAACAAAAACAAACTTAATAGATGCAACCTTGAATTTAAAGTAACAAGATTTATCAACAATATTTTACAAAATATCTAAACTTACTTGAAAACTAAACCATATAATGACATATTTTTACCATAAAAATAACAATTAAAAATATCACAGCATAATCTATAGAATGAACAAGTTTGTTTTTACAGCTTACAAATTTTGAATGGACAGTCCCCTCAATATTTGCTAAAACAATGTACCTATTCTCTTTCAAAAGCCTAACTTAAGACACTCTGTGCTTAAGACATAAGACTTGAGTTCTTTACGCAGCAGCGCCTAAAATCCACAGAAATATTCGATATTCCATGATAAAATCTAACTCCTTGCGGTGTTTTAAAGCCAATAATTGTAGCTGTGTTTACTAGATATGCACCAGGAATGATTTCTAAAGTGTTGTGTTGTAGAAAATATATTTTCTAACGTACTTATTAAAGTGGCATGGTTTTTATTAAGTATTGGAATTTTTCGAAGTTCAATTACACTTGGTGTCGAATGATGAATTTATTTAGGTTTCAGTGTCAGAGACAAGGAAACGCTTACTTAGATTAAAAGATATCTTAATATTTTTATACCTTTACAAACATTTGTATAAATTACTTTTGAATGGAATGATTTTTTGTAAGATAACTAAACGATTGCTTTATTTCTTAGGTAAATTTGGTTAAAAAAGTTACTTTTTTGCGATAACTCCAAAGGTCAATAAATCCAATTCTTGATATTATGTGGATGTCAACTGATTATAATTTTTTTCTTTAAACAAACATTGATAAGCCTTAAAAATTGATTACGTAAATATAATTACAGATAATTTCTGGCTCATCATTTCGAGTTTTCTTTGCATTAATTTCTTCCCACTTGCAAGTAAGGCTCAATGCAATGTTAAGTAATTCGTCGATTTAATAAAAATATTTAATTTTTAACAACATCATCAGTTTTTCAACAAAAATGCAAAGCCCAGATGTTATCAAATCGAGTTTAAGCACCATCTAAAATAATATATCTAATTCTACGACCCTTTTATAAAAACAAATATAGCAAAGTCTCGATAGAATATTTCAACAATTCAACTGTACGTATACAATATTTCCCATTTAAAAATCTAGTAGCTTTCGATCCCAAAAAAAACCCAATCAGCTACTTAAATAGTATATAGTTCCCGTGACTTAGAGGCTATCCAGCCACATGTTACATTTGTACTTTTAAAACGACTCGAAAAACCGTTAGATCAACAGCAAATCATACGTATCAAGAAAGCTCCCCGATCGGTGCGTTCTCCAGCCACAATTTGTGCAGGAATTGGTAAAGGCTGTCACTCACTGAAACCTTGTACGGTGTGGGATTCAAGCTCCTCTTGATGTCCGGCCGCAGGATCTTCAGCGAATTGTTCACGTTTTCCTTGATATCCTGCAGATTGGGCATCGGTCGGACGATCCTGCCTTTGTTCCACTGCAGCAACAGCAAATCTTCCACTTTCGACGGGATTACGTAGGCTCGTTTGGATTCCTCGAAAGGGTGCCGACACAACACCTTCTCGTTTTCGACCGGCGGGGCTTCGTCGGATCTCTGCAGCAAATCGATGAGGCTGAAGGCGTTGCCGTACAATCTGAACACGTTCTTCTTGCCCGGTATGGTCACTTTGGCCATGTCGTGGCTCAATTTGATCCTCGGCTCCCCGTCGAGCTCTACTAGCTTGTACACGCAACCCAAAGCCGGTTGTTTCTGGCAAGTGACTAAATGGGTACCGATTCCGAACGAATCGATGCAATGCCCTTGCTCGTTTAAACTGATAATAGTCTCTTCGTTGATGTCGTTCGATGCCATGATATTCAAGTCGCTGAAGTACGGGATGCTGTATCTCGAGCTGATTTTCTCAAAGTAACTCCTGGCTACTCTGGATAAGTAGGCCAGGTCGCCGCTGTCCAATCGTATGCCCAAGGCCTGGTAGCCGAAGTCGTGTAAGGCGAGGGCCACGGCGCAGAAGTTCAGCAAGCCGCTTCGCTTCACATCGTAAGTATCCACGAGCGCCATGAAACCGTTGGGAAAGGCCATCGCGAAGGATACGAAAGCAGCGAATTCCCCGTCGCTCACTTCCGATAACAAAATGTTGAAGATAGAGGCTATTTTTTCCCGCCAGCTTATCGAGCTTTGCAGAAAATCACACGGGGCGCCGCCGTCTTTGGGAGCAAGTAACGTGGCTTTTAATTCGTCTATGCTGTTGAAAGAGGTGATGTAAGCGTGAGCGTGGGTGCCCTTTACTGGTATGTTGAATAGTTTCCCGGCTAGAACGTTGCTGGTACCGTCGAATCCGCCTATGTAGGAGTATTTGGACGCCGAGAGGCCCCCGTCGGGGCCTTGGGCTCTCCTCAGTCCGAACTCGTACAATTTCAATTTTCCCGCAGCTAGTCGGTATCGAGCTGCGTTCGTCGCCATCAAGCTAGCGTAATTCACGAGATTGAGTAAGGTGGTTTCTAACAGTTGGGCCATGACTAAGGGTCCCTCTATTCGTATGAGAGGCACCCTGGGAAAAACAACGGTACCCTCTTTGATCGAGTACAGGTTGATTTGGTCGGCTGTTAAGGTGCGCAAGTAATCGTAGAAGCCTTTCTCGACTGATTTAGGCAGCACTTGTTGGAGGTATTCGATGTCGCTCTCTGAATAGCGGAATTTCTCGAGGAATTTCAAGCACTCCTCCAAGCCCGCGAATACCGTGAATTCCCCGTTGAACGGATTTTTCCTGAAGTACAAGTCGAACACGGCGTGGCCGTCGATTTTTCCAGTTTTCCAATAAGCGTAAGCCATCGTTACCTGATACAAATCGGTCAAAAGCGGTTGCACGATGCTGTTTTGGCCAGTTTTGCAGTGAATCGATTCCCCGGCGCTCTCCATCTTCGACATCGCAAACGATACACGTAAATTACAATGGCACGTCACAATAAACGATATTCTTCCGTAAAAATTAAATACCTTCTACTCACTTTATATAACCTTTATTGTTTACATTTTTAAACTCTTGACATTTTATATGTTTTTGTAGTTGTCTGTCTCTTTTCAATGTGTCAAATACGCATGTTTCTTGACTAATTCCAGTGACGGTTCTTCAGTGTTGCCATTTACAACCACGCATATGTGTATTTGTAAAACTGGTTGCATACTTATCAGTTAACATTAAAAACATCAAAAAAAATTTAATATCAAATTTATTACCAAACATGCAGTTTTCTCAAATATGTTTTATTTTATTATAAGTTTTCTTACAGTGATACAGAAATTATGCATTACTAATACAAGGTGTTTTATCAAAATCTCCTTTTAAATTCACAGTAACCAATTTTTCTTAAATGGAACACCCCGTAGATACAGAGGTATTTTGAAAAATGATTTTCTACTTTTCAAAAATTTATTATTTGTACATGTTATTCTCCAAAATAAAATGTTCTATTTCATAAAATTTAGTAATGTGAATTTAAAAAAAAAGAACAATTTTATAAACACCCTAAACAGGCGATACAAAATGTCATTGTAACAAAAAGTTATAGCAAAATAAAATAGATGTGAAAACCGCTTGGTTTTATGATTAGGCGTTTAAAAATTATTAGCTCACTAAAAGGGCTACTTTTCATTGGGACACCCTGTATAATAAAAAAAGTTCATTTCTCTACTAACTAAATAGAATTTTAGGATTATTATCTTGTAAAATAAAACTCTAAATGAAAATACCTAATTTATTGTTTAACGCTTATAAAAATTAACGTTTTCCTCCTACCCTCGGAGCAGCTTTGGGTACATTCTTGCTGGCTTTCTGTTTAGGTGCAGGTTTAGCTTTAGCTGGAGCTGTAGCCTTCTTAGCAACCCTCGTGGTCTTCTTTTGCTCCTTTGCAGCACTAAAAATCACAAAAAAATAGTAATCACCTCAAAGTGAAGGTTGTGCAAAATAGTTCAAACAAATCCACCTGTTAATTTCTTACACCAAATTTAAACAAAACAAACTGCAATAAAATATTACTGCACATTAAATTACAACACAGAATACGTAAATTTCATGTACATACCGAATGGCCTGTTCCCGTTGGGCTTTCCTCACTTCTGGCCTTTGGTTTCTTTTGGCCATAATATCGTTGAGAGAAGCACCTACGATGGCCCTTTGGAACTTTTGAGTCCTGCGGGTTCTCTTTTTGCTGGCCTCTTCCAGTTGGCCCTTTTTGTGCTTGCGCCTATACAAGACCGTCCAGGTTACTTTACGAGGGTTCCTTTTCATTAGGTGAGCTCGTTCACATTTCGAGTTGAGGAAAGTGAACGTCTAAAACATATTTTTGTTTAAATAAAACCCTTGTAGGGTTTTTAATTCATTACCTTTCCGTCAACTTTGACCATTGTTTTCCCATGACCGGGGTATATTTTGTACCCGCTGTAGGCGCAGAGCCCGATCCTACAATACAAAAATAATCATGTAAACAAATAATTTAGTGTTAATAAAGCCATATTTATTCATAATTTCGTTTTATTTCGATACGATTACTTAAATATTTTAAGAAAACTTACTTCATATTGAAATGGTGTTTACACTTTGACAACTGACAAGTAAAAGAAGTATGACATTTGTGACAACATGCTTCTGTTTATCGTGCGGCCTCGTTTGTTGAGTTATTCGGTTAGAACGATTATTTCAACTAATACGAGGTATGTACAAAAAGTTCTTAATTTATTTCTTTTTGTATATTAAAAACGTTATAATATTTAAAAAAAAACCACATAATTAACATCTATTAAACAATAATTATCATAGCTTGGAATTATCGTTCACTAAATATCGATCAAACTTTTCATTTCTTATAAAATACCTATGTCATTGTCAAATAGCTGATAATACGAAAGAAAAACGAATTGAAAAATGGCGTTGCCCACCCTCCAACCCCATATGCTCTTGGGTTTGGAGAAAAAAGTTAAAGGCAACATCCATTTTCTCTCCGACGATGAAGTGGTTTATCCGGTGGGATCGCTCGTGGCCGTCCACAACATTCCCAACAAGAAACAAAGTTACATTAAACTAGCCGACAGAGGGAAAAATTTGGTTCAAATAAACGTTAGTCCCAACAGGTAAACGTTGAAAAAAAAATCACCAAATCCTCAAATAACCAATAACTCGTTACAGGAAAGTTATAGCCATATCCGAGAGATCAGAACGAGGACCCATGATTACACTCTGGGACACCGCCCTCTTCAGGAAAAGAAAAACCATAATCATACCAGCGGATAGGCAATGCAAAGCGAGCGAATTCGCCCACTTCGAGTTCTCCTACGACTCCAAATACATCGTCGCCGTCACGGGAGAGCCAGATTGGACTATGTACAACATCAGATGCGAAAAGGGCAGAATAGAAAGCTTCGCCCGAGCCAATAACCTCAACGGCACAGGCACAATCGAACAGGTTACCGTCCAAAATCACCTCGATCAAATTTCAATTTAAACATTTCCCCGCAGGTCGCTTGCAATCCGAACGACACCAATCAAGTGGCGTTGTGCGGGAATCAAGTACTACGATGCGTGGGCTGCGTGGACTTCATTTGGAGGCAGTTCGGTTACAACAAACTGGATCCGGCTCACTACACGTCCATCTGCTGGCTGACCCAGGATCGGCTCATAGTCGGAAGCAACAGAGGCAAGATCATGGTGCTGGAAACCGGCGAAGTCAGAGGCGTTTACCATGCCTCCGATTTGGCTTACATCAATATGAAGGTGAATCTCGAGTAAGCATAATTCATTACAATTGATACTGTTACCTCTACATTTAATGCTTTCATGCTGGGCTAATTAAGTAAAAAGAGGAAATCTAATGAGTAAGTAGTAGGGCGTAGATTCTACTTGTATTTCTTTAATCCTTATATTGTTAGTATTAATATTTATATTATTCCTAGCGAGGAAAGCGGTATAACCGTTAGTCCATCGTTTTACGATACATTCGGTATGGATTTGCCCCCGTCGAATGAAAACTTCGAAATTAGGAGCATCACGCTTTTTCCTGGTGGTTTTTTATTCGGTTATACCAATGGGAAAGTATGCGTTTACGAAACCAAATCGTCAGTAAGGTAACTTCCAGCTTTCATCTTTAATAACTTCTTCATTAAAATCATCGAATGAAATTTCTTAACAGGTACAAACGACGCGGTTTTCTCTTAATACCAGATCGGTCCATCGATAGAGAAAATGAAGGTGAAAACGAAATATTAACCAAGGTCAATTTTATCACGGTCAATCCATCTGGAGACAGGTTATAAGCTTTTACATATTAGATAAAAAAAGCAGAGACAAAACAATGAATTTTCTGGTCATAAGTAGTTTGTTAATTGCAAGGATCTATTTCTTAGATTGGTGGTAAGTTGCAACGAAATGCAATTGTGGACAGAAAAAATTCTGGTCATAGACGAATTATCGGGTAGCTCGGTTTTCATGAAACCCTTCGGATACGAGCAACACATTGGTCCTATAGCGGATATCGCCGTGTGCCGATGGAAGCCCATAGCACTCACCATAGGTAATATTTCTAATCCAACTATCTACTTCTTTGATTATATTTTGCTCTACTTTAGGCGTATCGGATAGAACCATAAAAATCTGGAACTACGAAACGATAACCATGGAGTTGATGAAGATCTTCGAAGACGACATCTACTCGGTCGATCTCCACCCGACTGGGCTCTACGCCATAATGGGGTTCTCCGATAAACTCCGCTTCATGACCATCATGATCGACGATATCATTGTAACCAAGGAGTTTAACGTTAGAGCGTGCTCGTGAGTATTACCTACACGTATATCTCCAAAAGTATGTATAATTGTCTTGTTCGCAGGAAATGCCGGTTCAGTAGATTGGGCCATCTATTCGCTGCTGCAAACGGAAGCATCATTCAGGTGTTCTCATCTGTTACATTCGAAATGTTGTACATCCTCAAGGCGCATAACAGACGCGTAAGATATTTAACATCCACCAATCCTGTACCAATTAGCTCTTCGTACTTATCAGATAAGCGGATTGGATTGGTGCGCTAACGATAACGTGCTAGCAAGCGCTGGAGTAGAAGGAGCTTTGTACCTTTGGGACGTGGTGAAAAGCCAAAGGATAAGCGAGACTGTGGTGAAAACCAATCCAGCGACTGATATAAGAATTTTCAACGACGGTACAGGATTTTTTGCTGTTGGAATCGATGGACATATTAGGGAGGTTTCCAACGCTGTTATTTTGAAGAACGTTCCAATGCCAGTCACCACTCCAATTGATCTGCTCATTTTATCAGCTTTAAATAACATTATGTTCCTCACAGGTTGATCACAATATTCAACTTTTACCACAAGTAATAAATTATTTTAACCATTTAGGTAACAATGGTACAATCTTCATTCTCCCACTACCCTTAATGGATAAACCAGAGTTCACCGAAGTGACCCTCCATAAAGCTTCAGTTATTGCCGTAAGTATTGCACGCTAATAGATTTATGAAGTATTTAAATAATTTTCAACAGGGTGTTCTATCATTCGATGATAAATACTTCATAAGCGGCTCTGAAGCGGGTTGCGTGTTCTTCTGGAAGCTGATAAACGCCGAGGAGAGGGCCATCCAAAAATTCGAGTTTATATCCTGCAACGAAATTCTAATATCGAAGCAAATCCTCGAGGACAAAATGGAGGAGACGAAGAACCTCACGCTTAGACTGAACGAATTGGAGAACGAGCATAATTATCAAATGAAACAGAACGAATCATTGGCCGCCTCGAAATTGCGGGACATCCACGAGAACTATTGCGCCGCCATCGAAGATTTGAAGCTGAGAAACGACGTTGGTTTGCGCGAATATTTGCGCGCGATTTTTTTCATCTAATTTAATTTGCAGCAAATGGAGGCCGATCACATATTGGAAATCAACAACATCAACAATTTCATCATGAAATTGAAAGCCGATCATGCGGATCTGATCGAAAACATGGAGGTAACTTACAACGGTAAGTTGTTGAACGAATTCGAAAAGTTCAAAACGTACGAGTTGAAAATGGAGCAAAGGATCAAAGAAGCGTACATGAATTACGAAGCTCTGACTAAAGAAAAAGAGGAGAATGAAGCCGCCATCATTGAGGAATATACGATGAAATTAAACGAAAAAATCGGCGAATACAACAAAGTTAGTCTCCCAATTCATTAATCACACTGCTTTAATTCTAACTTTCAATTCAACAGTTACTGGACGACTTCCAAAATCAAGCCATAGAAAACGAGAAGATGAAAGCAGACATCGAAGAAGACGCCGATAAAGAAATACTCGAAATAAAGGAACAACAACAAAATAAACTCAAGGTATGCATTGATTATTATCAGATAATTTCTATCATTGCGTTTGTATTAAATGTTTAAAGGAAGAACGCGAGCTCAACATGCGCCTGCGCAGCGATATCTCCAACATGAAGAAGCAATATATAGTGGCTCAAAAAGAGGTCGACGACTTTAAGCAGAAATTATTCGCCATGGAAGCGGAGCAGGAGAAATACAAAGGGTTCGTCATCAGCTTGGAGCAGGACAAAAACGACATGAAGAAGGAGATACAAGAAAGGGATCAGACCATAGAAGAAAAAGAAAAGAGAATCTACATGTTGAAGAACAAAAACCAAGAACTGGAGAAGTTTAAGTTCATTTTGGATTTCAAGATAAAAGAACTCAAATCCGAGATAGAGCCCAAAGAGAGGATAATAACAGAACAAGTATATATTATTTATTTGCAGGTGCGATTTATTTGACGATTGTATTTTAGACGACGCAAATTAATAAAATGGTACGAGAATTAGAGAATCTCCAGAAGATGATTTTAGGTATGGATTTACAATTGGAGCAATACAGGGAAAAACTCAACGCTTCCAACAACGAAATCAAAAAAGAAATGGACAAGAACAGATTTATGAAGAAATCCTTGCAGGACATCCGGATCGACATTCACCAAGCCAGCGGTTGGATACAAAATATTCCTTTACTGCAAAAAGCAGTAAGAGTAAGTACTTTATTTACATAGCTTTAGATAGATTTATACCAATTTTATTGTAGAATATGTATTGCAAATACAACACCGACAAAGACTTCGAAGTTGCCCAGCAGGAGGATACCGAGGCTAAGAGCGAATTCCTGCGGCAAAGAGACTTCCTGGAGCGCGCCGTGGCAACTCTACACCACCAGGTACTCTCAACATACACCTTCATATAGACATCTTAGCAAGGTTCCTGCTTAGCGGTATTCGAAAAGGTTTAGTTTGTTGTCTAGGCATCGAAGAATACGAACACGCTGAGCTTCGACAAGGTGAGGCTGGTGGACGAGAACGCGGCGCTGCTGGAGGAGACGAACCAGCTGAGGAGAAGCCTGCAGTCGGAGGTGGAGCAGAACAGGAAGCTGGCCTCGCTGGCGGGCATGTCGCGCATGACGCCCCAGCAGGCGCAGCAGAGGGTGAATTTCGCCACGGCCACCAACCAGGAGATACACAAGAAGTACAAGGACGCGCTGGAGGTACGTCGATTTGAGCGGGAGAGGATGGGCGGGTGATATGCGTGATGTTTTTTTGCAGCAAAACGCCAAGACGCTTACGGCCATGAAGGAAGAGAATTTCAGATTGTTGTCCAAAATATCGGAGAAGGGAGAGATGAGGGAGAAGGGCACTCAGAGCTAATTTTTTTTATTGTATTTAGAGGTTTTTATATATTTTGTACTTGGAAATAATGAGTAAAAAATTCGAATGAGACGACGTTTTTCCGAATGAATAATCCTTTATTCGATAAATAAATTTATTTTTACAATACGAATTGATTAATGCGGAATGCACCAAATAGAGGATGGAACATCATTTTTCAATTATTCCACCGAATCTAGGAAATTTCAACTACATAACTTGCGTTTAAAAACTATTAGTCAAAGATATTATAAACTTAACGCTAATATGTATTATTAAAACTAGTATTTCAATGAATTACGTTGATTAATTATATAATGGAAGCTTTTCATTTCGGTTAAAACATTAACCATCGATTCCGATCGAGTAAAAGGGAAAAAATTTAGAAAAAGGCCACAGGATGGCTTGAGATATTCGACTTCGTTCAAAAAGGCACCTACTTATGTTGAACTAGCAGACAATTCCAGAATATTTAAACTGGTCAGTACCTACTAAACCAGTACAATAAAATGATTGCAATTTTCCTGGATAGCCCTTGCGAAAAACCCTTTACAGGTTGTTCACAATTCACAACACACACCAACCTGCAAATTTCGAAATTCACTAAAATAATACTATTTATTGCTTTTAAACAATGATTGAAAAGTTCGTAGAACATGAAAAATTCACCATCATACACACTTTCGGGATTTTCAAAGTCGATTTTTGTAGATTAATACATGAAGGTAGGTGGAATTTAATTTTAAATCATGTATTTTTTATTTGAAATGTTGCCTGAAAATTCGCTAATAATCCTCGCAATCTTTAGTAGAAATGCGGGCGTACTAATTACAGGCCTATAAATCCTAATATACACAATTACAGTCTTTCCAAAGTCAATCTAAAATGATCCATGCTAGTAAATGAATCGGAAGGAATTAAAATAATGTTATTTAAACTACCTTTGGAAACACTTCATAAAATCGTTGACGAATGTAATAAATTGAGATTACCTTAAAAATATTCGGTATAATACGATTGTAAAGAAATGCTCAGGTACAAAATGGTGTAGTTATTAACATCAGAGTAACAAAACCTGTATACTTTTGAGTATTTCAATATATACTTATATCCAAAAGTTTGGATTCATCTTTCTTTTTGATTTTTATGTATAGATTTTTCTGAACAATTAGACATCATTTTGTTAAAACTCACATCAATATTAAATAAATCTCAAAGCCAGATGAACAATATGCATAAAAATGATTTATTCTTTTGGAGTGAAAAATTTACAATATATTCCAAACTTTTGGACATATGTGTATTCATCTCCATTGGTCCTATAATAATTATAATTATAATTAATTCGAAATTAACGTATCATTTGCTACTTTGATGTTAAATATAATTAATACTATTAAACGTTAATTCTAGAATAAAATCTTTTTAATAATTAAATCGAAGTAACGAGGAGTTGTAACAATTGATTAAAAAAATGACTCAGAAATATCAAGGAGGATTATTAAATATTCGATATTCAAATCATCAGAGCTTGAAATTCGTAGTTACAATTTGTATAAAATATTTGGATTCTTGGACCCATAGTTGTGTCCAAAAATGGACGTGACAGGTAGATTTCGAACAAGGAGATCGTATAATTGTAGAATAATATAATTGAGTAATTATCATAATTTTCCGTGCATATAAATATTTAATATGGAAATGCTTAGTAATTGTTTGGTACAAAAAACACCACTTCAATCGTTTTTGTGAGAGATGATCATCATCTTGCAAAATCATCATCCACTTTTAAGAACTATTGAAATCATATATCGTTCTTTCAAGCATTCGTATTTATTATTATTGTAGGTCTTAAATGTGGATAATTTAAAAGTATACTAATAAAAATTGGTCTACAAGCGAGTCAAATTTGGAATTCCGGTATGTACTTAAAATGTATCTTTCTGAGTATAAAAATATTTCTGAGTTGCGTTTTTGAATGATTGAAGCAGCAATCTTAATATTACAATAGATTTATCACAATGTTTTTAAATATAATATAGTAGGTAAAAAATACATGGTGTCACACTCATGATCTATGAATTAAATGGACTTTCTTCTAAATATTTACATTAGTTAATTCGGTATCGATTCAAAAATGCTTCATAATTCGATACCTAAATCGGAGAAAACAGTATACTCAGCCAGCAAAAAAAGTCAATTCCTGAATTATTTCGAATTCCACCATTCCCTGGTATATTTATTTAAGTATCTACTAATTAATTGCTTTTATACTGCTTCCTCTACTTCATAGGATTTAATAGTACAATAATATATTTATAAAGATAAGGCATTTTAGGACAAAAGTAAATTGCTTTGTTGCCTGAAGGGCCATAAGAAATGTTATCAATTTTTTTTAAACCACAGTGCCAAGATCAGAAGAAACTTGCTGAAATTGCTCTTGACCTGCAAATCATCAAAATGCATTTATAACACCACACGATACCCCAGACACTTACGCTCCAAATAGGCCGCCAGTTCGTGATCGTTATTCTGAAGAGCCAACAGCCTAGGCGTCACTCCTCGGTGGTCTTTAACATCCAGCAAGGCTCCTCCTGCCACCAGGATGCAGCAAACGCTGTGCCACTTGTAAGCCACTGCCTTGTGCAGAGCTGTTTGGGATCTGCAAATAATTACAAACCATTCGTAATAGCAATAGTATTGATAGATACTCTGATTGGAAAAGGGAAGTTGCACCATTGGAGGTGACTTAGTGGTGCTTTACTCTGATTGGGAAAGGGAAATTAGAGCTGTCCTAGTGGTGCTTAGAATTCTGGTTGGTAGAACGTGGTACTTACAAATTGGAATCTTTTTCGTTGATGATCGTTGGAGCGAATCTCACTAAATACTTGACGATGTCCTTGTGACCGTATCGGGCGGCGTGATGGAGCATGGTTTGACCGGCGGCGTCGCTGGCGGTCAAAGAGTAGCCTTGGTTGTGCAACTCTTTTATCTGGAAAGAACGGGATCGATTCGTAGAATGGTCAGTGGGAAATTTTTGACGGGGCTTACCGTTCGTAGGTCGCCCTTCTTCGTGGCTTTGAGGAGGCTTTCGTTCGGTTTCTCGTCTAAGTAACTGAAATTATTAAATCATGTTAGTTGTGGGGTACAGGATGGGGAGCATGATGGAATGTAAGGCATAAATCTTACCTATAAGCATTGAACGATTCTTGATTCAAACCAAACAATCTCTCAGTGATGCTGCATGCACAGTCCATATTAGTGTGAGATTAGAGGAAACAAAAAAAAACGGAGTGGTTTCAAAGAAGTTGGTGCTTATTGTTCGAAAAAAGAGTTTTTCTAGCCTTCTAAAGAAATTTTGTTGTTTTCATTACAATAGAATTGCCGATGATTCTTCTATTTGTTACATCACCGGTACGTGTTCTAAAAGATTTTTTTGCTATGAAACACTTAAATTAACCTAAAAATGAGCTGTAAAGTTTTATATTCCACCCTTTTGTTTAATTTCCACGCCAACTATTCGTAAACTGAGGTGGTAGAAAGAAACTAATTATGTAACATAATGAAAACTAATGTTTTTTTGTAATAATTTTCTACACAACACTAAGAGAATTTATTGGAAATGATTGTAAAGTATGTAAAGATTTCGATATTTGAGGTACAGCGAGAGGTAGAGAAAAAAATAAAACAAATGGTGCAAACCATACTTTATTCAAATTACATGCCAACAAGATACTGTCTCTGTTTCAGAAAATATCGAATGGTGAATAACAAATTACATATCGATATTGTTCATGCAAACGACATCTAAAAAAACGTAAGTTCCATTTTGATATTTCGTCTTTTAAAAAAATTCTATCAGTTCGAATAACCTTCGTGGTGATTTAAAACTAGTTTCCCTAAATGGATTCCTAAAGTGCATGGTCCCTTAAAAAGTGATAACGAGAAGCAAAAGAGATGATCAAGCCCTCGATTCAGTCTCTAAAATTATTAATTCTCTATTCGTGGGATGTATTTCAGTAGGTACCAAATTAACCGGCAACGACGAGCTTAAAAATAAATAAGTCTTGCAAACTCTCCTCGTTTCATCCCGAACATTATTACATCATTCCTCGGTGAATTTGGTACCTAATCAGCATTACCTACGATCTAATTAGTAATCGTTACAATTGCGATCTAAAATAGTACCCGAACATCGAGCTATCCGACTTCAATCAAGGGCTTTGTGTACAAATGCGTCAGAGCTAAAACTATATTTATGTACCTTCTAATTTTCATACTGGCATCTGACGACACCCTCTGCAGCTGATGATTGTCTATGCGACGGTTCTCCTCCGGCGTCGGGAAATCTTCGGCGGCATCCGGATTTTTCGGGGAAAGCGGCGGGTGATCGCTGGGGGAGTCCAAATCGTCCTCTTTGCTGCAACGCCAAATTTCAATCAAACGTAGAAAACACGCGAACCGAATAAAATTCAATACCTGATGCGCATCTGGGGAATATTGTACGTAGTTTGGTAGTTGGAAGTGGGCGATGGATTGGCAGTTTCGTCATCGGGAATCGAAGAATTGGATTCCTCGCCGCATTCGAGTATGTACAAGTTCTCACCGCAAATGTCGAACACGTAGTGAAGGCTCTCCTGCGCCTTGTCGATGCGAAAAAATCGTTCAGCCGTGCAAGCTACAGATTATTAACCACATTTCCTTAATTAAGTAGTGTACAAAACGTATGAAAAATATTAAAGAGGTATAATTCCTCGTAGATATTAAGCGTTGGTTTGCAGCAATGAATAGTACCAGTACTTACAATCCACGAAACACCAATCAGTTGACAGCAATTGCTTCTCCTTTTTCTCCTCTAACATTGCGTTTATCATAACTCGAACCTGCTCCAAATCCGACACAGGATTCACTTCGATCCTACCAATATTTATTGCTGGAAGATTAATCAACAAATTAATCGCGCAAAAGAAGCTCCTATAGATTCAATTTTATTTCACCCATCCTACAACGTTTCCTACAACATCCTCCCAATTACCTGCTTGAGTTAATAGATCCTTATCGTAATGGTGCTGCTCGTAATCGGACATCGTCAACTTGAACACGCCGAGATTGAGATTGTCCAATTCCGTTTGAACGCGAATCGCCGTGCCGTGTTTCCTCTTCGCCAGCATCGGCGCCTTGTTCAGGTGGCTCATTTTGATGACGGAAGGCGCCAGCTTGCACGCCTCCCCGTCCACCTGCATGGGAATCGTCTTCGAGGTGACTATCTTGGCGGAGCGGCACTGCGTGATGCACGTGCCGTGACCTCCGGCTTGCAGCAGAGGCTGGATAACACAAGGAAATGTTGTTTTCAAAAGGTGCAAAAATCGCGTCTTAATAGAGACAGATGTTCCCGGGAGTTGCAAATTAAATTTGGAGCTTGAACGTTGCGGTTAAAAGACCGTTTCGAAACTTGGCAATGTGATATACGTAGGCTATATATTAACGCCTGTTAAAACTGTCAGTTTTCGGTAAATATCGGAGTTTGATGGTGCAGGCGGTAAAAGCGTCAGTGGAAATTACTTACAAGTTGATATGTCGTTAAACCTAATACTTCTATGAGGGCGTCGTCGGTGCTGGGCTCGTTATTTCCCATCGATCGGTTCCAAGGATGCGTCCCGCCGCCGTAACTAAAAATATTAACAATCGCGACATGAACGGATTAAATGTACCGCGCGTAATTAACCTGGAAATGTTGAGGAAAACGATGGCGTGCACCCGCAACTCCTTCAGCTTGGGCGTGATATCCTGCCCGTCGCATTCTAGCGTGACGAAATCCGCCAAATCCTTCCACTTCCTCTTGAGCAGATCCTTGCCGCCCATTTGGCCGTAGAACATTTTGTTCCTCAATCGGGAATTGAACTTCTCTGGATGAGCCTCTGTTAATAAAACGGATCGTAAAGTCGGTTAATGAATCGTGGAGCAAATATAATAATAGTCCCCTCGACCGGAGAAATGCCTTTGTGCGGGTATATACAGATATTCTCGAACAATCCGAGCTCCTCGAAACGGAAAGAGAGAATTCGCTGAATGGAGGCGAAAGTTAAACGAATTTTTGGCCGGTATTATTGTCGTGGAATGTTTATAAATATTCGCGTTTATATAAAACACCTATACAAGTACCTCGAGCTTCGTGGAATTCCAACGCGATATGCGCGTCGACGCCCAAAGAAAAGTAGTTGTTAACGACGTTCAACGGTAGATTTTCCTTCCCTCCTTCGCCCGCACTCGCTGCGGAATTCTTCTCCACCTCCAACGACCACCTATCCAAATTCACGATGTCGCTGTGGCTGATGTTGGAGAGGATCTTCGAAATCGGCTCGTCCGTGTAGCCCTGAAACGGCGCGGCGTTAATCGAGCCGGAAAGCGCGAAGGCGGGAAACTTACGCCGCCCCAGCCGAGGGCCCGCGCCAGGTCGTTGCCGGTGCCGAGGGGCAGCACGCCGACGGCGGGGGCCGGCGCGATTTCGATTTGATCGATGACGCTGAGCACCCAGCCGACGGTGCCGTCGCCGCCGCAGGCCAGCACCCGCAAATTGGGCACTTTCTTGAAGAGCTCGAGGCCGAGCCGGGGCCCGCCCTGCGTCAGGTCGAACACCTGCCGCGGGTTCAGCAGCCACTGGAACTTCTGCAGGAGCTTCAGGCCCTGGTTGCCGCCCGATTTCGGATTGATGAATACTATGATGGGCGAAACGTTGGTGGATGGAATCGGTTTGATTGCGAAAAATCGATGTTCTTTATCCTGAGAAGTGGAATCATAAATTCACCATGTTAGACAAATAAGTGTATTTAATAGTCACCCGGTATTAAAGGATTTTTGAAGAGGCGAGTCGTATTAATGTAAAACAAACAAAGAGGCTTTCGAGCGTTCTATGTTTTGACTTTTAAATAAATTATTCTCAGGTAATCTAAGAGGAAACGAGCAGGTCCATTATATCTCGACGAGTGGGAGTTTTCTGGGAATCTCAAACTCCCCGTAAACTTTCGCTCGTACACCGGAGGGGGTAAAGTTTTGAGTTTTCGTCGTAACGACGTCGTTTCAACTAAAGCGTTAGGAACAATTTAGCTTTAGCAGAAATGGAGTTTTTCTGACCGCGTGTCTGCATGAAGTTTCTTTTTTGATCGTTCGACTAATAAAATACAATTACCACACTCACCTTATGCTTGCCTTTCTTTAGGCTGGTTCGTTTCTTAGGCGACTTTCTCAAGCTTGACTTGAAGCTTCCTTTTTTCGGTAATTTGACTATCCACGAGGGAGGAACTATACAATTATTGTGAACGCCTGTAATAACGAAATCAATTTAAATTTCGAGCTTTTTGAATTCAAATTCGAGCGCTCGGGGCTCTTATCGAAATGAGAACTGCATCGGTCGAGTTATATGCAAATTTCAAAATTCGTTTTGTAGAGCTTTCAAAAAAAACAACTCGGTTTATCGATTCTATAATGATTGTTCGAGTACCTATGGTGAAGTCAACTAGAATATAGATCAAAGAATTTTTTTATGAATTTTCTATTAAAAATTATTTCAATAACTGTACCTACAAGATGAATTCGAGCTTTTCTGGGAAAAGATTAATACGCATATCCTAAAAAATTCACTATTATCTACTCAATAGAGGTTTGGAGATATTCTGCAATAGTTTAAAATGTATTCCATCAAATATTAAGAAAAAACTTGAAATACTTCTGAAAGCTTGTCGATATAGTTGAGGGACATGCTGTACAACTTTGTGGAATTGAAAATTTACGATTTTCAATTACTTTGGGAATAGCAAAATTCCAAACTGATATATTGCTGAATAGTGTGCAATCGAATTCGGTAATATAAAAAACATTGTCGTGAAAATTGGATCAAAACGTCGCTCTCGAAAAGTATTTTTATTATAGGTACCTACATACATTCGTTCGATTGGTAATTGAAGTTCGGTCTGTTGGTTTTCCATAAAATTGCACGGCGGATTTTAATTAGTTTACGTTAAAAACTGAATGCAATCACATTTTTACTAGCCCATTGAGAGCATGAAACTTGCCTAATGCGATTTTTTATGGAAATTGGACTAATAAAAACCGATTGTTCCACAAAATCTGACGTTTAAATTACGTCAAAAATATCGTAACGTTATTAAAAAAATCGCAAAAAGCCCGTATTTATTTAACGATTAAAAACTTTACGTCCAGCCCGCATATTTGTTAATTCCATACAAGGGTCTTTGTTCATGCTCGAAACGTACACGTTAGATCATTTAAATACATACACCCCAACAATGAATAAAAAGCGAACAATGGGAATTTTTCTGTATGGCGCTCTCGCATATCGTCGAATTTAAAAAATTTCCTCCGTTTCGAATCCGAGCTAGTTAATGGAAGTTTCGCGTGCGTCGCGACGCCGTCGAATGGAAATCAGTTTTCGGAAAATAAACGTGCAGCGGGCATTATGTACGAAACGAAACCCGGTCACATCTATTAAAAAGTAATGCCACACATGTATAGAAGTGAGCGTCTCGCGGACCTTTCTGGCCGGCATTAATCTCATTAAAAATGAATCGCGTACGTTTCAAAGGGCCTTTTGTATCGAAAAGCTCCGCCGGTGGAATTGAAAAACCGCACTGACGCAACTAAAACTTGTTTATTTATCGATTGAAAATTACGTATCGCAAATAAAAAGCGACGCTTCAATACGATGAGAAGATTACAGGCGAAGTCTAACGGAAAAATTATAGAGAACTCGACCGGCTTTAACCGGCCTTCGATTCTCCTAATCCCCCATCAATCCAATACGTATTAAATTCACGATTGATGTATTATTTACAGTTAATTTTTGTAATATATATAGAATTACGCTATTGTAACTGTTCCTATTAGAAAATACCATCATTAATTCTTGAAGTTGTTTTTCTCTTCCCTTCTTCATCCTAATTATTATTGGTAAGACTAATTTGATTGTGAGCAATTATTGTCAATTTGAGTACAAGGATAAGGTAGAAATTTCTCGGCCTGACAGCGAAATTTGGTTGAAAAATTAAATTATTTTTCTTATTAAGTCGAAATATTTAGTTCAAGACAGTTCTAATTGATTCTGGAGCGTTATAAATGACCATTGAGCGTTCTAAATGATTCTGGAGCGTTCTAAATGATTCTGAAGCGTTCTAAATGGTTTTAGACAGTTCTAAATGACTATGGAACATTCTAAATGGTTCTAGACAGTTCTAAATGATTCTGGAGCGTTCTAAATGTTTTAAGATAGTTCTAAATGATTCTGGAGCATTCTAGATTAATCTAGACAGTTCTGTAAATGATTCAAGCCGAGAATTTTCGCCCTACTTCGTATAATAACTAAATTGATATATGCATGACATACAATAATATCTGGCATACAATTTGAATTATATTCCCAACGCACGATGGAATTTATTCGAATTTAATCACCCGTCTTATAAATCTTCCTCTTGTCACAAACACGGCGTTCTGCGAGCTCTCTTTTTTGCGGTCGTTTGCGTTTGCTTTAACGCATCTCCGCGAGATTCTTATATTTGAAAAAGGGAGAATCCGCACGCCTCCAGGATTTTATTCTATTCCCCGAACGGCCGGCGTGAAATATTAAAAAGAACGATACATTTGCGGCGCTGAGTCGTCGGAATCGCGCCGGAAAATCGAAAAAGAAAAAAAAAAACGAAATGCTTTATCGCCCGCGTCGTTTGGGAATGCGTTTTTTGAAAATTCACGCTAACGTGAACGCTATATTTACCTAACCTCTGTTTATTTACCTTTTAAATTGAACGAAAACAGTAATTACGCCGGTTCGATCGTAATTATAATTGCTAATTGCCCGTATGCCACTCCCAATGAGAATGCCGGGATTCTATTACGTTATTCAGAACGCATTATTAGGATACTAATTACATCGAAACAATGGGCTTAATACTGCAGCAGCTTTAACCGAACTTACGGTTACTAACTAATTAGTCTGGGTTACAAGGAAAAACATTAATAATTCCTGAAGCAGGTGCACTTATGTGAACCTAGCACCTTCACCATAAAAAGAAATTGTATATTTTATGCTATTTTAGTGATAATTTAGTGCTCACATCCTAGTTTTAGTGCTCAATTAGTTGAGCAGAAATTCGCGATTGGATGCGGTGGAGCTAAGTTTATAAAACTAGCATCCCTACATTTAAATATTTGAACAAAATAAAAAATTAATATATCAGAATTTAGTGTTATTTTAGTGCTTTCGAAAGAGCTTATTAGACATTAGGAAAACTGGATATAGGAAATATAAATTTAAAACCAAAGGTAGGGAAATAATTTTGATCTCTAACGTTTCCCTGATTTTAGTGCTTCTAAAATAGCTTAAGTTGGATTTTAATGTTCATTCCTTAACCCAACGAAATATATTTTGACCTTTTTATACTGGGACCCTCAAGAGTAAAGAATCAGTGCCCTCAAGAGTAAGGAATAGTGATGTATAAAACGTTTTGTGCACTGTATTTTTTCCACGACTATAAGGAATCTGCCATAAGATAGCTCTCCTGATCCATCAGACTGGAATTTCGTATGTATTTAGTAATAAACTGTTAATTTGTGTATCGCTTTGTACACGCGCGTCAAATAACAAACCGGAAAGCGTCCGCTTTCGGGCGGAATTCCGGCAAATCCGCAAGCCGAATCTGTCGAGTGTCGTCGGCAGTATAAATGGGAAGCGATCCCGCTCGGTGACGTTTTAACTGGAATCCTCAGGCATTCCTTAAACGATCGCGACGAATTTACGCATTGCCGGATTTCCATCAAATACACCGCGAATTTTCCGTTCGAAACGCAATTTTTATGAACAAATAAAACTGTTTACGACTTACCCAAGCTGCATTCTTCGCCGATTCGTCTGATGTCGAAGCACGTTTCTTTATTGTGATAGGCGGTCTTGCACCAGGAACAACTGATTGCCACGATTTCCTTCGAGCTGAAGGATAGTTTCGATTGGAACGACTGGAACAAAAAAAAAATCGATAGCGGCTAACGGTGATGGATAGCGGGCAATTATTATCTCGACATTAGATCGGCTTGATTTACGTCCTTGTGACTGCGTGTGTGTGTGCTTTTGTCGGTTCCTAAAACTGTTCATAAATTGAGATAAACGTATCTCGGTTATTCTAAAAAATAGGGCGAGTTTCGGAGAGCGTCACGCAATTTGACACGTGTCATTATTATCGGTATTTATACGAGAAAATAGCGTAAACGTTAACGTAAAGTTTGCGCGTTCTGTATAAATGATAGGAGGAACGCAAAATTGAATAATCGGGGAATATATGGAGCGATACGTGGAATATGCCGCGTGCGCTCAACCATTGTTTGTTTAATAACGATAGGGAATATTAAATGGAAATATTACGGAGGAGTTGCTTCGTTTGGATTAATAATTCAAAATTGACCATGAAATCAACCAAAATCGGTTATCTTGTTTATTCTTTTTTATTGTATTACTCGATATAGGACTGGATATTCGTGCATGGCGCAGCAAATGATTTTCTGATAATCAATTGTAAATTATACATAGACGATATTTCTGTTTTATTTGATGTCGAAATTGGACGAATCTTTTTTATAATATAGCTACTATATAATTTGAGAGACAAATTAATAGATATTAAATGGAAATATGTTTTTAGGAAAAAAGCAACTCGTTTTAATTAAAATTAACGTCACATCAGTTATTAAAAAAGTAACTATTATACAGTGTGTTCTCGAACTTATGCTGACTATTCAGGCCATGGTTGTATTCGCTCTTTGCATTTATTTCTAATGGCTCTGTTTTGTTTATTATAATTTTTTTAGAAAAATTAAATCTGCGAATCGCTCTCAAATTATACAACCTAACACCCTTAGAATTTAGTGTCATAAGTTTGACAACACCCTGTATTTAATATTTTGGCGGAGGCGCATCAAAATTTAAAAATAATAAATAACACCAAGAATTTTCCAACGAAATGAAGATTCTGGAACGTAAAATAATTCACGATTTTTTTAAAAATTAGGTCAAAGAAAAACCGAATTGAAATACCAATAAGGCAAAACGGCTTCATTTTCTCTAAAATTACTCCGTCGAAATCGGGTAAAACGCGCAAAAAACCCTCCCGCCGATTTATCAGGTTTTACACGAAAATCGGCTTACAGAAAATTCCGAAAATAATAATTAATACGGAAAACCGCCGCCTCGCCGAAAAATATTACAAAGAAATTAAATTCGATTCCGGGCATTATTACTCGGGGATTAGGCTGGTAAACGGGGGGCGCTTTTCTGACGGAGCCGCATTAAGTACGAAGGGATTTTATTAGCGAAATTGGTCGGATGAAATAATTTCCCGACAGACGTTTTTCTTTTCAATTTAAAAATAGACACACAACGAAAATTCTGTTATATACGCTCGGTCGAAAGGAAGGTGCTGTTTCAAGCTAGCAAAAGCTTGATTAGATAAATAGAGGCGGTTTTCACTTTCCACGGAGAGATAAGTGCCTTTCTTGAAGTGAAATTATATCCTTCATTAAGAGGTTAAGACGCTCCGAGGTCCAATGTAACGACCGGAGCCGTTCGAGGGTTGCAGAAAGGCCAGACGTGCGCGAATTTATTACGCGAATGGGTTTTTAGGGGTTGTAGTATAAATAACGGTTCTTTTAGTCCTTTTTGGGTAATAGTTACACGAGTAAACCCACTCTCAGCACCGCACTCGCCTTTAAAACAACAAACTTTGAATCTTAAACGAACATAAAATATACAGGGCCTTCTAAAGCTGTGTACATGCAGATTAGTGCAAATTTGTATGCAAAATATGGTCAAATAGAGTCTAAGAGAGTATAAGAGAGTATAAGAGAGTATAAGAGAGTATAAGAGAGTATAAGAGAGTATAAGAGAGTATAAGAGAGTATAAGAGAGTATAAGAGAGTATAAGAGAGTGTAAGAGAGTTTAAGAGAGTATAAGAGAGTATAAGAGAGTGTAAGAGAGTATAAGAAAGTATAGGAGAGAATAAGAGAGTATAAGAGAGTATAATAAGAGAGTAAGGTGAGGCATTCTAATTTTTTTACGTATTATATTGAAGATTAAATGAATTAATATAGTATCTACTTTGCTGTAAATAAAAATTCCCAATCATGTATCAAATGAATTATTTGTGGTTAATTACCGGAGGCTCTGTGCCCAATTTATCTATAGGATTAAATTCTATAATCCTTTTAATTCCAGGAAATAAAATCCTTTTGTAATTGTACCAAAAATGCTGTAATTTTTGGCAGTGATGTCAGTACGCACAGGGAAATACGAGTATTGTGTTGACAGATCGAAAATCGAGCACCGTAATTGGCTAAACTGCCACTCTCAACAATCACGAAATTTTCGTATAATAAAAAAAAATCTCTCACTTTTCCGCATTTGCGGCATTTCCCTTTTTCGCTGCGCCGATGGACCCAATGGTGTTGAACGGTGGTTTGTTCCCTGTATTGGCGGACGCCCACGTCCCTGAACGTCGGTTTGCAAGAAAACTTCACCTTGTCGACTAGCACTTTGATGCAATACTTGTGGACAATTATATTGCAAGCGGAGCACTTCATACGAGAGCCGTGTTTCTGGAAAACACAAAGAAAAAAATTCGATGAAACGGCTCGCACGGGTAAGCAGGTAAAAGCGGCTGGAATTAGGGGATGTGACGCCGTGCAATTATTTTACGTGTTAAATAGGTCATGATAATAAGGTATCCTGTGTTCATTGTTAACTAATATTCTAGCTATTTTTAACTGATTTTATTAATTTTAATTACTCTATCACGTTTTCTATATAGGGTGTTCTCGAACGTATGGCACTAAATTCTGGGGGTGGTAGTTTGTATAATTTGAGACCGATTCGCAGATTTCATTTATCTAAAAAAATATAATAAACAAAATAGAGCCATTAGAAATAAATGAATAGTCAGCTGATCGGAATTTTAACTCAAAAAACAGATACGGTGTATAACCGAAAAAATGGTTTTGGCTATTATTTTTTACTAGAGAATGATGCATCGTACGAAAGTATGTCTCCGCGGATCAAATTTGCTCCAAAATAAATGAGTATTTTAAAAATAGTTTTGGTTTTTAGTAAAAGCAGTGGCGTATCATTTTTTCCTCAAACATATTCAGTTCAAACCCCGTTCGGACGATCCTGGTAATAATTTTTAAAAAGCTTTTGCCTCAAAAAAGGCTCCTTAATAATTAAAAGGTGCGTACAAAATATCTACTTTTCTTTAGAATAATGGAATTAAATACGTAATTATGGTAATGCGTTCGAAACGCGTTTGAAATGTTAAAAAAATATATTCAAACACCTATTAATAATAATAATAATAAACTACCATTCCAATTTAATTAAATTTCGTTTGATGTCAACGTTTATTAACAAAGCATTTAGAGATATCGAGTTTTTATTATAATAAATTACAACGTTGAGGGGAAAATATATATCTGCGATCGATTGTGGAGCCCATTAATAAGTCTGACAGTTTTAATTATCGATAATTGATTAATCATTCGTCGTTCGGAAAAACGGCGAATCAATTAAAAATACTTTCAGAATTAATTCAATTTTAGTTATGTTGGTATTATTGTGGAACGAGGAACGTTCGTGAGAAACAACGTTTTCGTCTTTTCCAGAGCGGATTACCAGAGTGCGCTAAATTAAATTCCGACTCCACACGTGAACGTTCGTTCTTTTCCTCCGTTCCGATCGCTTCCGATTCCGAGCTCTAGGTGTTCACGATTGTTCGTTTGAGAGAAATAGTTTTCGACGGATTACCCGGAAATAGAATTTCGAATCTTCCACGGAGAAGTTGTCTGGGACTTTGAGAATTGTCCGCGGTGTAATTGGACTCGATGTTGTGCATTTTCGCATGACATTCTTTCCGTAAGCATTCCTATCCGGCTTTTAGAGGATAATTGGATAATTATGCCATTGAAATAAATGGGATTCATTTCGGTGTGAGTTCTCCGAGTTAGTTCGGACAGTTCAGAAGTAATAATGCGATTTAGGGAACATGTTCTGGAGTAAATTTAGCGTGGAAATAGTTGGGAACTCACCGTACAATCCGGATCTCCCACGTAGCAAAAATCTCCGGAAACAGACGTTTGAACCCACAGATGATCTTCGTTGATGGCGGTCTCACCCCAATCGGGGGTGTTCCTTAAATCCCGTTCTCCATCGTCAGATATTTTCCTGCAATAAAAGTATTACACAATTAGCATATTGAATGATTCTTACAGATGATCCTGTAGTGGAATTACAGGATGGAAATTTAGTGCCGTTAAATGTAATACAGGTACAAAAAAGGCAATTTTAAAAAATCTCCTGGGATAATTCGAATTTCTTATTCAGCAATTTAATTATCTCCGAAATGCCCGGCTTGGGCGCTTTCTTTTTCTTCCAGCACCGCCGCGTCGCCGGCGGAGTTGATTAAATGCGGGAGTTTTTTTCGTTGTAATTGGAATGACCGGAATCGTATTTAGAAATCAAATTTGAATTTTTGATAAAAAAAAACACAATAAGAAACGGATTCTGCTCGTCGGGAATTCCAATGCAAGACTCCCCTGCTAATATTTCGCGTCAGAATTGGAATATTATTTGGAATTTCACACGAAATCCAGCATCGGCTCGGAAACTCCGCACAAATGAAGTCTGAGCACAGATGATGAAAGTTTTGATGAATATTCGTTTGTTATACATCGAGAAGATTAGAAATTCGTACACCTAATAACGAATGTTTGAATAATTTTGAATGGTGTTTGTATCTCAATCTTCGTTACCATAAACAAGAACAGAACTTTTACGAATAAATTTTATTATACAGGATGTCCATTCATAAAGGAAAAAATCTTTACCGGCAAAACCAGCAAAGCGAGTGCACTTTGTTAATTATCATTAACCGTACAAACGAAAGAAAGGTAAATATCGGCTTTAAAATAAATCGAGAAAGTTTTAGCTCGAATCGTCGAGTGTAGGACATCGATTTCAAACACCATTTATCATTTTAACTCCGGCGGAAGCCCGGGAGTTTTCCGTAGGTACACACACACCGCGTTCTCGACCTTTTGTTCGGCAACAAAATAGAGGAGCACGTAGGTATATACACGAATTTTGTTCCGGGACTTCCGCGATGTTTGAACTTCTAATGGATTTCCAAGCGTCGAGTTTAAATTCGGAGTTTTCGATTCGTCAATTAGCCGGTAACGCAAACACAAAAACTCCAACTCCCGGACGATTTTTACATTCTTTCCCGTCGGTTGGTGCTAATATTGATGGGCTCGTCACCTAATTTTGCATCGTAACGTCCCCGGGTGATTTAAACGGTTTCATTATTCGCGGAAAAACGAGATAAGTCTGATGAATGGGGCTAAAAATAAAGGGATTTTTTTTTCGATTAAATTGGATAAATTTAGCTCCGAATTGTGAATAAACTGCAGAGGGAAAATGAGTATAATAAGAGTATCGCGTCGTTAATTAGAGATCTGAGATTTTCCTAACAAAGAAAAGAAAAAAGATGATAGCAGATATACCATTCGCAAATATAAATAGGTAGCGTGTTCTTGTTACGTTGGGTAACTAGTAATTTATCCTTATTATGTCCATATATAGCCAAGGGATATTTCTAAAAGGTTTTTATAATCATTTATGCATTCACCGATTTTTTTTTGTAGTTGATAGAATTTTTTCCGAATCGGTGAACCATTAGCGAGTGCAATTTCAAAGTCGAAAATGCCTTAATGAAGGTTCATTCAATTCAAAGCGCACTATTTATAAATGTAAGACGAGTAATTTGCACCAAACTTCGGATAGCTCACATCAAAGACTTTCCAGCAGATGAAACCGGTTTTAACAGCGACTTAATCAGTTTAGGGAGTATCGAGTTTCGAACTTCTGAGTTAAGCAGCACAGGAAAGAAAAGAAGATATCTCATTGATAGATAATTACAGAACCTTAATTAATCAAAAATAAATACTAATTTACTATTTACTCCTACGATTCAATTTATTATCTAGTATACAAGAATTCTACTTATAAGTTGAAGTAAAAAACTTTTATTTATTTTATCCTCTTTATACATAAGTATTTGTTAGAATTATAAATGTGTATGGACAGCGAGTCTCAGAATTTTATACTCGACAAATTCAGGAGTATTCATTACAGTACATAATACTATTCTTGACTGAAAATACAAATGAAAATGTATCCAGAGAAGCATGCTTTTATAAAAATTTCGAACCTACCCGTATTCCGAATGAGAAGGGGCCGCCATCGCCAAAGCCTTATACCTAGCTTGCTTATCCGTAGGCAAGACGATATCGACAGATCTAGATCTAAGAGCAACGTTTGGTCCGACGGGAACCTCCAGGCTGACGCCGGAGTGTTCCAGTTCTTCAGTCTTAACTTGCGATACTTTGGAGAAACAGGAATCCACGGAGGCGGCTCGATCTCTCTTCAAGTCCGGTACTTGGAGGTAAATGTCCTTGACGATGAGGCCCGCAGGAGTTTTATCGGAGACGGCCCCGTCGGAGGAGAATGCTTCGGACGGTCCGTCGGAGATGCTCTCCAACGAATCGCCCGAAGGCTCCCCGAAGAAGGCCTCCTGCCGGTGAATGGACTTGCGTCTGCATTGCGTCGGCGACACCGGCACCGGAGGCGGCGATTGCAGCGGCTCCGCCGGCACTTCCGGCGACAGCGTGACTTTAATCACGCAATTCGTCAGCAACTCCTCCTCGCACTCGCTGGACGATTCGCTCATGCTGAAGGCCGACGCGGGGATCTCGTCTTTGTCCTTCTCGTCCTGGCTGCTGTTGCTCTCGCTGCGCCTCCTGTTGTACTCCTCCAAGCAGACGCAGTGCACGCACACGGGGCTCCTGCTGCCCGACGATCGCCTGCGATGGAACTTCCTCGACGGCACCTCCAGGTAGTTGCCGGATTCCTCGCTGCCGCCCGAATCGACGCTGCGCGACCTCTGGCCCGGGTATTGCGGTATATTGAGCAAGGTGTTTTGGTCGGGCGGCTGCTTGTCCGACTGCAGGCGCTTCGCCTCCAATTGGATCTCGTCGAAGGAGGCGGATCGCACCTGCTTCGGCACCTCCAGGCTGCTTTGCGTCTTCATTTCGTAGGCTGTGGGGGTCCGGGACCTTTTAAATGTTGTTCGGATACGTTGCATTGCTCAACGGGGCAATTTGTTTCCCCGATGATTTGAGGAACTCATTCTACAAACAAACAAAATAAAATCATTATTAATGGATTCATCAAAACGGAAATTTTAGTTGCGACAGTCTAAGAACTTATTAGGGTTGGGTGAGTTGGTTAGGCGTAGCAATTTCTGGATCAATTATATCTTTCAAGTTGGCACAAAAGGCTCCCCCGCAAAGTCGAGATTGCTCGTGAATGCTAAACCATAAGGATATTCGGTAGTAACGTAATTGACACGAAAACCTAAATCTGGAGTGCAATTAGCACCTAAAAGAGCTCCATTAAACCGGAGCGCTCCGGACGAATCAAAACTTAATTCCGGGTGACGGGCCAGACACATATCAAGCCGGAAAGGGCCGCCATTGCTATCGCGCGGCACGCTATGATGAGATGGATAGTGCCATATATCGATTTTCGTTTCCGTGTTATGTTTTACTAAAGGTGAATGAACACGTAACAATGGAAATAATTATTCAGGGTTATCGTTTTTTTTTTCCTTCGCTCTTTCCTCGTCGATAATTGAGCAGTAGGAGGAAATTTACGGAGCACCATTATTAATAGGCTAAGTTTAAAGTTTTTAGGATCAAGTGGTTAGGGGAAGTTCCAAGATTAAGGGTCGACTTATAGACAAGATAGAGTTTGATGAAGGGTTTTGCGGAAGCGGATCAATATCGTATAAAGAACATTAAATCCATTGACCCGGAATGATTTTTAATAAATTAATAATAAAGCCGTTTGTATGTAATTTGCATAAAATGGAGAGGGATTAGAGCGAAACATTTATAGCGACAATTAGCTGATTAATCATTACTAAAACCGCCGTTAACCGAGAAATTTAATAATCCCCGACATTATTATAATGGTCAGTGCTCAGACCGAAATAGCTGTAATATTAAACCGTTTTATTAACTCTAATGGCGGCACGTTGTTGTCTCTAACTGACTGCTTTAATGCCACTTCTTAATGTCTTTCGCGTCGATTTCGTTTAACCCAACGCGGCCGGGCTTATTAGGACTAGGGCGAAAAGCGGGTTCGGTGATAACAAAGGCTCGCTCTTGTCACGTAATTGACTTAGAGGCAGCGATTAGTTGTTTGGTCAGCGCGTTCTGTCTGGCCGTTTAACGCGCCTAATCGTGTTTAACGTTGGAATTATACTTTGTGTAATAACTAGAGAGGCGAGAGTCAAAAGATCCCTAAAGCGGTATCTTAACTGTGATTAGGCTTTCCGAGAGATTTTCGCGCAAAATGCTTCCACCAAAATATTCGTATTTAAAATTTTGGTGGATGATGAAGGTTCGAATTTATAGTAGAGTTGGAAAAAAAAGAGTCGGTGATATAGGCGGAGGATTTATCATGTGAAAATGGAATTTGTCTTGCCGAGTGCGCGTCAGATTCGAATCAATATCCTCCCTTTTACGCGCTTTTTTCCCGAGACAACGAGTCCTGCGACCCAAACCGAAAAATCGCGATTATTGAATTTCAGCTATTCGTTTTCGTTTTGTATTGACCTCGTATTTTCCCCGCGAATAAAATGATCCCCCATTCAGCTTTGTGGATGTTTATTCGAAAACAGTTTTAAGGGAAAAGTTCGGCGATGCGTAGGCAGAGCACAAATCCCGGCATTTCTTTTTTTTTGTTGCATGTTTGTTGGCGCTTTTAATGAAATTGATGCGCTCGTAATTAGCTTGTTTACAGTCATTCCGATTACCTGTACTTTAATTACTCGAATTGTTCGAATGTGCACGCAGATAATCCTTTTAAAGCAAAATATTCTTTTATTACGTTGTTATGTGCTCGCTTCATTTAACGATTTGATTATAAGTTATTTATCAGATTAAATTCGACGCGTATCGTGTAATATATCACATTTGTCGTTTGCACGCCAATGGGCGTTCGCTTTTACTATGTTATTTTTATCGCTGTTTTACTATTTGTTGATTAAATTATAACGGGGATTTATTTTACCAAGCAACGAGTTCATTTATGATTTATTTTACATTATAAAATGTAGTTCAAAACATAACTTTCTGTCCTATAAAGAAAGCTTTGAAACGAACAATCCGGAGACACGCCATATGTTTCGTGTGTGGAAAATTCCCTGAAACAAGCTTTTCTCTGCACATACATTTTCTACCTACATACATATTCAACCAATTTTCGAATCCTTTAAATAAAAAACTCGCAAAGAGAGCGGCTCGTTCGGCGCAGCTCCTCCAGAACTCGCTCCTGCACGTGCACGTACGTACATTTTCATGCAGAAATATCGCTGACAAAAAACGGGCGTATATCGGCTTGGCTCTTTTCGCCGTAAACTTGCCCCCATCAAAATCGATCGGCGATTCGAGATGCGAAAGATGCGAAAGGTTAAACTTGGAGTTCGTCTCGAGAGGTCGAATGTTTAATGAAAACTGCCCGCTTTGCCACCGCAAACATTTTTCGGGCGCTTAAAGGCGCTCCCGAAAGGGAGCAAAGGCGCGCAAATAAACCGATGAGGGTTGCTTTTTTACACTTACCGAACAAGACGACTTGTGAACGAGTAAATAAATACATTGTGAATGTGTTATATTTGTATAAAAATAAGAGATTCTTTATTAACAAATTCTTGGATGTTGTTAAATAAATACCAACTGCAGGCAACGCTGTGATATACCCGCGGGGAGATTATTACGATATTTATTAATTTTAAAGTTTTTTAGACGTATATGTGTAGGTTTTCTCGCAACTTTTGCAATAAAACCGTTCCATTATAAAATTGTTAAGGTTTAATCGCAAAGCAAAACTGACAGATTAAAAAAAACCTTAATAATTCAAACAGGGATCGTTTGGGCGAATCGAAACGCTCTATTATTAATTCCTGAAAATTGAAATTACTCTATAAAGTGGAGTATACGGGTTTATTAAACGGCGAATAATTAAACCCGATACGAGACGCACGTAGGGTGTTTTAACGAGCTTTGAGCTTTTACGACACGACCGCCGGACGATTTTTCGAGTACGCGAAGCTCAAAGCGGTCGATTTTTCGAAAATTCCTTTAGGAAAATTAATACGGGTTGCCGTGTTATTTTCCCTTTGGACTGCGGACGTTTTACCGCCGGCGAGCATGTTGTAACGCGTTCAATTACTAATGGATAGCCTTTTTTCGGAACTTCTTTCCAACATATTATTATTGATGGAATCTGTATATGTAATTAATTGGATTAATTGGGTACATTGTTGATTTTTAAGAAGAATGTTTTTTGGAATATTCGAGCCTATAGTTAATATTTAAAGAGTGTTCTTGAAGTATCTTTGATGCGATTTTTCGTTGCCGTTACATTCCGGTCACGTCACCGAACGGTTAACGAAATGTTTCCTCGTCACTGAGCACTAACGGGTAAAACATAATTCTTTCGGAGGTTTTCCCATGTTTCTCCATGATACCGTGATATTTTACGACGAAAGGATTTTCCGATGACTTTATTCCAACAATGTGAGCTTCCGAATAGACACATTGTATTTTTATTTCCTCGCCGCTCTCCGTCTTTTCGACGTGCTCTACTTTACCCGTCTTTGATATATCCATTAAAATGATCAACTTCCATTTTTCATCCGGACATGCTTTATCGCGAAATCCCCGACAAGAAGTAACACGAGCGTTACTGGGGGCTGTTTAAACGAAATCATTTTTTATCCGGGATTTATTTTCTTGCGGACCGCACAAACGGCGCTTCGTTAGGACGCTATCCGTCGCCTCGACGGCGACGTTAAATAAAATAATTAATTAAACTTTGTATATAGTCGGAGTCGTCGTTTTAATTTCGCCCCGGTAAATTGCAATCGTTTATGCAGTGATAACTCAAAATTGATGGAAAATCGTTTTCTGGAAGCCATTACAAACTTGTTAATCGAGAAGTCGGATGAAATTAATTCGATTTTACGGGCTCAAATTAAAAGGTTAATCGCGTTACTTCAAGGTGTACGTACTTCTTCCAGATAAACTCCAAAGTTTTCAACTTTAAATACTATTTAGTCAGGTCATCGACGATTATATAGATGCTTAATTTAAAGGTTTACTGTTACTAGAATATCTTCAAAATAGATGTACCTAAATGAAAAATTTTTAGGTGCCTTTGTCGATAAAATAAACCGTTTACGAGAAAAACAAAGTTTAAGGTTCAAGCTTTCCATTGCAAGAATTATGTTTTTTAAGTTTTTATCACACAGGGTGTTGAAAATTTAGACATTAAGGTGTAAACCTTAGTCCAACACTGCTAAACTAAAAAAGGCAAATATGTTTCAAGGACACTATTTTGTGAGGTCCTTACTAGTGTCCATCATATTAGATTTTTTTCATGTTCTATATGGATCTGAGAGATTTTCCACACTTTCGGGGACACCCTGTATAATGAAATAAAAATAAATTCGCATATATCTGTATCCCATTACTATTTAAAGAAGTTTTTAAATAATGGAGAGCTTTGGATTTTAAAAATTAATTGGTAGAGAACGAACGAGCCGACTCATTTTAATGAAAATCCTGATTTAATATCGTAAATACAATAAAATTCCGCAATGCAGATATACGGCGCGACTAATTAGCAAATTTACTAACGATTAAACGTCATATAAAGTATTAAGATTTTAGAGATAAAGCCGAAAGTGGATTTAAATGAGGAATTTCCTTTCCGTTTTCCCTAACCATATTTCCCTAATACAATATGTAAAACTCGTTATTTTTAATACTATAATAGCATGTTATCACGAATAAAAAAATCATTACTATTTATTAGTACTTATCAAATAACTAATTTCGTTGACGAAGTTAATAAAGCAATCCAGCACATCACCGAAAATAAAGCTATTAAGCAGATCTAATTTATTATCCTCACAATTCGGTATTGTGAACAACATACTGAAAATAAGTATTTCCAGACGGAAATTTTACCTTTCCATCCACGTTGGTCTAATTAAGGTCTGAATAATTGCGCAGAACCAACCTACTGACGTTTTTTTTATTAGGAAAACACGCGTGTTCAGTCATGCCCACGTTTTCCATTTATTTCGTTCCCGGAATGGAACCGGAATACGTGATGCGTTCCGCTACCTTCCAATTGTATATATAAAAGCCTACGAGTGTATCCTGCGAATCTACTTCTTCCCCAAACATAACAATTTTCCTGCAGGAATTTATACGAGACGATGTAGTACGAAATCAACCACCGTGCAACTTCACAATTGTTTTTATATCGCGAGTATTTTTAACATCTAGTTGCGAATACCAATTACTGCATAATTTTGAATTTTATTGCGCTGCACGATATGAAAATATTGGTGAAACGCATCAAAAGAACCGCTAATATTATTTTGAAACGCAATTAATTCGGAAACGATCGTGGGCGTCGCAATAACTTTAAACAATAAATTTTGTGGACAAAGCTGTTTACGAGGTGTGCGTAATTAATTTTAAAATAAATTCGCTTGTTATATAACGGGTTAATTAATTTCTCGCATATAGAACAAAATGTATAGAGAAGAATTTTATGAATTCACTACCAATCAAAAATATAGTTAAAAGTTTCGCTTTAAATAGGTTGGATTTAGTAAACAAATTAAATTGAGTAAAATAACTAAATCGAAACGAGGACATCGACTAGAAAAAAAGCAATAAAATCGAACAGTAAACTTAACTGAAATGTTTTGACTCTGTGCCATAAATTTGAAAATTCGCGCTTACCTTCAGAATGGATTTCTGGTGAAATTGTTGGAGTCGAAATGTTCCAGTTCGACTTGCAACATTCTTCGAATAGAGAAATGCATATTGAAGCTGTTGAATGCATTCTTCAGATCTCACATGGTGACCTTACATTTACGCCTTTAGTAGTAATTTCATCATGCTTCTTCGAGGAATTCTCGATATTAACTGATCTGAAAATACACATCATTTATTATACAAAAATTGATACTTGTGGAAGTTAATTGAACGATTACGATTCGAAAGCGCTATTGTTACACAAAGGGATACTGACAGATTGAATATACAAGCGGAAGATATGCCGAATACGATCCGCTATTTTATAAAGGTACAGCTTAAAAAAAAGCTCGAGACATCAATAAAGCCTTCCATTTTTTATGATTTAAAGCTCGTTCTCGAGGCACTTTTTCATCGAAATTCCCTCTCGTTTTTCCGCCCTCTTGACGAAAGGGGCACGTTTTATATTTTAGAAAAAGGATTAATTTATTTATTCGTCTCTTTTCGTTTATTTTTCGCAAAAAACGCCGCTTGCTATACTAAAAAAGATATTTCATTTCATCAAACGAAATTTCCACGTCATGTTTTATTAACATCAATAAACAATAGGCAGGTTTTACAAATTATTTTATGCGAATAGCGCTAAGAAACTTAATAACGTATGTGTTAAAAAGCTCGTTATAGTTTTAAGTACTTAAGTTAGTTGAAACATTCTAATAACTTTACATTAAACGCTTAACTAATCCGGGTCATTTTCATTACCGGAATTCCCACGGTAATTGCTTCTTTTTTCCGAGAGTATAGTACATCCCCTATTTAATACCCTCGACCTTTTTGCCGCAAAGCCACAGGGGAATCGTCGCGAAAAATTAAAAATGAACGACCGCATTATGGAAGCCGCTATATAGGCAGGGTTTTCTTGCTACTGCTAAACGTCTATTATTTATTCAAATAATGAACATTCTCCACCTCAAGGAGCCATACGCGCGGTACTACAGGGAATTGCAACGTTCATTGTTACATTATTTACACTGAATTAGGTCGTTAGAGGTTCCAAAGTAACGGTTTGCACCACCTCTAACCGACAGGAACGGGTAGGTGTATCGCTGATATCGCTGAGTTTCTTGAGGGTGGCATGCTGATTAAAGTGACACATGAATTCTATACGAAAATAGTCGCAAATTACGTACAAAGACCATTGTTCGTGCAGGAATAATAATAGAAAATCGACGACAAAAGCGAGTTAGATTCGAGGCGAATTGGAATTGGTTATACGATGGGAAATGCAAATGGAAACTCGGCATTTCTCTCACGTTGTTTTCTTTTAATAAACGCAAAAATAACGTTGTTTTATTCCCACGTCGCTATCGACGTTTTTGGATAACTCCAATATGTCAACATGGCGTTACGTTATTTTAACGAAACTTAAATAAATTAAGCTGGAAATAATATATCAGCGTATATCAATGATTGATCGATTCTACAACGAGGCGAAGGAAGGAGGAAAATAGAGAAGAAAAAAATCGACTCTGTTCATTCCTCCCTCTCTGGGAAACCGGAAATACGGCGTGGGCGATGGCTTTTTTCTTCGATGCCTTTTATTAGCGTAAACAAGTCCTCGAATGTATTTTTATTCGTCTTCATCGCCGAGGAAACTTCGTCTACACCGAAATATAATCAAATCGAATTATATTTTTCTCGGAGATCGGAGACGTGTACGCAATAAGAGTATAATAAATAAGCCTGTGAATGTGATACGAAGATATACAGTTTGTTCTTAAAGTATGGATTATTAAAATCGTTTTTATCCGATATGTTATTTTCGTATAAAGAATATAGGGATTTTTTTTTAATCTGATACTGATACTTTGGCTTTGAGGATACAGTTTATAAATTTACTTTGCGGATATTAATGAAATATTTAATTATAGAGCGTCTGCTTTGAGGGGAAGCTTCCTTTGCGAGTTGAGGAAGGAAAACGTCGATACAGAAAATTAGCAAAGTTGTTATTTCGCTGGGATCAATTGGAACGAAAGTGATGATAATTTCGAATTTGGGGAAAATTGAGTTAATTCAATTAGGTGCAGTAATTGAGCCAAGGAATCGAAACTCGGGAGTGCAAAAAAAACTTGTGAATATTCGAGAAAAGTCACGAAAGGCCCGGCGAGCACGCATACGAATCGGAAAAACGAATGGAAGGCAATTTTTCCAGTAAACGAAAAATATTCGAGTCGAAAGTATATTTAATTGGTGATTTTACGAATCCATTCAAAATAGAAAACCGATTTGTTTGTTTTTGCTACCCGACGTTTTCCAATTATTGACGCGCAATAAACAATACCGAAACCAAATTTTCAAACTCTGCATGAATTTACTAGTAGATAAACTAATAACACGTTTTATAGAACTTTTTTTTGTGATGAATAACAGCTATTTTACGATTTACCCCGTCTGAGTTTCGTCGGAATTTCTCCACTACACACAAAACATTCGCGGAATTTTCCCAAAACATAATCGCATATGCGCCTACTAAAACAGCACGTTCTCGTTCCAAATATACAAGAAATTTGATTTAGCTAATTGACTTTTGCGCTAGCTTTACTCCAAAACTCCACCGAGTCCACAGCGGGACCGTTTCTCTTTCAAAAACCTCCACTACAGAGGGTGCTTTATATTAATTTATGTGCAAAGTTTTTCTTTATATTACATGGTGTACTATAATGGAGTTTTGAGCAAACTTTCCTATAAAAATAACGTTACGCTATTTTAATCTAAGTCGTCTGTTTAATTTATTATTTATCCTTTCTTTATGGCAAAATGGGATTTTTAAAATGTAAGTTTATTTGTTTAAATTGTACTATATAAAAAGTTTAATTTCTCTTATACTATACTAAGGGATGTATATTTTGTGAATGTACTAGATACGAGAATATCAAAAAATATACTTTAAATCTAAATAATATTTCGTAATATTGCCGATAAAACTACTACTTATTATAGTTGCTGTAATTTAACGATAACAAGTACATTTTAAGTTAATTTAGCAATTAATTAATACATCAAAAAGGCAATTAAACAATCCATATTCCAACAGAGCTAAATAAATTGGCCCATCAACTGGCGCATATTTGTAAATACCCTTTCATTTACCAATTAACAACCGTTACACTACAACAACAACAACACTATACAATACATGTTCCTAACCCCATTTACCCATTAATCAATCAAACATCCACAACAAATCTACCTAAAAAAAAAATAAATAAAAAATTCCACCCTACCTAAACGTCCATTAACCTCCTGACAACGTTCATGCTTAATATCGGGTGAGTGAAATTTCCTGCTCGCCACGGAAAAACCACGGGAAATCGCGCTCGTAACAACGATCGCAACGCGTCTGTGGGCCCTTTCGCACTGAGGAAAAACTGAAACGCTGGCATGTGACGACAACGTAGGCGAGTCCTGCGCCTTGGCGGCCGACAGGAATCCGGCAGGATGGCCGAGGTGAACGGTGGAGGACGACGGGCACAGGTGAGACGGCTCGGCCGGCCACGCGACTTGATTTATCGAGTGCGAATCGGCGAGGTGTTTGCTCGCTATTCCAGATGGGCCGAGCCGCTCTTTGATCCATTAGGAGGGTAAACACTAATTTATGTTGGTAACCAGTTCCTGGATCCCGCTAGACGATTTTCCGAGTTTTGTGCCAGATTTTAATCGAATTATCCGGTTACCCTGCAAATCTACCAAATTAGTTGCTACAACTCTCTTTTTAAACAATTATTCCACTTTGACATACAAATGTACTAATAAAATATATGAATAAATTAACATTGAAATCACAATTTAACATATTTACCTTTATAGCCGGTATCGTCTCCCTTAATTAGCATGTTTCCTCAACGCGAATTGTCACACACCACTATTCCCATCACTAATTATCCACCTAAAATTTCTGTCGAGCGGAATATTAAGCGCGTCAACAGACCCAAAACGTACCTGCAACAAATAAAATAAAGGAGGATCAATCAATTTGGCAAGATTCGTATGGCACTCGTAAAAAAGCAATTTTGCAAACAAATAGCCGGGAAATAAATCGAGGCGATGCGTGTTTACGGGTGTGAAAACTCCTGTGTTTTATTTTAGTGTATGCAAAGCACACACGGGGATTACAATTCGACCGTAACTTGTGGTAAATTTAAAATTCAAATCGACCGACAACACTCTGTGCATTGGGTTAGCGAAGCCATGAAATCCCGAGTTTATTACTAGATGCGATAATAACCGATATATTTCTAGACGAAAAGTTTTATGTAATAATAAAGATTATATGTGAAATCGATAGGTCGTTAAAGCTAGCCGATATGACTTGATAATTTGATTATATCTTGGCGAAGAAATTGGTGAAATTCAATTCTATACCTTTCCTCCGGCTCGGATTCTTCATCTGTAACTTCGTCTGGAACTTCCAAGTTGTTATTTGTCATTTTCGCTATTATTTATGCACTATATTAATGTAATAAAATATGTTCGGATGAGAAAAAGCGCCGAATCTCCTCCGATCAAACTGCACCGACTGACCGTATGCTGAATAAAAGACCTCAGAGACATAATAATGCCCTTGACTAATAGGATTATGTTCGTAATTCTAGTAAATCTTGTTATAAATTTTCCAGTGACGGTCAAACGATTTTGATTACTTATGGAAAAACGAACTATAAAGATCGTTACGTGATCGACAAGGCAAATTACATTAAAAACGTCCCTTCCAGAGATGGACAAAGATATTTTTAATATTCTCCCAACTTTTATTGATGGCATTTCGTTCAGTTTTTTGCTGGATTTTCATCTAACATTTCTAATCTTAAAATCCCCAAATCGACATACGTTATTACATTTCAGAATGCATTAATTATACTGAATAGTAAAGCGGTTTATTCTGGTGCATTTCCGAAATAATTCCGTCACCGGTGCATTCGGCTCTCGGGCCGGGTTGCACCGGGAGCGGATGACGACTGAAGAGTAACTAGTGCGGAAATTTCGCGGAATTTATACGAGCCGGTCGAGGAAATCGATCGTGAAGTAAAAGAAATGAAAAAACCGGGAACGTCTCGAGGGAACAGGAATGCGTAACATAATTCCCGTGCACTTCAAGAACGGCTCGCAATAAAAGAATTTTATATAGGTAACTGTATCAAATTTGATCTGTGTGAGTGGGTAAATATATTTCGTATTCAGCATCACTTTTTTGTATAAGGCGCTTATACCATGAAAGTAAAATATTATGTATTATACATGTAGGAAGTGTACTTAAACAGGGTTAATAATAAGGGTTGTTTATATCAAAAGTAAGTACCCTCCAACTGGATGGGTTGATATTAAAATTAATATTGTAGCTATACCGTAGATATAACGAACCGCAAAATGGAATCTACAAAGGGAGAGGTCAATTGATTAAACTGTCTAAAATCGCTGAGATACTCGGTAACAATCCTATCTGCAAATTGAATGATTAGTGAAACATAAACTCTATTAAGCCATTAATTAAACTCCGGGGCATGTTTGATATCCATATAGCGGGTTAAAAAATTGCGATTGGATTGATTGTTTATTTTGGAATATAATTGTAATAAATTAGCTAATATATTACCGAAAACTTCACATATATGATGTTAAAGCGGGTAATTGAGGTAATGGAAAATTATTAGAATTTTAGACATTATACCGCAAAAGGTCGCTAGCGGGTTTCGGTCTAATCTAATTTTATTACCAGAAACTGTAGGTAGGGCTTATTCTAATCAAATCCTAGTTTGCTCCGTGTTCTTAATCAGATGAATATTGATTACTGTATTATACAGGGTGATTCATCGCCTTTGGGTAACCCTATTTTGCAACTATTTTGCATAGGACATGAATTTAATCGAATTAAATGTGAGAATTTCCTCAATTACAAAACATTGTATGTATAGTAATAGGTATTTTTAATGTCCTTTAGAAGTTATTAATCAACAATTAAAATTTAATATGAGAGTAAAAGCTCCATCTTAAACATTTTTTAGAGCTTTGAATTTTATATTACAAGTAACTTTAACCTCCGCCTGCTTGTTGAGTGTAAATAAACGGGAGATGTCGCTACTATCGCCAGGTAGCACAGAACATACGTAAGCCAGGTAGGTAAAATTTACCTATTCTCTGAGCTTTGGAAAAAGCATTTTGTAATCTGTAAAAAAGCTCAACATATATGCATTTAAACGAAGAAACAAACAACATTCAGATTTAATAAAACAATATATTTTATCACAAACCTACACTTTATTGTCTATTTACAAATGGAAAGGTAAATTTTCGAAAATATTTTACATTAAAGAAAAAAACTGTTATTATTTACATAAAAGTACAACGTGTAGATATAAATACTTATTTTAGTTATATTTTATATCAAACTTACAAACATCGCAACATCGCGTTTTCAATAAATAATGATAAATAACTTAAGGAACAATTTTTATTTAAACAATGATAATTGTATTTTCGGCCAATTAAGTGTTTTCTAACTGAATTTTAATCGGAACAGACATTGGATGTTAGGTATAATAGATACATAAACTAATTGAAATTGAAACGAAACTCCTTCGGAAATATTATTACACAATTGTCACAGTGAACTTCTACGTCAATCAGTTGTTTGACAGTTAATTGACGCAAATAAATCAGAAGCGGGATAAATGCCTCTCCATTTTGGATGTTTCATTTCAATTTTCGATACCAAGTTGGCCATTCATGAATTGTTACTTTGGTAGGGAATTGTATATTTTTAAATCATTGTTATAATATTTTCAGAACTAATAGACTAGAAAAAGCAGTCATATACATACATAATAAAAGGGCTGAAGAAAAATTGAAAAACATAGTAGCCCTGTATAAATTCAAAAATATAGTTATGTTTGAATTTGAGTTGCATAAAATAATGTCTATTACGGTCCCCTTTTAAAATTTAATTTAATTTTCCTGTTAAAGTATAGTGTTGATGATAATGTTATGTTAATATTAATTTGGAATAGGGAAGTAATAATTAAAAAATGATGCAACTGAAAATATGGATCATTTTCGAACAACTCTGCAAATATCAATAAAGATCAGTACATATTTTTTACAAGGATAAAAAAATTACAATTTGGCTAGACGCGTTACAAGTTACAAACAATTCATTTACACATTTACACAAAATAAATTCGACAAAAAAAAAACACCATTAAAATACAATAAATAATAAATATACTACATTTTCACTGGCCAATAAAAAACAAAAAAAAATATATATAATAAAAAAATAATTTAATCGGCTAGATGCGTCGGAATTAAGTACTGAGCCGTGGAATACAACATCTTCGCGTACCAATGCACGCCCGTATCACTTTGCCTCTGCAGCTCGACGGAGCGCCCCGACCAGGAAGCGAAAGGTCTGCTCACCGCGTACCACAGCCTCCTGGCTCCCCTTCGGAAGCTCCACGACCACCTCAGCGGCCAGAAGGCCCAATGGGCCAGCGACTGGCTGTCCACCGTCGCATAACACGACACCACCACGTCGTTGACGACTAGAGTACCAGTTCGCGTCAACGGCGCGTACACACCCGTCCTCACGGTCAAACTCACTTCGGCGACATTGTCTACGAGTATCTTATCCGAAGCACTAACTAACAAGGAATCGCCGGGCTTGATGGTGCCGGCGAACACTGTTCGGTACCCCTCCGAGGTACCGTCGAATTTCTCCACTAAATGATTGGGCGTTATCACTAAAGTTCGATTCGACGATAGCCTTATCGTCAGGAATTCCCGCTTCTGGGCGGGATCGAAGTCCAGGAAGAGCATCACCTCGCTGAAGGTGAGCTCGTCGGTGGATGGATCTTTGGAGAGGATCCTCTCGCCGAGCTGCAGGTCGGAGAGTTTCCTGCGGACGCCGTCGCTGGTCAGGACGGTGCTGTCGCCAGGGAAGCAACCACCGTATTTCGCGCCTTGCGCCGATTCTGGAAAATTCATTAATGATAAATATAAATATTTCGAAACGAACAAATTAGCTTTCTTCAGTTACGGAATTCTTTTCGAATTCGGCCGCTGAAGTAGCGTAAAAGGGGCCTTAGATTGATGAAGAACGAACGCGCATCGGCGGCGGGTCAACCGGTTTGGGACACAAACACGAAACTAAACCTTTTATCTTTAGCAGAGAGATATAGTTAAGGTAAAAATAAAAAAAAATAACTTAAAACGGCACCCAATCCTACTAAAGTTGCACCGCATTATCATCAAATGCCAACTAGCCGGTCATTTGTTATTTGTTACCGTTCGGACCACTCGAGAACCCATACGCTCGGATGCGTTTCGACCGTCCCAAAGGGGCAGAAAAAAAGAACCCGAAAAATATATATCTAGCCTTTGTTGACCTACACATTATTAATTTCGTTTTCCTGAAACATTACTTTATTAACCCCACAACATTTCAACCTCATTAAACTTATCAGGGCTTCAAGAATGTTAATTTTTAGATCGAACCTCCTGTATATTTCGGTCAAAACGCCCATGCTCTCACGGTTTCGTCGTCGGTCCTGCCGTCTTGTACCATTCTTTTCTCCCTTTCGATCTTATCTAGGTGTCACTTGCTGCTAGTTTAATAGCCTCAAATTAACTTCACTAGTTCAGTTTATCTGGTTCCTTTGTATAAATAACCACACAGGCAGAGGTGACTGGAGATTTATTTTCCGAGTCGCCCGATGCGCGTCCACCGGTTTTTACAAGGTGCGGAAATCGATTAGGTAAAAAGCGGTGATAAATTTCGAAAAAAAAAATGTATTTCTTTTTGTCGGTGGAAAATTGTCGGGTTTGAGGGTAGAGACGATTATTTATTGGAGTTTCAAAATGTACCTGCATGGGTTTATTGAAAATTAGTACAAAAATAGCAGTCTAAAATTATCAAAAATTGGGGGAAAATATAGTAAAATGACAGCCAATTAAATATTCAATTATGATCATAGTAAATCTTGAGAAGTTTTATAGAAGAACAATGGTGAATTTCTATAGATAAAAAACGGAATTCTGGATTTCTGTGCGCCAAACATCGACATCGATCTTCGTCTGAATTACCTGAAAGATTACGCCTTCTGACAGCGCCTCTGCGGCTCGGCTTACAAGCACTAAAGTCTCCGATTTTGGTGTGTATGCGCGCAGGGACCCTATCAATTTTATCTGTGTTGACAAAACATGCTGTAATTAATTCTTTTCCGCTCTTTTGAGTTTTAGAGACCGGACCCGGTCCGAGACCGCTCCGCCAGCGACTACTTTACCATCAGGTATAATTTCCCCGGTGTGTTTGTATACAGGGCGTCGGTAATTAACTGCTATATGTGACAGTCCCAGGCTACTCGTGCTTATTTTTAACCAATTTAAAAAAAAACTAGTAGGATAAATATTTATCTGCTATAGCAGGACATTTTATGTATAGGTGTAATATTCGTGTGATTCAGGAACGTGAGTAATTATATCAGCGAAAGCTAATTTATCGCCGCGTTAATTACGTATAATTATCGTCAATATTGATAGCTCGTTAAATAATCGACTAAAACGTGTTAGAATTATTTAAGAGCTATTTATTGATTAGTTTAGTAGGTTTAATTAGTAATATTCATTAATTAGAGGATAGAAAGAATCATCTAAACCGAACGATACTCGTTTGGATTGTTTTATATCACGAGCTTGAAGTGTATCTAAACGAGGCTTGAGGCGAGTATAAAAAAATTGATGTGTATAAGTACCTAATTTGACGGAACAGTGTATATGGGACCGGCTCTCGTAGTACACCCAGTCGAATCCGGCCTCGACGGCGAGCCTGGCTAGCATTCCGTACTTGGAGCGGTCCCTGTCGGAGGTCGTGATGTCCACGGCTCGACCCTCGTAGTGCAGCGAGTCCGGCGTGTGGTATCTCTCCTCGTCCCACCCTTCGGTCACGAGCAGCTTCACGCCGGGCCACATGTTCATCACCGATATCGCGAGGGTGTTCAGTTTCTCCTTGCAGCGCTGAAACAACCACAAAAATTCTTAGCGTGTATGCTACAATCCTCGCAAATGCGAGACTCGGAGATGAATTATTATCGGATGTGCGCCCAGCGGTGTGTTAAAAATCCGTCCTATTCACCGGAGACGATTGGAAAACTTTTCCGTAGGATCATATATAACTCCAATTGAAGGTTTTTATTTTGCTGTTTACCTTTATTTTGGGTAAACATTGACTCCGAGAGTGACGTACGTGAAATCAATTTCCTCTCACAGAATGGGCCGTCACAAAAGGGCCGATCTGCAGGGAGGAGTAACACCCGATAATCCGATTCGTCATACCCGATGGCATTTTTAGGCACTTACCTCTACCAGTAGTAACTCGTATTGAATATTTTTTTAATAACATAAAAATATTTCTAAATCAAAACTCATTTTATATTATAAAAACTCTTTGAATAAACCAAATTTAAATCTGAACCATAACATCATTTACACTAACAATTTATTACCCATTATCAATTCGATAAAATCTTCTCCTGAATCAAATTTTTATTACCTAGTCAACGAGTAAAATCAATAATACAAGAGTTAAAATCTGGATAAACTTTTTTCAATAATGAAACGCCACTGTGTTCTGGCTTCTTATAAAGAGTACCGCAGCTAATCTACTTTACATGTCGCCTGTGGGTTTCGTGAATAGATGACAATGTACAAACAAACGTCATTGAATCACAAATACCTTTTTTTTCTCGGATTCTCGGAAAGGGACACTACAAATTTCGAAGCACCATTCATGCTTCAAGTAGGTACCGAGTCGGTTAACTTCAAAATTAGCTTAGATTTCGAGTAGATGAGGATTTTCGATTGAAGGTGGTAAATAAATTGGGGTATTGCGCGCCAATGTGCTGCCCAAATTTAGTTTTAATGCCGCACAAATCCGATTATTCTAATAGCCGTTGATGTTATTCCGAATGTAAGGCTGGTTGTAGTTTGTAGTAGGAGTTATAATGGGATTCCGTCTGAAATGCTTATACAATAGTTGCACAACCTGTGGACTATGAGATGATAAAGAAGAACATCACCAGAGGCGGATAAGATCAAACTTGAAGAGATTCCTAATTGTTATTTTTTGCAAGGTATCTATCCTAAATTATACTCATCACAGTTTTCCCAGCACGAAAAAAAATCGCTGTAATATTTTTTCTAAGAAAAATTAGCAAGTAAAATCTCCTATCATTTGTCATGCCACAGCTATAAGCTATAAATCATATTCGTAGAAGAGTTTGATTCATTCATGACCCGGTATATCCCAACCGTAATTCATATCTTACTATAAATTTCACGTAACGCCAAGGATTTGCCTATCTTGCGATGGATTTGTCTCCTCGAAAATTCTCATTTTTCAACGAAAATTCCCGACTTGGGATATTTTCAACGCCGCGAAAGGGTTGAATTGCAGCGGCCGATAAATTCCAAGGTTGGGCTACAATAAAGGCAATTTTCTTATCTACTGCAAACACCGACAAAAAAATTACAGATATTTTCACGTCGACTGATAAGGCGACTAGTCGGCGTAAAATAGGCGAGATACGAGCGATAATAAAGGAAGAACGGAAGAAAAATAAGAATAAGTATGATCGATTCAAATTTTTATTAGCGCACGAGTCGTCTAGTTTATATTTAAATTCAATAAAATTTCTTCTATAAACGAATTTGCAGATATTCTAAGCAAACAATTCTCCAACATGAATATACGCTGGTTTTAATTTAATGTAATCCTGGGTATATTATATTCGATAAATTTGTTTATGTTAAACCACCGATTCTGTATCGCATTTCAAAAGGACATCAACCTCTACAATGAAATTTACTTGCCATCAAATCTGGTTCACTGGAATATATTTAATATTTTATTTATACTGTGCTTGCATAGGTGTGTTTTTGATACGAATAATTTACAATTTGACTCGAGTTATTTATTTATAACAATACAAAGATGAGTGTATGAGTATAGGTATAATATGATAGTGATATCTCTAATATAGTTAGGATTTATTAAATATTATGATGAGTGTTTAAAGAAAATAAAAAAATATCAGTGTATCAAATTATTTTGATTTATTTAATGTTTTGTTTAAGTAAATATGTGAGGAACACAAAATGTTTTGTGTAAATTTACATTAGATTATTTGATGTGCTGATAAGGTTTAAACGGATTTTTTAAACTCACTTAATTTTGTCAATTTCTTTTATTTGTTAAGAAAAGAAGAATCTATTTTTATTCCTATTCTATAAAACCCACAAATATTTAATGAGGACTTTTTGGCTTGATTTTGTATAATAAATGTTAACCATCTACAGAGAATAATTAAATGCATAGATAATATAGTTTAAATCTCCATATAATGTATTTTTATAAAAAAAATTATAAGTGCACCTATTTCAATTCCAAGCTCAATTAATCCTAACTATATTTATGGGAGTATATTTCATACCCGAAGCGTGGGAGGAATATTGATTTAGAGTTTTCTTCGAGCGAAAAAGTCTTCATTGTTAAAGCTCACTTTTTATTGCTTCTAATTATATGCTACAATATTAGCCGAATTGGACCGGACCGCTCGAAAATTTCAGCACATGCAAATCAGGTTTTTTTACAGTCCCCGGTTCACATCGCATAAGATTCTTCACGGTACTTACATCGGATTACTCGAGTGTAATTAAATTGTAAGATTTAAATAGGAATTGCGACGCGTAGGCGCAAAACTAGTCGGTACTTGTAAGCTGTAAGTAACGTATAGGTAGGTAAACTTCCAGCTTTGTTAGAGCGTTCCTCGAAGACACGGGTTTGTGAAATATCGGTAATTTTTTGAGCAAACGCTCAAAGACAGTCGAGCGGCAGCGGCGAGAGAACAGAAAACGAAGCGAAATAAAAAAAAACAATAAAACTGCCACTAGAATGTCGTACATTTCCGAAAGGTACACACAGAAATAACCGTATCTCCAGATATATGTAGGTATGTTATACGAAGGGAGATGAAAAAAAGGTACATAGGGACGCCCCGCTGTAGGTCCGCGCGGCTCTTTTCAAGGCAATATATTTAAAATGGGCTAATAGCTCGGAGTGTACACAAGCGATATTTGTTCGCTCAGTTTTGATGGGCCCAGGTATTGTGTTCGCCCACCCTGGGGATTTTTTCTATTATCGTTTGCGGCTTCGTTTCTTGTCAAAACACTCGGTAAAATATGGGTTTTCTGATTTTTCTGTTCGCATTCTCTCTTCCGCAAAACAAGGTAAAAACCTACCAACTTTCCAGCACATCCCGTATGAATGTAACGCAAAATTTTCCACCCTCATTCGACTAAAACGAACGCTCATCCAGATTTATTTATCCAGATTATTTTATATTATCCTGGATATACACTGGTAATGGGTTTCTGTTCTTACGAAGCATTGGACTCTCCCCAAAAATATAGCGTATTTTAACAAAATAACGTAAATTTCACCAACAAACCTTATGCCAAAATTAACACTAGATATCGTGAGTTTGTAAAAACTCTCTTATATAGCTACCAGTAAGTAATTATCATCAACTATTACAAACGACAGGTTAGTAAAGTTTACGACTTCCTATATTATCTGTCATATTCTGGCGGACTTAAAGACATTAGGCCTGTGAGAAATAATCGGCAATAAACGTTCAAACGGTGAGTAAAGCAATACTAACACCTACCTCGGTTATATGATACCTCGTTATTTCACCTTAAGCTACACTGAGAAATGGAAATTCGCTGGTTTCTTGAGCAATTTACTCGAATTTTTACTGTTTTATTATTCCATGTCCGGTCGTAAAGATTAAGCGCCGGTTCGTGGAAAAATCGATGAAATTCGCTATTTCTAATCGATAGGTTTAGGTAAAATTCCCGGATTTTGCGTTTAAATTAAAAAAACTGAAAGGTTTTTCAACATCGAGAAACCCGTGCACAAATTCAAAGGATCTTGTAAACCATTTTGTATCCTGTTATAATCACTTTGTACCTGTTAACAGTAATTTTAAAACTCTTACCTCTTCTTATGTCGGCGCTCTTTAATGCCCGATACCTAACTGCAAAATTTTAATTCCCTTAACTTTTCCATTATACGCTTGGTTAAATACTCATAATACACCAATTGACTTAACAACGAGATATAAACATGACCGTCTTCGGTAAATTGAATTTTTTCAACGATTAGCCAAATACAAACGCTCCTTCGGCCATTTTTTCCGGATGGGTTTTGTGAATAAATAATCTCTTGCGGTTTTCTTTCAATTTCGAAATCTCTTTACGGAATTTTACGGAATGGATTTTTAACAATATTTTCATAAATCAACTACCTATGGATATACATAACTATTATTTGGCCTTTTACAAGGTGAGTCAACTAGCTGAAAAGCTATAAAATTTCTGCCTTAAGAGTTGTTTTATGTTAAAAAGGAAAAGGACTCATCCTGTGTAGGTTTATTTCAACATTGTGCGGTCACTAAATTTATGTATTCCACAAATATGTATTATATCGATAGTAAACGGTCAATTAGCGAGTCATCGCCTCAGAACAGCACTTTGACCAAATTAATGAGCCCAATTTTTTTCGAGTATTTTAGGAATGAATACGACTCTGGCGGTGACTGAATTAAATTTATAGATATTCTAGGGATACCGAAGTCGGGGATCCGACCGCAAACGCATTGTTTAGCCCCGTTTTACCGAGTCAGGTAAACAGCTCTACACGTTTTGACATTGTTGTCACAACTTTTGTATCCTAAATAGTTGATAAATGGTTGTTATATTTCGACAAAAAAAAACATTTTCCCATTGTGCGGCTATCTGATAAACCGATGGCGGCGAGCGAGAAGGGTTGCTTGTAAATTTTTATTTTTACAACTTCCTAAATCGTTTATTAGGTGCCTATCAGTACCTTTATTGCGGTCGAATTTCGGGTAAATACAATGGAGATAAAGCACGTGCTTATTGCTACTTGTAGG